AGATATTAATATTGTTTAGCCGAAAATAAAGTTGCAACATAGTAAATGTGTAGGGTTATTTTGTGGCAAGTATTCGTTACAAATAACAGCGTTTTATAGTCGTAAGGATTTTTAACTTTTCGATTGGCACGTAAAACCTAATGGAAACGATTTTAAATTGACATTGCGAATTTTATTGGAGCCGTGAAAATCAATATATTTCAGTAGGTATATTAAATTTTGAACGGTGTTTAAAATCGCTCACAATTCGTGAACTAATTGGAGTTATTTTTAAGCTCATTAAGTAGTTTTGAGAAACTTCGACTGCAGTTTACTTAAAAAGTTTGAAATGCAAATTAATTGCACTTTTAAACCACTTTATTTTTATTTTGTATTGCAATAGAAAAATTCAGGTTTTCCGAAATATATAAACATAACCTATTTTGTTGACAGTTCAAACCTTTTTACTTGTTAAAATTTTGTATACGCTAGAGAAGCGGGTGGCTAGCGGGTGAACTACAAGGTTTGTCAACAATACATTTAAAGCACAAGAAGTGCACTACTCGACAAATTTTGTTTACAAAGTTTCAATTGCACAGCTAAATCGCGCACGTTATTTGTGTTTCCGTTGCAATTAAAAACTGCAAAACTTTGGTTTAGTAGTTGATTTTTTCTTATATCATTGATTAAGAAACTCCTGTGTGTGTATTTTATCTAAGTGATCATGGTGAAATATTGTGTTTTTAATTGTAAATGTAATTCAAGAATCAGAATTAACTAATGATAACTTTACCTAATATAATTTATATTTAAGTTTGGACTTTATTAAAAAATCTAAAAATAATATTGTACAAACATAACCTTAAAATCATATTTGAGTCATCTAAAAAAGCCGACAATTACATTTTAAAATATATCTACAAATTCATGTTAACATAATATTATATATAATACTTACACTCTTGATAAAAAATTATTAGCGGCAAGAAACAATATTTTAGCATAACAGATTTTTTATTGCTTGAAGAAAAAGGCGTAGTTTTAATTTTTTTATGAATATTACCAGTAATGGGTCAAGAAAGTTTCTTAAAGAAACTAAGAAAATTGAAAGTTTACAATAGTATATGCTTTTGTAGCAAGACAAATTTTCTTTCTTAGTAGAATTTTCAATTAAGAAATGCCACTTTCTTGTTAAAATCCCATTTTTTGCGCTAAAAAAGGTTTTCTTCATTTAAAAGAGAAATATCTTCCAAAGAAATATTTTTAGTTCTTGTTCCAAGAAATCGCTTGCTCTTGATTTAAGCTAATATTATAATATCCTTAAACGAATAGATTAACCTTTCTCCTCAAGTAATTTAAAAAAAATATATGTGAAGATAGTTTCTGATTTAGATTAAGAAACATGGCTCTTTGCCCTATTCAAAAGCGCAAATCTTTTGAAATCTTTTGAATTAAAGGGATTTTCATTTCTTTTAAGAGATTATTTTTTCAGTGCGTTTTTGGTTTTTACCGTTGAGTGGAGACTTTCTCAGTCAACGCTTTTGACAGCTTAAAAATTGTAGTTTTTAATTAATATTAAGTTGTTATAGGGAATACATAAAATTGAAATTCAATCATAATCGAAACGAGGTAAATGAGTAGGGTAAACCAATGAATACTCTGTTAATTAAATAAACCTAACTGAAATAGCAGCAAATCCGAACGATAATATGTGGTTAAAATGAGCCTTTAAAAATAATATAGCTCGGATTATGGAATAAAACTTACTGCAACTATTGATTGCTAATTGGCGTTTATTTGTTATTGTATCAGTAAATAATTTTCATTCAGGTGCCTCCTAAAATAATTCGCGGAACTAAAATCATGCTTTTCGGATTAAACGCTTCGAGTGCTTCTAATCAATTAATTCGGTTTTAGTTTCTGATCGAGCATGTTCAGTATCGATCATTAAATAATGTTACACGGAGCGTGAAGATACCAAATTGGTTAGTTTATACTGCTACACCTAATAAATTTTAAAGAAAATTAATCCCTTTAATTAATTCTCGAATGCTGTAAAAATTGTACGGTCATTTCATTTAAAATAAGATGGCAAAAAAGTAAACAGAAATACAAAACACCCTGTCTAACATTTTGGAATACTATTAATCGCTCTTGTGTATGTTTTTATATTACAATTGATGGTAATACAGACATTTTAGTTAGTCACTAGATCTGTAAATTTTTTTTGGAAAAATTAAATATTTCAAAAACAATTAAAGATAGCAAATTGATTCAAAATGCAATAGCCCTGAATTTTACGTAATATGCAATATTATTTAATATTTAGTTTTTTTTAGAAAAATAGATCACATTGCTCTTTAACCAAAAATTTCAGATTGATATCTCTTTTAGTTTTCTTTACCCTTTACCCAACCCAACCCTCTAATGAATCAGTTGGATGAATTCTGTAAAAAATTTGGAAAAAAATCTAGAAATATTCTTAATTTAGATCCGTATTTTTGATAAAACTTGCAACTTTACTGTCTATAGTAATCATTTTATAGTGCTCTAGTGAAGCTGATATAAATATACAGTGTATCTTGTGTATACCAAGAATGAACTTTTTTATATTACAATTGTCGGTTATACAGACATTTTAGTTAGTCACTAGATCTGGAAAATTTGTTTGGAAAAATTAAATATTTCAAAAACAATTAAGATAGCAAATTGATTCAAAATGCAATAGCCCTGAATTTTAAGTAAAATTCAAAAATTCAAAATAGCAATATTATTTAATGTTTAGTTTTTTTTTAGAAAAATATATCACATTGCTCTTCAACCAAAAATTTCAAATTGATGTCTCTTTTAGTTTCCTTTACCCTTTACCCAACCCAACCCAACCCTCTAATGAATCAGATGAATTCTGTAAAAATTTTGGAAAAAAATCTAGGAATATTCTTAATTTAGATCCGTATTTTTGATAAAACTTGCAACCTTACTGTCTATAGTGATCATTTTATAGTGCTCTAGTGAAGCTGATATAAATATGCAGTGTATCTTGTGTATACCAAGAATGAACTTTTTTATATTACAAGTGTCGGTAATACAGACATTTTAGTTAGTCACTAGATCTGTAAATTTTTTTGGAAAAATTAAATATTTTAAAAACAATTAAAGATAGCAAATTGATTCAAAATGCAATAGCCCTGAATTTTACGTAAAGTTCAAAAATTCAAAAATGCAATATTATTTAATGTTTAGTTTTTTTTTAGAAAAATAGATCACATTGCTCTTCAACCAAAAATTTCAGATTGATGTCTCTTTTAGTTTTCTTTACCCTTTACCCAACCCAACCCTCTAATGAATCAGTTAGATGAATTCTGTAAAAATTTTGGAAAAAAATCTAGAAATATTCTTAATTTAGATCCGTATTTTTGATAAAACTTGCAACTTTACTGTCTATAGTGATCATTTTATAGTGCTCTAGTGAAGCTGATATAAATATGCAGTGTATCTTGTGTATACCAAGAATGAACTTTTTTATATTACAAGTGTCGGTAATACAGACATTTTAGTTAGTCACTAGATCTGTAAATTTTTTTTGGAAAAATTAAATATTTTAAAAACAATTAAAGATAGCAAATTGATTCAAAATGCAATAGCCCTGAATTTTACGTAAAGTTCAAAAATTCAAAAATGCAATATTATTTAATGTTTAGTTTTTTTTTAGAAAAATAGATCACATTGCTCTTCAACCAAAAATTTCAGATTGATGTCTCTTTTAGTTTTCTTTACCCTTTACCCAACCCAACCCTCTAATGAATCAGTTAGATGAATTCTGTAAAAATTTTGGAAAAAAATCTAGAAATATTCTTAATTTAGATCCGTATTTTTAATAAAACTTGCAACTTTACTGTCTATAGTGATCATTTTATAGTGCTCTAGTGAAGCTGATATAAATATACAGTGTATCTTGTGTATACCAAGAATGAACTTTTTTATATTACAATTGTCGGTAATACAGACATTTTAGTTAGTCACTAGATCTGTAAATTTTTTTTGGAAAAATTAAATATTTTAAAAATAATTAAAGATAGCAAATTGATTCAAACTGCAATAGCCCTGAATTTTACGTAAAGTTCAAAAATTCAAAAATGCAATATTATTTAATGTTTAGGTTTTTTTTACAAAAATAGATCACATTGCTCTTCAACCAAAAATTTCAGATTGATGTCTCTTTTAGTTTTCTTTACCCTTTACCCAACCCAACCCTCTAATGAATCAGTTAGATGAATTCTGTAAAAATTTTGGAAAAAAATCTAGAAATATTCTTAATTTAGATCCGTATTTTTGATAAAACTTGCAACTTTACTGTCTATAGTGATCATTTTATAGTGCTCTAGTGAAGCTGATATAAATATGCAGTGTATCTTGTGTATACCAAGAATGAACTTTTTTATATTACAAGTGTCGGTAATACAGACATTTTAGTTAGTCACTAGATCTGTAAATTTTTTTTGGAAAAATTAAATATTTTAAAAACAATTAAAGATAGCAAATTGATTCAAAATGCAATAGCCCTGAATTTTACGTAAAGTTCAAAAATTCAAAAATGCAATATTATTTAATGTTTAGTTTTTTTTTAGAAAAATAGATCACATTGCTCTTCAACCAAAAATTTCAGATTGATGTCTCTTTTAGTTTTCTTTACCCTTTACCCAACCCACCCCTCTAATGAAACAGATGAATTCTGTAAAAATTTTGGAAAAAAATCTAGGAATATTCTTAATTTAGATCCGTATTTTTTGTAAAACTTGCAACTTTACTGTCTATAGTGATCATTTTATAGTGTTCTAGTGAAGCTGATATACAGTGTACAGTGACTACAAAACTCTTGTGCTTTCAATCAAAGTGCCACTTAACTCTAGGTAAAACCTCTTTATAAGGAATATAAATTTTCTAGATTTAGTAAAGAAAAACTATTCGAAAGAAAAAGAATGACGCTACAAAGAGGTTTAACCGATGAATGTTGAACTTACTTGCGTTTCGGTAACATTAAGAAGTTTGGCCATTTCGGATCGCTCGCTGCTGCTCAGATATTTTTTGATTTCGAATTGTTTCTCCAGTTCGAATATCTGCCGGCCGGTAAAAGTGGTGCGGGCTTTTTTCTTTTTACTCTTCGCATCGCCGTCCTCGGCGATCGCGTCCACCGCGCTAGGCAGAGGCGAAGTGTCCACCTTCAAATCTAAGGGTTCTGATTTAGTCTTTTTTCTCTTCCTTGATTCTAAAAAATACAATGTCAAAATGTTGTACTACCAAAATTGATTGATGATTGCGTGTTTATTGAAACTGAATCACACCTACTGTGCTGTGTAAATGCCCTGCTCTGATTGGTTTATTGGTCGATTTAAATATCTCACTTAGTATGCATGTTACGAAAAAATGTTTAAAATAAAAATTAAATGATTCGAGGGGGGAAATCAATCAGTACTACATGGGGTAACTTTAAAATTTTCAATGGAACACCCTATTTTTTATTGCTGATTCGGATCATACGACTAAAAATAGGTAGAATATGTAATAAAAAAATCAATTTTGTTCGATAAAATACTTTAAGATTTATTTATTTAATTAAAGTAGGTGCTGAAACTAACAATAAAAATATTTGCTCGACGAACTCTTTTTTTTCGGTTGAACACTTCCGTTTGTTTACTACTGCTTGACTGTACGGTGAAATGAAGTACGTGATCGAATTTTTTCCGGAAAACGCTGAGCGTAGATATTAACAGCATCATCAAGATTCCTGCCTGCTTCTCCATAAATCAAAATCATTTCTATTTTTTCTTCCACTGTTAAAAAATCCATTATGAATAACTGCTTAACGAAAGGAGGTCTTTTTGTTTGCAAATTAATCTTCGAACTAAATTGATTAAATAATGCTAAACTATCTATAAATAGATTCTTTATACCTCAATAATAATTATTATTTATAACTAAATACCATTTTTATACCTCAATTAGGAATAAATTAATTAATTGACAAAATAATGTTTTTTTTTTTACCTTAAATGAGGTATTTTTATTAAAAATAGTTTAATAATTCTTTAAATTAAAGGATTTAATGCTGGCAGGTAAAAAGTGACCATGGTGCGCAATTGATAACACAAGGGAACAGCATATTTGTTGCATGAAATATTATGACCAATATTATACTTTCTCGGGGTGCTGATTTCAGATCTGAAGTCAAATTGTTTGTATCAGCTTTAGTTTTTGAGATATAATTTATACGCGTTTTTTAAGAAAAATCAAATTTTTATTAAGAAAACCATTAGAAAAACAACTACTACTGATCAAAAAATTTTCTTTTATAAGATTTTCTTGCTTGACTTGGTTCACGAGGGCTGTTTTTAATGCTCCAGCAATAGTCCGCCATCATGTGAGCATTCCAGTGACCCTGGTAACGTTCCTCCATAGTTCGAATGTCTTGATGAAACCGTTCCCCTTGTTCTTCACTCAGATCACCAAGATTTTCAGGGAAACGGTCCAAATGCGTGTGGAGGAAGTGTACCTTGATGCTCATATTACAACCAAGCTGCTGGAAGTGTGACAACATCAGTTCAATATGCTCCCCATAGCTTTCATCCTTTTTGTTTCCCAGAAAATTTTGTGCGGTCCAAACGAATTCATTCCAGGCATTTTTTTCAATATCAGTCATGTAACTATTAAAGTTTTCATCCTATATTAACCTTCTTATTTGTGGACCATCAAAAATTCCGGCTTTAAGTTTCTCTGTGCTCAAATTATAGAACTTTTTAGAGATGTATTTAAAACAATCACCATCCTTATTCAGAGCTTTGACAAATTGTTTCATAAGCCCTATTTTATGTATTTCAAGGGATTCAGGTAAATTTAACTTAAGCCCATATTGCTGTCTATGTAAAATTTTAATATTATCTAGGGTTGGGAAATTATGTTTTGAATCTTTTCATCAACAAATCACGAATTTTTTAAGAAATATTTTGTAATAAATATTTTAATATAGTGGTAGTAAGCAAAGTAAAAAGTGTTAATATAATTTTTTTATAATGTATATTCCCTACCACAAAGTTACGGCTTCCGCAATTAATTTATTAAAAAACTTTTTTAAAAAACAGCTCGGTCAAATCAAACGTTTAAATGTGACTAGTACAGGAATATGTCTGACAGCTGTATCTCAAAAACTAGAGCTGCTAAAGAAAAAATGGGGTTAGATTTGAAATCAGCGACCTCAAATTAATAAACAACAGGCATTAAATTCCATGCAACAAAAAAAAAGTTTAATTTTGTTCCCTTGTGTAATTATCACCGAATGAAATAGTGTATAAAACTTAAACCAAAGAAAACTTAAATATTAGTTAAAAAGTCGTGGGTACTTAAAAAAATCAGATTTAATTTAATAGGATAAATATTACCAAAAAAGTGATATTTTTATAGAAAAATTATTGCAGAATCGTATAAGAAAAATCGAACAGAATTGATTTTTTTTCAATACAGCGCCATTTATTACAAATATGAAAAAATGTTTTTGACAAAATCTACCTATTTTTAGCGGAATGATCCAAATCTGCAATAAAAAATAGGGTTGGGTTGGGTATATAAGGAGAATAGTATGAGGACCAATTTTAGTATTGATTGATTTTCACCGTCGAATCATTAAATTTTTATTTTAAATATTTTTTCGTAAATTGCATACTAACTGAGATATTTTAAAGTTTCAAGTTAAATAACTCACCCTTAAAGTTCATAATTAAGGAGATATTTTTCAATTTCTAAAATTTTAAATATTATTTTGTATCAAGAAACCTGTGACGGGTGAATTGACGGTATCTATGGTTATCACGTAATCTGTCATTGTTCAAAATTTAATGGCGTTAATCAAGAAGAGCAACGTCTAATGTAAATGGAGGACACTTTAAACATTTAGTAATAAAAATTGTTAATTAAAATTTTAAAAAAATATATGGGGTGTTCAATTTGTTGAGTTGATATCATTTTGCAAAATATTTTAGAAAAATAGACTTAAAAACGCTTTACAATTTCAAATCGATTTTTTTTTTTCGTTCCCCAGAAACTTCTAATAAACTACGAATGTGAAACTAATAAATTTCAATGTATTCATAATATTGCCCTCCGGTTACAGGAATGCATACCACTATGGTCTCATTAAAAAATACTAATTAAATTGATTTGAGTTTGATGCGTTGCAACGACAAAGTGAAAACAAAACAGAAATAAAGAAGGTATAAATAAATGAATGAGTGGTTAGTTTTACCTCGCTTAAAACGGTTCATTCGAAAATTGAAAATTGCTTTGTAAATATCAAATATTAATAAATAAATGCCACGAGGATGACAACTTTATTTTGTATCCCTTTGTGGCTAATTAATCATCCCCAACCCCCAGTTTTAACATGCACGACAAAACGAAAATAATCAACCCTCAAAAGACAAAGACCAATTAATTTTTGTGGATTTGATTTTAATATTTTACCATTATCACCTGGGGACGATTGGAGACCACTAATCGAAACGCAGTAAAATCCATAAATTTTTTTACTGTAAACAAAAATCATGCTACGTATTATTAAAACGTGCAAACTAATTAATGAAGAAAGTGGTTTCCGTATAGTAAAATAAGTTGTAACAGGTATTTGTCGAACATTAAGGGCTTAATGATGAGCCCGTGTGTTAATAAAAAGTAATGGAGAAGTAAAGTGTATGGGGCTGTAAAGGTAGTAAAAGTGGCCAATAAACGTATTTGATAGTGAGTTATTTAGGCATAACGGTATCATCAAAATAATTTGTTATTCAAAATGGCACGCGATCGGACGTTTTAAGTAATTGGGCAATAAAACAAATCAATAAGTTGCTTTAAAGCTAAATTTCATAATACAGGATAATTTAAGGTTTTTTTATCCGAAAGCTATTAGGTATATATAATATATAACTTGAAACTTTACGAAAAAATGTTTAAAATAAAAATGAAATGATTCGAGGGGGGAAATCAATCAGTACTAAAATTGGTCCTCATACTCTCCTCCTTATAAGGGGAACAGGGGGTAACTTTAAAATTTTCAATGGAACACCCTATTTTTTATTGCTGATTCGGATCATGCGACTAAAAATAGGTAGATATTGTCTAAAACATTTTTTCCTTTTTGTAATAGATGGCGCTGTATTGAAAAAAAATCAATTCTGTTCGATTTTGTCAAAAACATTTTTTCATATTTGTAATACCTAGATGGCGCTGTGATGAAAAAAAATAATTTTGTTCGATTTTTTTTCTTATACGATTCTGCAATAATTTTTCTATAAAAATATCACTTTTTTGGTAATAATTATAACATTAAATTAAATCTGATTTTTTAAGTACACACGATTTTTTAACTAATATTTAAGTTTCCGTTGGTTTAAGTTTTATACATTATTTCATTCGGTGATAATTATCAATTGCGCACCATGGTCACTTTTTACTTGCCAGCATTAAATCCTTTAATTTAAAGGAATATTGTACTATTTTTAATAAAAATACCTAATTTAAGATAAAAAAAACATTATTTTGTCATATAATTAATTTAATCCTAATTGAGGTATAAATAAATGGTATTTAGTTATAAATAATAATTATTATTGAGGTATAAAGAAACTATTTATATATAGTTTAGCATTATTAAATCAATTCAGTTCGAAGATTAATTTGCAAACAAAAATACCTCCTTTCGTTAAGTAGTTATTCATAATGGATTTTAAAACAGTGAAAGAAAAAATAAAAATGATTTTGATTTATGGAGAAGCAGGCAGGATCTTGATGATGCTGTTAATATCTACGCTCAGCGTTTTCCGGAAAAAATTCGATCACGTACTTCATTTCTTCGTACAGTCAAGCAGTTTACTACAAACGGGAGTGTTTAACCGAAAAAAAGAGTTCGCTAAGCAAATATTTAATACTTACATGATATTTTGAGCACCTACTTTAATTAAAATTTAAAAAATAAATAAATAAATTTAAAAAATAAAACCGTATATATACATATATATTATTTTAAACTTTAAAAAGAACAAAATTTTTAATCAAAAGTGAAAATTCAAAAGGAAAAAAATTCTTAACCACATGTGTCTTCTTGATAATTAATCGAGGATATATAGAATAGTGTTGTGTGAATATGGCAAGAGAATAACAGGACGTGGCTAGGTTTGCGGTTTTTCAACACGTGGATAAGGAATTCTTTGTGTTAAATTAAAAACATTTCACAACTTGTTTAGATTTACCACTTTTCTAATATCTAATAATCACACGCGAAAAAAGTACTTATTTCGGCGATAACCCAAATTTTTACAAACCGCAATAAAATTTACCCACGAGTTTTACTTGAAAATACATCAGGATTAAAATTTTCTACTTTACTTTTCATGGAAACAATAAACCAATCAGAGTACCTCTATGGAGGTTATTTTCTATAAAAAGCAAAGTTGCAAATTTCATTCTGTTATATAAAATGTTTTCGCATTTTATCAAAATATATTTGGTCAATAAATTATTTCAGTGTACCTAAACAAATTTAATAGTATAAATAGTATAACTCGAAACAATAAAATGTATAAATTCCAATTTTAAAACGCATTAAAGGCTTACGTTCACTTAAATTGTAGTTAACATGTTATTGGAAAAATTAACTCCTTTAATACATGAAATAAACAATTTTATCAAACATTGCATTTCAAAATATGCAAAATTGGAAACAATTGTATTGTGCAAAAAACAATATTTGCTTTATGGCATCTGCAAAATATCATGAATATTACCTGATTTAAAGCGTTTAATTATTATTAAATTCGAAATTTTGTTTGGATTTTTCCCAATGTTTACATTGTTATACTTGTGGGTATATAAAAATAAATAAGTGCACATTATTTCCCAAATTGCTTTTTTACTTGGGTTTCATCTAACTTGCAACATTATGGGGGACATATTTTTGTAGGCACTTTTACGCTTAAAAGAATTATTTATTTTATTTTTTCTGAAAATATCTTCTTTAAAATGTCAAATTTGTATGTTACACGCCGGTAGTTATAAACTTGTCATCGTTCTTTTCAACATCAAACTCATTCGGGATCATTATCGCCTCAATACTTTTCAATACTGCAATAATAAACAGCCTAACTGTTTCATTAACTACATTTCATTGAATAATCTCTAAATGAAACAAATAAACGATTTTAATGAAACATATAAACATTTTTAATTGTTTTTTCCCCCGACAGAGAAGGTGTTTATTTTTATTATTTGATTACATTTTGCCACTGGGTCATCTCATACAAATGAGATTTTAAGTTTAATAGTGCCTATATTATGCAGCAAGTTTGATTGATTTTAGTCACAGATTTTAGGCACAATTTGTGAAAATCATGGCCTCCTCGTTCTCCAGATTTAAATCCACTCGACTTTTGTGTGTGAGGATATTTTAATAGCGTTTTGTGCCGCACAAAACGCTATTAAAATATCCTCACACACAAAAGTCGAGTGGATTTAAATCTGGAGAACGAGGAGGCCATGATTTTCAATAAAGTTGGGGTCTTCATGACATTTTGTTCTTAACCAGCGCAAAGATTTAGTCTACGTGGAATATCTTGAGGATTTAAAGCTTGCACTCTCTGTAAATGATAGGGATCTAGCAAGAATACCTTTATTCTTAAAAAAATCACTTGATTTAAGTATAATTTGCTTAGGCTACAAATACATTAAATTTCTTTTCCTTTCTTTCCTTAAATTAAAATTAGCTTAAAATCAAGTACAGTTGAAACAAGATGATTGACCTAATATTGTCAATGCTAAAACTAACATTAAACTAAATATTAATCTTTCTTTAAACAAGCAGATCTTATTCTTGCCTGTTAAATGTTAAGAAAGAGTAAATGAAATAATCTTATTCTTAATTTAAGATTATCAATTGGTTAGACCAAATTTTGGAAAATTCCCTCTATTCTATTCTTAAAGATATGAATCTATACTGGATATAAATATAATTATAGTTATTCCAAGATTAGTAAATATTGGTACGACTGGGCTATTCTTAAAAATATCCCCCACTAACGAAAGTTAGGTAATAATTATTACATAATTATATTTAGGTGTGTAGTATTATGTATAGAATTTTAGCTGTTGGAGTAATATTAGGTCAGCCGAAGAATCACAGAGTAGAGATATATATAAACGGATAAAAATGTTGGTTGAACAGGCCAATATAGCCAACAAATGTCCGTCTAGAAACAAAATCAACGTGTCTAAAGGTTTGAAAAAATCATTGCAATATATACATATATAGGTAGTTATATAATAAAAACAATGCTATAGACCAATATTTTTTCCGGTTAAGTTAAGCAATAATTGTTTCAAATATTGTCTATTATTTTTAACTTTTGCTCGACTTTAAATAAAGGTTAGAATATAATGACCATGTGTCTTTCGAAAGGTGAAGAGTTGTTCTATTTATTTTTGTCTGCCAGTCTAGATATAGAATAATCCACTTTCTAACTTTTGAAATAAACATGGTCATTATATCCTAACCTTTATTTAAAGTCGAGCAAAAGTTAAAAATATAATAGACAATATTTGAAACAATTATTGCTTAACTTACATAAATATACCTTATATTTAATCCAAGTAAATATTGTATCGTCAAGAATTATAACATTTGTATCAAAAATACTTATTCTTAAACGCATAGTTTATATTTTTATTTGAGGGTGTTTTATTTTAACGCGTAGAAACACTTTCCCTCGAAAAGTATTGAGGTTAATTATGTATACGTAATTGGGCGATTATGTGATAAAAACTGAGATTTTACTAAAATTGCGGTTGTTTCTTTCAAACAAGTCGAGACAAATGTTTAGCTTGCCTCGACTGGTTAAAATTTTTGATAAAATAGGAAATTGGTTGCGGCTTTTATTTTAAAAATCGAACAATCTAATGAAGAGGAAATCAAAACCTCAAACTACTTTTAATCATTAGTAGATAGTTTTATGTGAAAAATAATTGATTAAATTTGGCGTTTTTTTGGTCAACAAGATTTAAAAATGATTTCGCAAAAATTTTAATAAAAGTAATCAAGATATTAGATTACAGTTTTCGCAAATCATTTCGAAAATTATGATGGGGGTTATCACCCCACATTTATACGAGCATACCTTCCACTCACTTAACCGAAGTTATTAATGATTAGGTGATTTGGGTGTGTTTACAGGGCTAAACATTGTTTTTCAGTTTACCGGCAATAGGATGGATTACTTGGCCTCCAAGATTTCCAGATTTTTATTTTAGATGGTTTGCAGACTTTCACAAATACAAAACAGAACGAAAATTCAACGGTGCCAATGTAGTACAAACAAAAACTTTAAAACTGTTTGTTTTTCTTAAGTTGCGCAAAAATTGTTTTTTGAAATTTTCATAATAAATATACTATAATAATTAATTTGCAAGCTGTAAACGTGATGATATGAGCGGGCTATTAAGATACAATGTAACTTTAAATATGTACAAAAAATCTGAAATTACAATCACAAATCATACATTAAATATTGAAGATATTCTATACATAAAACTTGCAATAAAAAAAAGATAGTGAGGTTTGATAGATCTTAGATAGATAACCCGATTGTTATAAATCATTTTTAAGTCATAGACGAAAATTATTATTGTATTTTTAATAATACAAATGCCAATGTTTCTTTAAAATAATAATGATAATTTTGTGGAACTTACTCAAATCTGGTTAATTTTTGCAGTGAAGGGTATTAAAATAATAATAATAATAATAATAAAAGTATGTGTTGTTAACAGCCGTACCATTGATAATATACGGTGTTAAGGGGTAGTTTTAGTCGAGGGTGTAACTTGTTGAATGTGTGGAATGTGTGGCGTGTTAGAAGATAATAACAAACAACAACAAACCTTTAGCAGTCTTTAAATTAATTTTACAATCACCACTAGCACTGCGAACTGACAAATTCAAAGGTTCATTAGCAGTTTCGGCTGGATGAATAATTTTGGGGAAGGCTTCTTGATGCGGCGACGACGTAGCACTGGTGCAGGTCATTTTTTGGGCGATAACACTGTTGCTTTCCTGCGTGTCGTTATTTTGTATGCCGAGAATGTTCTCAATGTAATGGGGGGTGGGTTTGTTCGTTAATTTCCTATAAACATGTTCGTGCCAGGAGAGCGGCCGCGGCAAAGAGTCTCTGATCTCTGTGGTGAGATTGTTTTGCTCAAAGTCAGGTTTCTGATCGAGCGATTGTTCTTCCTTGACGCCAGATGACATATCTGATGAAAGACCATGTGATTTTCGATGGGTAGGAGCACAAAACAACAAACGAAGCACTGAGTTTTTTGAATTCCGAGGACGGCAGAGGACCTCGTGCTGATCGTCGGTGCGACGCGCCGAATCTACCGATTCACTACGAAGGATGCGATCTGTCTCATCGTGTTCGGATGAACGGAATGCTGCAACTGAACCGTGTCTCTATTCCAAGGCAGTACGAAAGCTGTCCGCATAACGTTTCAAAGCTCGCTCATATAAACCAAACGGTGTTGTAGAGGGTGCGCTGGAGAGTCTACGCGCATTACATACACTACCGGATTGTGCTTTGTTACCTATGTACCTACCAATCATAATTATCATTAGCTTCAATCTAATCGACCTACGTTTTGCTGATTATCACTTACCCCCACAATTAACTACAATTCGCGATTTTACCAACAACCGCTTAAGATTTTCTCTACATACCTATCTAGAAATTTATTTTATACAAAGAAATACTCATTCAAGCAAATTAAAAATTAAATATTAATTTGCAATTTTGATATTTCTTAAAATTTCGGACTAACAATTTTTTGATAAAAATAATTTTAGACAGTTTTTGTCCTTTTGTCACATTCTTTCCAACAAATAAATGTTATGATCACGCTAGGTAGAAATCTCTGGAGAATTATCTACAAATGTCAATAATTTTTAAGTATTAAAAATGCATAAAATATAAAGTAAAAGCTTTGGGAAGTTTGAGAATTCATGTGCATTTTTTTAATTTTAATTTAAAAAGTTTATAATATAAATTCCAAAAGTTATTTAATGGTAAAGGTGTTAAAAAATCTATTTGATGCAACAGTAAGCAAGTAAAAATCTCGCCTTTTATTTTCTTATTTTTTTGTTCCAGCATCAACCATCGAAAAAATAAGGAGTTATATACATATACATATCTAGAAATTTATTTTATACAAAGAAATACTCATTCAAGCAAATTAATAATTAAATATTAAATTGCAATTTTGATACTTCTTAAAATTTTGGACCAACAATTTTTTGATAAAAATAATTTTAGTCAGTTTTTGCCTTTTTGTCACATTCTTTCCAACAAATAAATGTTATGATCACGCTAGGTAGAAATCTCTGGAGAATTATCTACAAATGTCAATAATTTTTAAGTATTAAAAATGCATAAAATATAAAGTAAAAGCTTTGGGAAGTTTGAGAATTCATGTGCATTTTTTTAATTTTAATTTAAAAAGTTTATAATATAAATTCCAAAAGTTATTTAATGGTAAAGGTGTTAAAAAATCTATTTGATGCAACAGTAAGCAAGTAAAAATCTCGCCTTATATTTTCTTATTTTTTTGTTCCAGCATCAACCATCGAAAAAATAAGGAGTTATATACATATACATATCTAGAAATTTATTTTATACAAAGAAATACTCATTCAAGCAAATTAATAATTAAATATTAAATTGCAATTTTGATACTTCTTAAAATTTTGGACCAACAATTTTTTGATAAAAATAATTTTAGTCAGTTTTTGCCTTTTTGTCACATTCTTTCCAACAAATAAATGTTATGATCACGCTAGGTAGAAATCTCTGGAGAATTATCTACAAATGTCAATAATTTTTAAGTACTAAAAATGCATAAAATATAAAGTAAAAGCTTTGGGGAGTTTGAGAATTCATGTGCATTTTTTTAATTCTAATTTAAAAAGTTTATAATATAAATTCTAAAAGTTATTTATTGGTAAAGGTGTTAAAAATCTCTTTGATGCAACAGTAAGCAAGTAAAAATCTCGCTTTTTATTTTCTTATTTTTTTGTTCCAGCATCAACCATCGAAAAAATAAGGAGTTATATACATTTACATATCTAGAAATTTATTTTATACAAAGAAATACTCATTCAAGCAAATTAATAATTAAATATTAAATTGCAATTTTGATATTTCTTAAAATTTTGGACTAACAATTTTTTGATAAAAATAATTTTAGTCAGTTTTTGTCCTTTTGTCACATTCTTTCCAACAAATGAATGTTATGATCACGCTAGGTAGAAATCTCTGGAGAATTATCTACAAATGTCAATAATTTTTAAGTACTAAAAATGCATAAAATATAAAGTAAAAGCTTTGGGGAGTTTGAGAATTCATGTGCATTTTTTTAATTTTAATTTAAAAAGTTTATAATATAAATTCCAAAAGTTATTTAATGGTAAAGGTGTTAAAAAATCTATTTGATGCAACAGTAAGCAAGTAAAACTCTCGCCTTTTATTTTCTTATTTTTTTGTTCCAGCATCAACCATCGAAAAAATAAGGAGTTATATACATATACGTATCTAGAAATTTATTTTATACAAAGAAATACTCATTCAAGCAAATTAATAATTAAATATTAAATTGCAATTTTGATACTTCTTAAAATTTTGGACTAACAATTTTTTGATAAAAATAATTTTAGTCAGTTTTTGCCTTTTTGTCACATTCTTTCCAACAAATGAATGTTATGATCACGCTAGGTAGAAATCTCTGGAGAATTATCTACGGATGTCAATAATTTTTAAGTATTAAAAATGCATAAAATATAAATTAAAAGCTTTGGGAAGTTTGAGAATTCATGTGCATTTTTTTAATTTTAATTTAAAAAGTTTATAATATAAATTCTAAAAGTTATTTAATGGTAAAGGTGTTAAAAAATCTATTTGATGCAACAGTAAGCAAGTAAAAATCTCGCTTTTTATTTTCTTATTTTTTTGTTCCAGCATCAACCATCGAAAAAATAATGAGTTATATACATATACATATTTAGAAATTTATTTTATACAAAGAAATACTCATTCAAGCAAATTAATAATTAAATATTAATTTGCAATTTTGATATTTCTTAAAATTTTGGACTTACAATTTTTTGATAAAAATAATTTTAGTCAGTTTTTGTCTTTTTGTCACATTCTTTCCAACAAATGAATGTTATGATCACGCTAGGTAGAAATCTCTGGAGAATTATCTACGGATGTCAATAATTATTATAAAATTATAATTTTTAAGTATTAAAAATGCATAAAATATAAAGTAAAAACTTTGGGAAGTTTGAGAATTCATGTGCATTTTTTAATTTTAATTTAAAAAGTTTATATATATCTTAAATGAGACTTTAATTAGACATGAGCAAAGCTTGCAAGCGAGTGTTTAATAAAAATGAGTGTCTAGAAAAGTTATATGTAAAAGTTTATAAACGTATTATAAAAAATAATGTATTATTAATTAATTTAAATATTTGTATTATGAAAACATGTACAATGATGGGCGTTTTAAAGGTGGGAGTAAAAAATAGTTATTTATGTCATAACGCTGATAAGTAAGTCTAGCTTCAGAGTTGTAAGTAGTTATCGAATTTTTTTTCTTGGTTCTAACGGTTTTTTTACAGACGTGGATGTAAAAAAGTTCACCTGATTGGTCTAAATTATTTTTACAGCCTTAAAGATAATCGAATAAAAATTTGTCAAAATTAAATAATTAATAAATTATCAAAATTGTTGTAAAATATTTTTACCAAATTATATCAAAATAAAATTCGTTGCAAAAATGGCGAATGCGCCGGGATCACTACTATGGCAGTTCTTAGGTTTTTATCTAAAGAATAATACGAGTAGTATATTATAAACGCCACTTTATTTACGAGCAAAGCTTGCAAACGAGTGTTTAATAAAAACGAGTGTCTAGAGAAGTTTATAAAACGAGTTGCATACCTATACTTTATCTACGAAGAACAGAAATAAGAATGTAAAGCGAATTTTAATTTAAAAATACACTCACAGGCAAAACAATCGATCCACACAAATTTTCGATGAAATTTAATTGCAAATAACTTTTTTATTTGATTTCGAATTTAAACAAATAATAAAGAATATTGTAGATAAATTAATGGAGAATCGCTCACATTTTCAAAATTACTAAAAAACCGACGTACATTTATATATACAGGTTTAAACAATAAGATGTTTTTTACCATAAGTTTAAGACTCTCTGTAGAGTAGCAAAACCTAAATTTTTAATTATCAAGTCACAAATATTTTTAACAGTTTTGTTTTTGGTTCACATTGATATATTTATTTTTCTGGAAAATATGGATTTAAAAAAAAACTTTGCAATTTCCAATATTTTTTTTGTACGAAGAACTAAGGTTGCTTTAGTCCATCCATAGCCTATGGAGGATGACAGTGACAGTTTTGTTGAATCATCCCATATCCTGTCATATACGGCTTTCAAAAGCTATCAAATTGTTTTCTGTAAATTAATGTGTTAATTTTGAGGTGTCTTCTTACTTTTAAAAATGGATATGTCTCCGACTGATGTTTCCCTTTGTACTTTACTTCTTGTGACGTTTAAAACACTTGCCACGTAATACTGTGACCGTCCATCCTGAATTAAATCAATGGATCTGGCAACATCAGTCGGAGAAATATCCATTTTTAAAAGTAAGAAGACACTTCAAAAGTAAACAATTATTTACAAAAAACAATTTGATAGCTTTTGAAAGCCGTATATGACATGTCCAAGTATGGGATGATTCAACAAAACTGTCACTGTCATCCTCCATAGCCTATGGATGGACCATAGCAACCTTAGTTCTTTGTACAGAAAAAATATTGGAAATTGCAATGTTTTTTTAAAAATGCCATATTTTCCACAAAAATAAATGTATCGAGGTGAACCAAAAACAAAACTGTTAAGAATAGATGTGACTTGATAATTTAGAACAATATACGGTTTAGACACTCTACAGAGTGTCTTAAACTTATGGTAAAAAACTTATTTATGTTTAAACCTGTATATTTTAAACGTACATGTATTTCTAAGTAATTTTTTAAAATGTGAGCGATTCTCCATTATTTTTTCTACAATATTCTTTAATATTCGTTAAAATACAACATCAAATAAAAAAGTTATTTGCGATTGAAAATCATCAAAAATTTGTGTGGATCGATTAATTTGCCTGTGAGTGTATTTAAAATTTGACAAATTTAACCTCACTTTTTCGCAATTTATAATAAAGCTAACTTCAGCCCGTGACTAAAATGACCAAAAGCCACTGTTGTTAACTTTACCCCGTGACTAAAACGCCATAAAGTCACAGCTTGTCAATGTAGGAGTAGATAATAGTATATTATGTATCAAGTTTGATAAACGCCATTTTATACACGAATTTAATTTAGTCACGAGCGAGCTTGCGAGCGAGTGCTTAAGTTAATGAATGTATAGAACAGTTTATAAACGAGGTGCATACTATACTTTTTCTACGACAAATACTCTTAAAATGATTTAAATAAAAAATTTGTATAGAGCGCTATCTATGAAACAACAGGGAAACTGTCAAATGTCACATTTTTACATTTAAACACAATTATAAAGGTTATAAATCGAAATGTATCTTGAAAATTGACAGTTTTTCACAGTGAAAGTAAAGGAAATGTTTTATGAGGACTTTACAGTAGAGTCCGTGCCCGAATTTAAGTTATGGTTTACTGCCGGCGAAATTAAAAGTTCAGTACAATGTTCATATAAACTTTCCAAATATTGGCGTTGAGAAAATATTTAATACTTTTGTATTTTTTTATTGATATAATAAAATAATTTTTACATTTAGTATTATTTTACAAGAAAGGCAATTTGTATGACGATTGTATGACATTTGACAACTCTCAACTAACTTAAAACTAACTTCAGACCGTGACTAAAAACCTGTTGCTAACTTCAGCCGGTGACTAAAGCGCCAGAAAGCCACAACTTGTCAATGTATATTTAAAAGGTCACTTAGTGTCATGGAAACATGTACGATAAAGGGCGTTTTAAAGGTGGGAGTAGAAAAATATTTTTAATATAAGAATTAGTGTGAAATATGTATATCTAATTTTACTCTGTTAATACAATTTTGTTTAACAAATATTAAAAATTTACCAATTGACAAAAAGAAAAATTTAATATCTATATTCCGAGTGAGTTTTTTTTTAAAGTGTTACAAGGGGATATTTCAAAAACGGTCTAATTTTTTTTATAAATTTTGGTAAACTAATAAATATTAATATTTAAACATATTTTTGACACCTACATCATTTCTCTATTTTTAAGGGCGAGGGGTAACTTTGGATTTGGATCTCCAATCTACGAAAAAAACTGTGTGCAAAAAAATTTTTGATTTGCGCTTTCGGTTACTGAATTATGATTTATAAGATTCTAAAAAATATTAACAATTAAATTTCAACTAGTCTTTTTACACAGATTCGAATTTTTTTTTAAAAGTACATCATTCCGATTAAAAATCCAAAGTTACCCCCGCCCCTTAAAATAGGGAAAGGGGGTGGATGTTTAAAATATGTTTAAATATACCCCCCTCTCTATTAGTTTACCCAAATTTCACAAAAAAAAATAGCTATTTTGATTCAATTTTAGCAAATTTACACAAAAATCATGGGTCATAATTTGCAAATTTTGATCTATTACAAATAAAATAGTCCACTTCCTAATAAAATCGGTAGGAGTTATAATTTAGTTACATTTTAGTACAACATCGTTTTTTTGTTAATTTTTTTAAATACGGTGGTTTTATTATCCACAAGTTAAAATAATGATTGTAGTAAAACAAAAATTTAAAATTTAATGTAAAAACGATTCAAATAAATTCTCTTACATCTGTAAAGAGTAAATTTTTGTGACTCCGCGTAAATGTGTTGAAGGGCCACAAAATGCATTTAGATTTTATTAAAATGCATTTTCCAAAATCTTGGCCTCCGAATATGTCTAAATATAGTATATATTTAACTGTTTATTTGCACGTGGAGTCCCCATAAAATATTCTCTTCACTTTTACTGTAAAAAAACTGCTTCTAAATCGAAGTCCATTTTCAAGGTAGAAATTTTGATTTTTACAAACTAACACTGCCAATTTGAAAGACGGTAAAACAGATTCGTAACACCAATTGTGTTACTCTCTTTTTTTATATAAATGTCCCTCTAAGCAAAAGAGGCACGTTTGCAGTGATTGCAGGCCTATAATAAAATAATTCTAGCAATTGACTGTTTATTTATTAATTAAAAATAAATTATCACATTAATGCTTTCTTAATTTTTTTTGTTTATATATATAAATGGTTTTCCGGGATCTGCTCCGTGTTGTCGGTTTTTGGTTCTTAAAAGAACCGTAGGTCTGACGACGTTTCGGTACAATCTCATGTACCATCTTTATGTCTTATCTGCTGGGCTGCTGTTGCTGCTCTGCAGCGATTTAGACGTCTAAAGTCTGATTTATAGATTGCCTTCCTTCCTTCCTCCCGTAGAAGATGAACAATACAATCCCGTACGGAAATCTATAAACGGCACTACGGTTTTCGTATTGTTCATCTTTTATGGTAGGAAGGGAGGAAGACAATCTATAAATCAGGCTTAACTCGCAGCAGAGCAGCAACAGCAGCCCAGCAGATAAGATCTGAAGTTGTACCGAAACGTCGTCAGACTTACGGTTCTTTTAAGAACCAAAAACCGACAACACGGAGTAGATCCCGGAAAACCATTAATATATATATATATATATATATATATACAGGGTGCACCAAGTATCCTATGTGTATACTTTTATGGGCATTTTTTATTTGAAGAGCTACAAGGTCGGATAAATTAAAGAAACGTTGCTTACAAGCCTTTAAAAAATGAAATTTATGTATTTGAAAATGACCTTGTTGCTTAAATAAATTTTAAGAAACTTTAACCATTTTTTTAAATGGTTTTCTTTCTTTTGGCCCAATTCGCGCATTTTTTAACAACAATTTTCTCTTAAATTAGAAGGATACTTGTTGCTCCCTGTATATATAAATATATATATAAAATAATTTAAGTTATATTAACATTATATCAGCTAAGTCTATTTTAGTAGTACATCACGTTAACGAGAACATTTGTAGTCCTCGTGTTTACTCAACTACATAAGGCAATAAACAGTATATTACATTTATACAAAAATAAATAGCTATTCTAAAATTGAGTCTTCAATTTCGCGTGTTATCCTTGATCCAGTCTAAATATTGAGTTACTCTGGTGTATACCCCCGGATAGCCCGGCTCGCCGCATTTATTACCAAATGAGACGACCCCCACTTGAATCCATCTGGCATCCCAGTGAAGCATTAAAGGCCCACCTGAATCTCCCTACGATAAAATTCACACGTAAAATGTACGTTTATCGACTTATATAAGTTTATAAAGTGTAATTTTATTTTTATGATTAAGTTTCCTACCTGACAGGCGTCGGTGCCGCCTTCCGAATAGCCGGCGCAAATAAAATTCGATGTTATGGGTTGGAAGTAAGCTTGGTTACAGTCTTCGTTCCTCCAGATCGGCAATATGGCTTGTCTTTGCACTGTACTTTCCTTACCTCCATAGTAAGTGGTACCCCAACCAACCACCGTGGTTCTTTTTCCGGCAAACGTCTCGCTCCTCACCTCCGGAGGAGGTAGACATAGAGGTATCACGTACTTTGATTTTCTAGCCGGTTTTTCCAGCTTCAATAGAGCTATATCGTTGTAGAACCCAACTCTGCTGAACTCCGGGTGTGCCTTAATCTCGGAAACCTTTAAAGTCACCGGAGCTGACGGTTCGTCGTCCCGTTTCAAATCGATATCGCCCAACCTTACAGTAAACTGACGAGCTGCAAACCTACAAAAAACATCTATACATTGCTATAATCCAATTGCGGCTACTAACGGTCTTTGTCTGGAGTCTCTGGTGCAATGGGCCGCTGTTAGAACGTAGGAGGCCGTCACCAATGAACCTCCGCACCAGAATTCAGTTCGCCTTGATCCGTGCAGGAATATGGCCGCCATCCATGGCCATCTACCTGGAAGGGCTTCCTCGCCGCCTACTACGCGGTATTTTGCCGATTCCGGCTGTCCACAATCTACGAAAGTTCATAAAGTTGGAGCTCTTGACCTTTCGACATTTTGACACAAAAGTTTGTAGTATATGAATATTCAAAAGAACAATAGTGATTTGGTGTTGGAAGATGAAGTAGTTGTAGTGATGTTACATTGGACTGTCGTCATCTTGGTTTTCTTGATTTTCACAACGTTTCGATTGGATGTCTCCAATCAACATTATCACCTGAAGACGATTGGAGACAACCATTCGAAACGTCTTCAGGTGATAATGGTGATTGGAGACATCCAATCGAAACGTTGTGAAAATCAAGAAAACCAAGATGACGACAGTCCAATGTAACATAACTACAAAAGAACAATGTCAAAGTTTTCCAAGAGCTCTAACTCACTTAGGAAGCTCTTTTAATGGCTGAAGCCTTGCATAAATAGTTACCTTCTGGGTCGACAAAGTTTCCTTCTAGAGGTAGATCCGGAATGCTCGGTACAAAAGTTGGAGCTGGAGTGTTGAGGGGTAAACTGGGTATATTTATTGGAGGTTTGGGTAAAGTGGGTATATTAATAGGAGGTTTACGTGTTGTGTAGGAAGTGACTGGGGATAATTTTATAGGTTTAATAGAGGTTGTTTGGTATATAACAGGGGGATATGGTTTTCTTGTTGTTGTCGATATTGGGGAGTCGGCGCCTTTGGGACAGCATACGCCGGGGACAAAGAGGCTTTTGAAGCACAATGATTGCCTTAAGTTTCCAAGGTTGAGTAATAACTGTGGACAATCACTCAAATCGTCACAATATCTAAACAACGAAACAAAAAATGATAAGATTTACTTTTCCCTTTTAATTAAAATAAGTTAATAGTGTGTGAAGAAGCGTTTTTAAAACGACATTGACTTTCTCTTTTCAACGAAATGAACACCATGAACCATGAAGTAATAATTTATACAGGGTTAAATTATCTTAGAAATAACTAATTATTTATAAAATAAAACAATCACGTAGCAAGGAGAACTTTCTCTGTAAGTGCTGATACCCGTTGTTTAATTATTTAGTTAATTGAAGTACCAACATTTCTATAATATATAATAGTCTTACGTTATGTGCATTTTATTAATCATCGGAAATACTTTACCCAGATAGACCCTCCGGCGTAGTGCAATATCTCGGATTATCATCGTCATCACCATCATTCTCACCATCATTACCATTTTTGTCTTCAGCACTATGTTGATCTTGATTTTGATCTTGAACAGGCAAAGCCTCCCTCACCAAAGGCGCTATGGTATCCGTAACATTCCTCCCCAAAACATTTTTACTGATGGTATACAAAGCGTTCGGCACATCCTGCGATATTTTATTGTTCTCACCATCACCACTTCTGGTCATGTTCACCAAATACCTCCCAACTGTATTCAATGCTCCCAAAGTCTCAGTAATTCGAAATATCGTCTCCGGTCTAAAATGTCTACCATCTTGACCATTATTATTATTATATTGTTCCGGGTCATTTTTAAACTCGAACTGATCCCCATAACGAGAATTATCCACTTGCCTTGGTTGGTGGATTTTCACCCATCTTGCAGATTGGTTTTCTCCAATTAACGAAGGCGCGTAGTACTCCCTTGGCGAGTATTCGTAGGTCAAGGGGAATAGACAGCACAACACTAAAATCCATCCTGGAATAAAATAGGATTATCTTACTTTCTATAAAAAATGATTTCTATGGAAAGCAATACACCAATATGCACCACCCAGTGTGCGGTGGAAAATGATGTACTTTAATTGGTTTAGTGCTTTTTATAGAGATTATTTTCTATAGAAATTAATTTCTATAGAAAATTATCTCTATAGAAAGACATATATACAGACTGTATAGAATCAAGTAAGTAAGGCTGGAGACAAGGATGACAAATTATATTCTGATCAGAGAAAAAGAAACAAACTTTAATTGGGCGTGGTTTAAACCAAGCCATTCGTAATTACGAACCATAGTTCCCAGGCTGTTTTAAATCAGAAGAGAACGATTATAATTATTTAATAAATAGTTCAATTTTATTTGTTTGAAACTTACAAAATAACAAAAAAATTAATAATATGTCAAAAATAATTTGATTTAGTTAATTTTCTTACTTTTAATATTAAAAAATAAGAAAAACAACCCTTTTAGGAAACAATAATAGCATATGGCAACAGCGCGGCATGCAGCCAGATACAAGGGCATGCAGTTTGATCTACTGTGTTTGTTCAGTAGCTTCGACGCTGTCTTAGGGAAATGTGTATAGTTTTTAAGAAATACATTTTCGCCATTAACTGGAATTTAATGGATTTTAAACAATACTTAGTTTTTATTTGCAGAAATGCATTAAAACAAAACAAACGAATTCGATAAAAATAAAACCTTTAAATTCTCAAACAAAAATAATTCTAAAATTCAATCCCTCCCACAGTGGGCGGGGTTTGGCACTTGTTTTATTTAAGTGTATCTATTCGTTTTAATACACACTGTATTTATATATATAGAAAGACAAAGCACCAAGCGGTAGAAAAGCATTTCCACCGCTTGGTACTTTATGGCTTTCTATAGAGATTATTTTCTTTAGAAAGTAATTTCTATAGAAAATGATTATTGCTTTTTATCATTTTTTATAGAAAAAAAAAGTCGAATATTTTAAGAAATACTTGTTGGACTTTAAAAGATTGTATAATATATTTGGAAAAACCAATTTATGTTTTATAATAATTATTTTATGACACTGCGCATGACGCATACTAAGATATGCATTTTAAGAATAAATTAATTTAGTGAAAGTAGAAAGAAAGGTCGTTAAGGTCAAGATATGTTGTAATGCATATGAAACAACATATTTCCCGCATAATTATTTCATATATGACATGTTTAAGGGCTTACTTTATATAATGGGACAATTTCTGAAAATGTTATATAAATCATCTATGTAAAAATTGGTTTATATGAACTGTGAATAACAATTATTCAGAAAAAAATCTCGTGTATAAGAGATCTATTTGTCATAAAATAGGATGGCAATGCACTTCAGTGTCAAGGTGCCTGTGTAGCTATAAGAAACAACAAGTGATGGTCATATTCACTTTCACTAAGTCGCCATCGACATCCGCTTCGATGGCATACTTTGTTTTTTTGTTTACGTAATAGGAGTTCCCTGTTAACGCAACATATCATCACGAATTTTCATTAACAACGTTTTGTTGAATTACACAATAATTGTTGTGAATTTTATTCAAATTAGTCGAGAAAATTTTATTTTACACAAATCGTTTTGCAAACATATTGTAGGCATCATTAATATTAAGAAAGATCTAACTGCCTTTTTCTAAAAATAAACTAATGCAAAATAATTATTAAATAATTTACTGAAAATAGAATGATAGAACAAGTATTACTACATTCATAAAATAAAATTATAACTTTAAATTTGTTTAGATATTTTATTGAACTAAAAACAAATATTTAATTTGTTAATATTTTTCACAAATTAGAATTTTTGGTAAATTAATGTGGGTATTCGTTTTATGTTTTACTAGGTATTAATAACATAATTATAACAATTTTAAATATATTTTAATTAAATTTTGAAATTTAATTGACAATTAAGATACAATATTAAATAATTTTACTGAAATATACATATTTACATAATAAATTTAATAAATAATATTAATAATATTTATCATATTATAATAATTTATTTACCGCAAATTTATTCCCGGCGCCTTCGCCATTTTGCAAATATGTTAATTTCTTTTATTTAATTACTTTAAACTGTCATTTCGCCTTTTAAACATACAAAGGTGTAAACATTTAAAGACTTACAATTACAATTGTAAATGTAATATAAAAAAATACAATAATTAAAAAAGCGGCGCATTCGCCATTTTTGCAAAATCAATTTATTTCAAAATTGAACCGGCATGTTCCACAATTAGATAATTTTAATAGAAAGTGTATAGTAAAACTATTCAAAATTTAAAAATAATAAAAATACTTACATATGTATTTATATTATATTTTAGGTTTTTATAGATTGTGCCATTTTATGTTTCTACAACCTTTTTTTTATTTTAAAATTAAAAGAAAAGTTTCACAAAAATATATACAAATTTTAAATAACTCCGTAATTATTTTATTTTGAAATTTTGCCTATTTGACACACTTCTTAAAATGTAGGAGTATCTTAGAAATCCTTGATCCCACACATACATATAAAAAAAATATTGAAAATTCTTTATTTTGTGAATATTCAATTATTAAATTGTCACTACAGTTTTTAGGTTTTATTGCATTTATTTTAAGCCATATTTAAAATAAAAGCATTTTAGTGTTTTAAATTTTTATTAGTAAAAATGCAACAAAAATTATTTTAACCCTAAACTAAATAATAATAATACAATTTTGAATAAGAGCATTTTCAAATTTAAAATAAATTTGCTGTTTAGCCGCAACTTTTATTATTAATTAAGCGATTTCTTTTAAAATTTGACGTACCTATAATAGTTATCCAAATATGCATTTGAAAATGCATAATAATCCCTCTACACTAATAAAACATACACAAGATAGCAAGGCACTTAACTTTCTGTTAACTACATATGACCCAAATTTAGTTTAAAGCCGATTCAAAGAAAGTGAACTCCCTTCTTTCTTAACATTTCTCCCACTAGATCTTCTTGACATTGGTTTTTACTTTCATTCAAATTTCACTCATATTTTTGTTTACATTTTATAATTTTATTTTTAAGAAAACTACTCTAAAGGCATTTTAAATTTTTGTATACTTTGAAATAATAGTATTGATTTTTTATTGAGAAACAAAGTGGTTTTGTTCTCTAACAAATAATACGCGTAAATGATATTGAAAATTCACCTTTTCGGTGCAAGGAAATCATAAAACATTAGGAGGTATTATATATTATATATTACCACATCAACCAAGAAAATCCAATAATTACGTCACTTTACAAAAAAGTGAAAAGTGCACACTCAACTATATTTTATCATTTTAAAAACATTTAAACAAAAAACAGCAACAATGTTTTTTTAATATTAATATACTTCAAAACATTTTATATAAAATTAAATACAACCATATATCCAACAAAAATCGATAGTGTCCAAATTACTACCATAAACACAGTAGGTAGTGTACTCTAGGGAATGTTCTGGAGGTCAGATTCAGAGAGTCTGCAGGCAACCCAGTATACACCTACTGAAAGCCGAATTAACCTAACTTTTACGTGAATTCGATTAATTATTATAAATTGTGAAGTCATGCTGCCAAAACATACATTAAGGCTTCTAGGTAAGTAAATAAACAATTATTTGAAGGAAAAATAAATAAAATCATGTATTTTTAGCCAAAAACATCACTGTTAGACATGCCTCAACAGAAAGTAAAGTAAAAACTGGAATAGTTATGTTAAATATGGGAGGTCCTCAACATACAGACCAAGTTCATGATTATTTGCATCGAATTATGACTGATAGAGATATGATACAGTTTCCCTTTGCTCAAAATCAATTGGGACCTTGGATTGCAAAAAGGCGTACACCTGAAGTTAAAAAGAAGTATGAAGAAATTGGAGGAGGTTCCCCTATCCTGAAATGGACTGATTTGCAAGGGAAATTGTTGTGCAAAAAATTGGATGAGGTATCTCCTGAATCGGCACCGCATAAGCATTATGTGTCATTTAGATATGTTCATCCTTTCACTGAGGATGCCTTCAGGGAAATTGAAAAAGATGGTGTCGAGCGAGCCATAGTTTTTTCACAGTATCCACAGTACAGCTGTGCCACATCAGGTTCCAGCTTCAATGCCATCTATAAACATTTTCACAAAAAGTATGTATTAGTATTATTACATATAACCAGCTGTATTATATGGTCTATTTCAGGGGATTGCCTTCAAATCTGAAGCTCAGTGTTATCGATAGATGGTCCACACATCCCCTCCTAGTTAAATGTTTTGCTGATTTAATACAAAAAGAGATTAATCTTATACCAGAGGAGAAAAGAAGGGAAGCCATAATATTGTTTTCAGCCCATTCTATCCCGCTTAAGACTGTAAATAGGGGGGATGCTTACCCTTCTGAAGTAGGAGCTACAGTGCAGTTGGTAATGCAAGAGTTAAACTTTTGTAACCCCTATCAATTGGTTTGGCAATCAAAGGTGGGACCTCTACCATGGTTAGGACCATTTACTGATGATGCTTTAACAGATTATGTTAAAAAACAAGGCAAAAAGAACTTCGTAGTCGTTCCCATTGCTTTTGTAAATGAACATATTGAAACTCTGCATGAGTTGGATATTGAGTATTGCAAAGAATTGGGAGAAAAACTTGGTGTGGAAAATATTAGACGTGTTCCAGCACCAAATGATCATCCATTGTTCATTGAAGCTTTATCAGATATAGTTAAAACACATCTTAAAAATAAAGTAGCTGTTGGACATAAGTTTTTGAATAGATGCCCACATTGCGTTAATGCCAATTGCCTGAAAAGTAAGACTTGGTATGGGGAAAATTGCCAGATTTAAAAAAAGCTTTTTCTTTAATTTAAGCTCCTTAAAATGTTATTTTTAATGATGTTGCATTTATTAAAACGTTAAAAAAATTGTTGTCTAGTTTTGTACCTTCAATGCTCCACAAACAAAACTAGAACTTTTAAGTTTTGTGGCATTTAAATACAAATAATTTAGGTTATCTATCTGTATGTTTAACCCTAATTTGGTCTTATTTGTATTATATAAATAATAAGACCTTAATAATTTGTATTCAAATGATTTTTTAATCTATGAGCACATGCAGGTTCTTTAACCTTGAGCACAACATGTTTGCGATTGTATGAATTTCATACTATGAAATACAAAAGCAGTTTTCTGTAATTTTCCACTCTAACTCAATTTTGTCCACCAGAGAGCTCCACTGGTAAATTTTAAATGTTTTTTAAAATATTGTTTTATTTTGTCACGGTTTATTTAACAAATAAACCTTGAAAATAGTTTATGATTACATTTTTGCAATGATAAATCTTTCAAACAAATTTACTAGTTCTATTTTAATCGTTTCTAAACCATTTTCAAACACACGTGATACCAATATGACAAATAAAAATAATACTGAAAAATGTTATCACGCACCAATTAGTCAAATTGTTTGTATCATGTTAGGGACGAATGGCCTATGAATCATCAAAAAATAATGAATCAGATATATATAATCAATACGAAGTAAATTCAAACCATATTCTTTGTTTGCATACGTCATGCAGACTAACAGCGTTGCCACATTAGTTTTTCAACTATTGTATTTTCCTATAATATCCTTTCGACATTTGCCAAATAATGTCCAGGACTGTATTGTATTATTTTATTATCTGGATAACTGAGATTAATGGTAAAATCTATAGTTGACGTAGTAGATCTACTGCAAACACAGTAGACTTGGCAGCATTGGAGATCGGCCATCATTTAAAAACAAAAATCCGCGCTTGCAATTGGTTGTCTGAAGCCAATAGGCGTGGTTGTGAGTTCAAATTTCATTTCAAACAACCGTTGGAAATCAGAAGCAAGTTAACCGCGTCGAGTGTCAGTTGTAAAGTCGTTGAAAAAAAGAAAACGAAAGAAATTACACCTTTTGCTTGCTGAAAACTTGGCTGTGTTAGAAATTAAATAACAATGACATCAACAGGGTTTAATATTGGAATGATCGACAGCAGAAATTCGAGCAGGGTGTTAAAACCACCAGGTGGTGGCCACACGGACATTTTCGGCAATGGTGACCAGGAAATGAGAACTCCTTCAAAGAAGAACCAGCAGACCTCGTCGATATCGTCCTGTTTTGGGGGAATGGAGCCTCCAAAGACCGAACAACCACATGAAGAAACGCAAAAAATCGAAAATGGAAACGAGGACGTGAAAAATACAGATGAAAATGTTAGGCAGAATGGCAATGGTGTCGAGAAACCAAAGGAAAATATTACAGAACAGGTAGATTCGCCAAAAAATAAACGTATTCCTCCCGGAGGATACTCATCGGGAGGATTCTGGTAGATCTGGGAGATTTTTTTTAATGTAACATGAAAATTTTTAAATTGGAGTGTCTAGTGATTTTATTTTTAATCAAAATGTGTGTTCATGTCATGTTTTTTACTTAAAATTAGTATTTATGGCATTACCGAAAGTCTGATTACATTAAATGTTTTATATTTTTGTATTAGTTTTATTTTAGACACTTTAAAATACTCTTTAAATAATAAATTGTTTCAAATCAATTCATCGTTTTTTAGTTTCTTTTATGAGGGGCCCTCACACGTTCAATATTATTGTCAATTTATTGACAATATTATTGAATGTGTAAGGGCCTCTTTACATTTAAACTAGTTAATTAATTAAGGAAAAACACCTTGAGGTGATCTGTGACAGTAGAATAATAAGAGTACACTTGTAACTAGGTACCTATATAAATATAAATTTTGATTAAAAATTATTGCAAATTAACAAAGATTTCTTTCTTAAATCATTATTTATAGGTACTTGGAAAAAATCGCCAAAATGATTTTTCGGTATTATTTTAATTACATGAAAACAAGGTAGGTCATTTTAATATTTATAAAACGTTTTTCCTGTTACTTATCTCTGTTAATCTTGTGCTTTACCTGAAAAAATATAATTTCCCTTTTTAATGACATGCTTCATGTTTTGAAGTGATTAAAACCTTTTATGGCATTCATGAATAATATTTAATGCATGTTTATCAGACCCACTTGTAATCTACTTACTGAGAAAAGGCATTAATATTTTTTATTGTACCATTAAAGTAGTGACTCAATAATCTCAAACTGAAGTTCATTGTTCTTGATAACATTTGTCACTCTGATTTGTTTTGAAAGAAATGCAACTCGAAATTGTTGATAAAACATTAGGAATTTCCGGTTGAAAAAGAAGATTGACTTGGCTTAATCCTAAAATAAATGTTCTATTTTGGTATATATTTTTTCGCGACAATCTTATCAGGAATATATGTATATTATGTTAATTCGGCTTATGATGACATACATTTTAGTATTCATATAGGTACAGAGAAAACTAAATTTCCATATTCATGCAAAAATCAGTTTTACGTATAAACGCAATTATGATCGTATTTTTATAAACACTTTTCACAAATTTCTAATGTTCACTAAATAATTTATTTAATAAAAATTATGCTTAAAATTTTGTTGTCATTTGTCACACACCTACTCTAAATTGGTCTGTCCACGTCCATCGTTCTGATTGGCTTGTTTGATCTAATAATACATCCACACATGTGGATGTGAAAGAGTTTTAAGAAGTAGTTTATAAGTTTTATAAATAGCTTAGGGTTGCTTGATCAGTGCCTTAGCACAATTCAGCGCGCAATATTGACCTCAAACATATATTATAATTATATAATACAATATATATGATATAGATATTATTATAAATAATTAAATAAACAGTGTGAAATCAGACAAATAACATTGAAAATTAATTTTGTTAAACTATTTCGTTATAATAATAATGGTTAGACTTGTTTTCAAAGAGATATAATGAAAAATATGTATTTTAATAATAGCGTGGCTAGTTTAAGGTGTTGCGTTTTTAATCTGAAAATTGAGGTAGGGTGGTAAAGTAATTAAATAAAAAATGTAGAATAAATTATGTGATAATGTTTATTGATTTCAAATTCGAACGAGGCGAACATACACATATATAAAAAATGTTTAAGTTATAATATCTACATTAAAATAAAAAAATGCTTTTACAATGAAGAAGAAAAACGAGAGTTATATTAGAGAAAAATGCATGTAACATGAAATTAAAATATGTTTTTTCTAATGCCCCCAGAATGGTGAAATCAATCTACAAACAACGGGTGAAATAATCAGCAGGTCAGAATTGCATCGCATCTAGATAGACAACTATGGGGGTCATTCCCTGACAATAAACATCTTTAAAATTCTAGAGACTGATAAATAAGACTAGATTAATCCATACAATATGTAAGCCTTTGTTTTACAAAATACTTTGTATTTGAAGTCCGGATTGTATGAAACATCAGTCATTAACAACTGGAAAAGTTTTGTCATTTTTCCTGGTCAACATTTAGGTAAATTTGTTCAATAGTACGAAATTTTATAGTGCATTTCATGTCAGAAAACGGTCAGCACACTAGCCATAAAAATATTGAAAAACAACAATAAGTTAAAATTCAAATTTTGTAAATCAATTCTGAACTACTGTAACCCGAATTCGTTTTCTGCCCACGAAAACGAAAACGGGTAGCACTGATTTACATACAGTGCAAGCAATAACCAGAATTACATATATACATGAAATCATTTCATATAACATCAAATATATGTTAATGAAATCACATAAAAAGGGGATAACAATAATTCTTAGTTATTTATTAGTTTTAGTTTTTTTTTAATTACGCAATTGTTACATGGCCACATGGAACTCGTAACATTTTTTCTGTATCAATGAAAGGACGTACCAGACGCGTCTAAAATTCTATTGTTCATTGATACAGCCAACGAGGAGTTCATAGTTTACTTCTTCACACCGTTCACTCCAGATTTTGCCGGAGTTACTGGAGATGTACTGAAATTTAAAACAAAAAATAGGTTTAACATTATAATTATAAAAACCACAATCCACACAACAAGGTCTGTTCTATCTCGTACTTAAAATACTAAAAATCACTGCAATACTGCACAGAGTTTAATGGCGGCCATTTTTGTTGTGCTTTGGGTTTGTGCTCTGTTTATACAGATTAATAATCGTTTTAAACGTTGTGTTTCTTACAGAGGCATTTGTAAGCTTAAAAAAGTGCCAATAGAAACCATTTTAGACCTCTTTTGTAAAAAATAAACGTTATTCTATCAGGGCTGTCATTAAACTGTCAAATGTTAAGGTTAATTTGTGGGTTATGATAAATTAAGGCGGGTTTATACAACAATTGATAATTTAGTGGACAATTTATTTCATTTAATATTTATTTTATTTTTTCAAATCACAATATTGACAAATAACACAAAATCCCTCATTAAAACTCAAGTTTTGTAGGAACTTTGTGGTCTTTTTTAAGGCACAAACCATCAAAGTTTAAAATATTTCCTTTAAATTTAGCGCGCACCCCTTCCAACTTTAATTCAAAACGCTTAAATCATTGCCCGCATAATAGGGAAATAGTAATCCGAAAAATTTGCGCTTCATATGCGTCACACATTGCCGATACAACATCATGCTCCCCACCGCTGCACGGTGCCGCCGGCACCTCCGCAAGGCGGGGATAATACGCGAATTTTTGTAGACATTGAGGCCCACAAAGTTGGGCTTGTACCGCAGTATATGGAAGACAGCAGAGTCAGTCCCGAGATCTGTGCGGCTCGCTTATCAGCCGTTGTAAAAGACTGGGCGGGGCGTGGAATGTTATAGTAAACAAATTATTAGATCTACGCGTGTTTATAGTTTCTTATTTCTGTTTAGTCTTTGCCTTAGCGTTAAATGGAAAGTGGTGATAAAAATGCAAGCGTAAAATACATTGTTGCGTTGTGAATTCATGTAAAAATAATTCAAATAATTATAAAAGATCATTTTTATTTTAATATACTATTATATTAACACACAAATACCACAGTAAAACTCACAAAAAATATAAATAAAAATATTCATGTTTTTTTATAGTTCAGTGTTAAATCGTTGAGTTTCATATACCTACTGTGCTTGTTCATTTTGTTGTTGTGCGGTTGTGCCTTTATTAATCTAAAAATATAGGTAAAAATGAGCAGTACCTACCTCCTGGGTAATGTGGAAACCTGCTGAAGGAATAAATAAAAATCCCACCTCATCCCGCACTTTTTGTATTATTCGAGCTAAACTATTAAGATTCTTCTCGTAAAAGAACATATTTTTAAATATTGATATGTTTTTTATTTAGATTCTGAAGTGCTCCAAAAACGCGGGACCTTGAAAATTTCAACAAAAATTGCCTCACCTTCATAAATGGTCACGAGCCGCCACTGGCACAAACACAATAATTATTAATTATAACCTTAAAAAATGGAGAGAGAAAAATTGTTGGCACATGCGTTGTTCAATCTTATTTACAATTCATAATTTATTTCATAAAAGTTAAATTTTATGAACTTTTAAGGTTATTCAATAAACACTAAATTATTTGGGATTAAATCGTTGTATAAACTGTTTCATAGCAGATAGTACGATTTAACTTTTATGCTTATGCACTAAATTGTGAATTATGAAATAAATTAATGATATGAAAGTTGTATAAACCCGCCATTGGAGTTCGATTTTATCCTTTAACGGCTGTACATCGCTCCATGAAAAAGTCTGAAAATAGTTGACTTTGACCCAGGAAGGATAAAATGGGGTTCCCGGTATAGAAATATACCGGTATTTCTTGACAATATCGCAAGCTTTGACCTTTCAGCGAGGTATTTTGTGATTTGTGCAATCGATTTAGCGGATGTTTCAAGATTTGAAATTCCACATGTCCATGAGTGGATGGCTTCAAGAAGCTCAAGGACGTAAAAACTTGTAACTGGACAGTAAGAGCCTAATTGGCTCAAGTCCAATTCTCTCGAAAGAGAGAATAAAAAGTATAGAAGAAGAATAAACCCGCCATTTAACTTAAAATTGACATTTGACAGTTTTATGACAGCCCACATAGAATAAGGTTTATTTTTTTACAAAAGAGGGCTTCAAGTGCCTCTGTAAGAAACACAAAGTTTAAGCACAAGAATTGTAAACAACAAAAATGGCCGCCGTTAAACTCTGTGCAGTGATTTTTAGTAAGAGATAGAACAGACCTTGTGATCTCCAGATTGTGGTTTTATCCTAATTTGACGTTATAGGAGTGCAACGTTTATACTTCCTTTAACATCCGTTGCACTCCAACGTGAAGTTTGAGACGTCAAATTAGGATAAAACATTAATTTTTGTTTACCATATAACAATTTGTTAAATGGATTTTACGATTATCTCGTGGTATTTATTTATTAATTACTTCGCCTCCGTTTTTGTTTCCGTGTTCCTCACCAGCATCGATAGACAGCTGTTTCGCTCTATGGAGCTCATCAGTATTGTGAGGAACACGAACGAAATTAAACAAACGCGGAGGCGAAGTAATTGATAAATTTCAACTTGAAATCTACCTTTCTCCTGAAGGCGAGGAAGAAGCTCCGTCCTTGCTGGGAGCGGGCACAATGTCGAGGCCCAGTTCGGATAGAACCTTGAGGGCCTCGAGGGCGGCCTTTTCGTGCGAAGCCTCCGTGGTGGGTCCCTCGCCGTGGCACACCTGCGGCGGATTGGTGCTCAAGGAGACCAACGTCAAGTACATTTCGTGGTTCGCCTTGGGAAAATCGGAGAATTGAACTTGGATGTTCATCAGCTGCGCCAGATACATGAGCTTGTCCTTGGAGCGGACGCCTTGGATCGGCTGCACGGGAGCCTTCAGCTGCGCGGCGGCGGGCGCCTTATCCGCGCCGCCGGCCTCTTTGGATTTTTGAAAGCCGGCGTTTTGCTCGGTGACGAGGAGAACTCCCGGCACCAGTTGGCGGCCCCCGCTTCCGCCGACCGACTGATTCGGTTGGTTTTCCTGCTTCTCCTCGACGAACGTGACTTTTCTGTTCTTGTCGCCGTTGCCGTCGCCATTTTTCTCGTCGAGTTTGGCGGATGATTTTGGAGTTCCGTTGGCGGACGCTCCGTTTGAGTATCCCAAATCCGCTAGCAAAGCTTCTGCGGCATTCCTTTTGGCCACCTATGCGAACAAATAAACAATTAGTTGGGGTATGGTAATGAATTTGGAAAAATGTTGTTACTTTTTTGTTGGGTCCAACACCTGTGCAGGAATGCCCATTGACGGAGGCTTCAATGACAAATTCTCGCCGTCTGGGTGCGCCTCTCTCCTCTAATACTGTATATGTGGGTTCTCTTTCTTTGTTGGCTTGCTGAATCTGAATGAGACGCGATATCGGGTTGATCTCTTCGGTGATTTCGGCGGCTTTGTCCATGTTCACCTTGATCAAGTTCCTGGTCTTCTTCTTGTTCGGAACGCGTTTTCTCTTCAGCTGTGCGATATTCGTCATGTTCGGTAGAGCGGGCAGCTTCGACAGCTCTTCAAGCATCTTTTCGGCTGCGCGCTTCTTCGAAATCTTCTTGCCATTGCCCTCGCCTTCGGCGGCAAAATTGCCGACTCGGCATTGAGTGATGAACACCTTCATGTGCGGCGGACCTTTTTCGCTAAGCACCTCGAACGTCACGTTCAGATTACGTTTTAAAGCTATTTCGTAGACTAGCGATATCGGCGACTTGAGATCGGAATTGATGTCGCTGCTGATGCTGCCGCCGCCGTTGCCGCCCCCGGTGCACAGCTGAGGCTGCTGCTGAATCTCTCCGGCAATCTGAATCTGGCCGTTCTCGGTCGGAGACAGCGAGAGCTCGCTGTCGTCGATGCCGCCCAACTGTTTGATGTGCTCGATGGCTTTGGCGGCGGCGTCATGGCGGGCCGCCTGCACGGTGTACCCCTGTCCCGGATACTCCCTCTCCCCCACTCTTAATCGCACTGTGTATGGATCGCCGGGAGTGTGCGGGCCGCCCGGTCTGTACTGACCGTAGAAACGGTTGTCGTGGTACGGATAGTGACCGCCGCCGCGCACGCTCCTGCGCGAATCGAAACCGTAACGGGGCTGCGACTGCGCACCGTAGATGTTGTGCCGCGGGTAGTAGCCCGGCTGAGATAGGTAACCCTGGTTGTGGTGTGGTGGAGCTGCAGTTTCCAATATGTAGACGGTTCTCTCGCCTCTTTTCATGGCGAGAGCGTTGAGTTCGACGGTGGGGGTGACCACTCCGGGGTTGGCAGTTCGAGTACCTGGTCGGTTTCGGATGGTTTTTGGCGGCGGGTGCTTGAACTCGGTCTTGGCCAGCGCCTGGGCGGCGGCCAAGTGTTGTGCTTTCTTGATGCTCGGCCCTTCGGCTTCGTATTCCTCGTTACCCAGTTTCAAAGTGACGGTGAAGATTTTCTTGTGTGCGGGACCCTGCTCGCCGGTTAGCCGGTATTGATGTTGAATTTTGTTGTATCTGGCTAACTCGTTAACCAAGCACATTGGTGTTTTTTCTTTTATGTTTGCCAAAGTTGAATTGGGCATAGACCCAGTATTAGTGTTTGGACAATTCTGCAGCTGATCGGGATGCATGTCAGCTTCTGTAGGGCCGGTGCTTTCGTAATGATGATATACTTGTTGAACGTTCGGTTTTGGCTGTGGTTGCTGTTGAGGAATAGTGGCTGTCGATATCAATGTTTGGCCTGGCGGAATCGACACCAAAACGCCTGAAAATCCAAACAACCATCAGCACATTTTGATTAAATATTAAAGCTCAAAATCTGCAAAATAACGTAGGTAGCTGTTGTAAACGAAATTTCTCATCATACAACACTTCAATATCAAAACCTAGACACATTTTAATTAAATATTAAACGAAAAAAAACGTAAACAATATTTTCCATTATTTTACTTAAAAATTAATGAAGTTTTAGTCGTGGAAAACTTGTTACCTATTATATAAAATCTTGTTTTTCAACTTTAACTTAAAGCTAACTTCAGACAGTGGGCAAAGTAAAATTATTTTGCTTATTTTTCAAAAATTAAACCAAAGTATTTTTAATAGAAGTGTGGAACAAGTGTTAATATCTGTACTTTTACTAGTAAATTTACTGTTTTGGTTATGTGTGTTGGGTTGGTTGGTTTTGTGGGTGAGTTGGTTGGTTGGGTTGGTTAGGTTTAGCAGGGCTCCCACAGCTTAATTACAAATTTTATTTAGAAGTTTAGGTTTTTTGGAGAATTTTAGTAGAAATAAAGTATGCAAATGCATTTATGTAATTAAATAAAAAAAACTTAAAAAATAAGAAAAAAAAATTCTTTTTAACAAAAATATAAATAAATATACGAGTTTTTCTTAAATAAAATTAAAAGTGAAGTAAAATTACTTTTTGTGTATATCTGAGGTATATACACAAGTAGAAAATTCAACACACTTTTAGTTTTATTAAAAAAAAACGCGTCGATAGATATGGCTAAAAAACTAGGCCAAAGTCAAATGATGTTATATTTATATTTTGAGAAATAAAATGTTAACCGTTTAGTTAATAACTAACAATAATTGCAATGTGCATCTTGTTACTCAAAAATTTCATAATAGAATAAAATTTATTTATATAAAGTTTGCATAATACAGCAAAACATTATTTATATTGTTTACTATTTTAGCGATCATTAAAAGAAAATCAAAAATCCTTTTGTTTGATATATAACACGGTATATTTTTGTAAAAAAAAAACGAAATGTGTTTATTATGTAATATTTGTTTTTAGGTATATTTTGTTGTTTTTTAAGAAAAATGTAGGTCGTGATATATCATTTTAAAAAGAATTTAATAAACTAGAACCAAAAAATATATATTTTTAAATTACTTTTTAAAAAAGAAATTTGTTAGCATGACAACTACCTTAATTAAACGCAGTCAGGTTGGCCTATTTAAGTATATTTAATTTTTAGGAGTTTTAGATGATTCATGGCAATTTTAGGAGAATTTTAGAAGTTTTCAAGATTTAAGCCAAATTTTAGGAATTTTATGAGTTTTAGGAGGTGTGGGAGCCCTGTTTTAGTTTGTGTACATCTACTATTAAATAAGTGCTTCTGAATACATTTAAATATAAAAATCAGTTATTGTATATATTTACTAGTCAGTGTATACCTTTAAGAAATTTACACATTGACTGTAACATATCCATATAATATATATTAATACATGTTAATGGAAAACTATAATTGATAACTTTTTAAAATCAATCAATTACTTAGTTGGTTAAATCTAAAATATTTTAATGTTAAAAACAATTATTTAATAGAGATTTCAATTAAATGTTATTATAAAATTTTATTTTAGCATACATTTTTAATTATTTCATTAGACAATTTGTTTATCATTATTGATTGGTTTAAAAGCAAACTGGTGACATTCTTTTATAAATTCAACTAGGTTCCTACCTACTGTTTATATTTTGTTGGCATTTGTAAACAAATAAAAATGCAATGATATAATCATAAAAATAATAGTATTATTTCTAATGGTACAAACTCTATTGAAATAATTGTCTACATATATTATTTAAGTGTATATAAAAAGTTGTCCATTATAATTGTAATATAAATTTTTTATTATTACAAATTAAGACATTTAAATTAATAATTTAAAATGAATGATTTAATTTTGTACTGTTTTTTATTAATTCCTAATATTTAACTGTTCTATATACCTATATATTTATTAAAGTTTAATAAAAATAATACCTTAAAAATTAAAATTGGTAGGTATTTATTTTATATTTGTCATTTCTATATAAAGTTAAAAAACATTTTTGAATGTAAATGTGAAAAATACATTTTTAAATGTAAGGAACACATGCCAGGTATATATAACTGTCAAACCCAAATTTAATAATGTTAAAAAACACATGTCAAAATCAAATTTAAATTTTTAAAGTTATATCTACCTACTTAGGAATGTTAAACCATTCATTGATTGAAATCATTTTACCCTGTATTCCATTAATGACCTTAATTGAAATAGTGGATGAATTAATGGTAAATAGTATTATACTGTACTTTAATAAATAGAGGTTTAAGGTGCTTACCAGTGGCTGGCATACTCATTAACATGGGGGTTCTTTGGTTTGGAGGAGGCCCCATTTGTTGCATCCCCATTCTAAAATCAATGTTTCATTAGAACCGTTTTTTAAATGAAAGTAACGAATGACTTACCGTGTATTTCTTTGCATGCCGTTTTGGCTTAAATGATGATGCTCTTGTAGCATTGTTCCAATTCAATAAACAACCTTTTTACTTCTGACTTTTGACAATTCTCTATTTAAGGGAGTACAGCACCGGTACAACTTAAAATTTTCGCTGGTTCGCAATATTCCTTATTTTATTATTTAATTCGTTCGTGTACTTCCCTACCAAACACCACTACTAAATCTTTAACATACGTTGGCAAACAATAAAGAAATTTTTTTAACTAACATGCGGCCATGTTAGATTAGTCGCAATGGTGGATTTACCTCAATGCATATGCGCAAATGCGACCACTCCGCTGATCATTTCAAATTACTATATTAAAATGCTTTTTATTATTAATGTCGTTATTTTTCTTGACATTTTGGCCATCCAACAACCAACTATTAATTTCAAAAACCCATTTCAAGCATTCATTGTTTAATTTAAGTAATCAAACGAAAAATCCGGAAAATTCAATAAATTCAAGTAAATCGTATGCGTTAAAAATACAATTATTCTCATTCTTGCGCATTTCAAATACAATAGACCTTAGACAGTATAGACAATTTTAAAATAATATCCCAATTCAATTCCCACAAATATTTAAATTTAGATTCAAATATGGATATAAATATAGATATGGATATAATTGACTTAAGAATGTTACTATAAGGTATGTCAACTTTAAAATGTGAACCTAAGCTAGATATAACTGTAATAAAAACGCCGGAACTAAATTAATTACTACTACTAGGTACTAGTACATGCCACAATACTAAAATAATCTTTGCGCGGGAACGTCCCTTTGGTATAATGATTAAAAGCTCCCTCTAACTGTTGTAGGTCTATGAAAGGGATTGGCCTTTGTTAAATGCCTTATGTTTCTTCTTTGTTTAAATTAACTTTTTGTTTATAGTTGTTTATCGTTAGTTAAAATAAATAAATCAGTTTAATAAATATCACCAAATAATAAAACGTGAATAAACGCCATTTGGAGATATTTGTATTTATAGGTTGGCAACATAGCATTATTCTTTCCACCATTATGTTGGCTTGGTAGAAAAATGAAGTTTTGTATTATTAATTTATACTCTTCGTATTTTTCTTAATTTTAAAAGTGTAGTTAATCAGATTGATGTGTGGTTTAATTGGTGATTTGACAGTTTATAGTGCTCGATATAAATATATAAAATTTATCTTTAACCAAACATCGAAAAAAAGCCGGGATTTTTAACAAAACATATTTTTACGAGTTTAAATTTTTATTGTTTAGTTATTTTTTAGTTCATTGAATTTGATTTCACGAACGGTTTTGTTAAATACCGGACTGAAATATAGATTTTAATTGATAGAAGTGTATGAGTGATAAATAAAACCAAAACAAGCATGCATTTCAAAATGCTTTAGATTACAATGCCAGTCAATCTAATATTCCGATAAAATAAATGTGTTATTAAATATTAATATGGAAACTGAAATAAAATCTCAACCCGAAGACCATTTACCCAAAAATGAGGTATTGGCAAATACAGATGCAAATAAATTGCAAGAGTTACAAAACTCCCTCACTGAATTTATTGATGGTACAGACACTAATGAAATAATAGCTGAAGCTAAAACTCCCCTTCGAGAAGAATCCACAACACCTAATGATAAGGATGATATAAGTTTGAAAAATGATGAAACGGAGGATCCAAAAGGTAAAACTATTGACACTAATAACATTGAGGATTCCAGGCCTATTAATGATATAAATTTCCCCACCAAAGACCCAGAATCAATAAACAATGAAGAAGCTACTCCTATGGAGGTAGATAGTGAAGACAAGAAAATGGATACTGATTTGGTTGAGGAAAGTGATGATGAGCCTGTCAAAACCAGTGAAAAAGACTGTATTGAAGTTAACTTGGATGATAATACAAATATAGACCATGAAGATTCAGAAAAGGTGAAAAGTGATACTGTGGAGTTAAATGACAAGGATCCAGAATCTTCTATTAAAGATGTAGATACATCATTAAACAAAGAAGAGTGTCATAAAACATTAGATGTAACTCAAGAAAGTCCAAAAGTTGATGAAAACAAAGAAGAAATGGAGGAAAAAGAAGAAACAAGTGAAAAAGAGCAGGAAGATGAAGTTGTTAGTGAAAAGGAAAAAGAACCTGAAAAAGAGAAAAATGATGAACCAAGTGATAAAGATGAAAAGGATGCAAAGGAAACAACTGAAGAGTTGGACAATTCAACAATTGAAGATAATCACAGAGAGTCTGTTTTTGTGCATGTGGACCCTGAAACTGAAGAAAAAGATGGTGAAGATACTGACAAAGACAGTGAGGAAAACAAATTGATAGAAGAAGATCCAATTGGATCAGATGCGTTTGATTCTTTAAATGAAGATAGAGAAGGTGCAGATGCTGAACTGTGCATTATACCAGATTCTGAGAGAGTAATAACACAAGAAGAAAAGGACGCTGCAGCTACAATTCCGCCTCTTAAAGACATTGCTACAGCTGCTGAAACTACTGAAACTTCCACTGAAACACCTGCTGCTGCTGTTATTGATGTTGTCATTTCCAAATTTGAAGGTGAAGATACACATCAATGCAGTGAATGTACTTTGGTAAGTTGGTTTTATTTCTTATCAGATATTTTGAATAATAATAATTTTTACAGCAAAAAAAAGTAAAATTCAAATACACCAAAGACTCAAACGTTGAATATTTGTGTGATACAAATTGTTTGGAGCAATTTAAGTCAAAAAATCCCACCGCCACGACGGATTGGGAGGAAGCAACGTTAAGAGTAAAGGATTTTACTTCCAACAAGGAGGAAGTAATGTCAGTTGGTAAGTCTAGACTGTGTGCATCATGCAGTAAAGAGACATTGGATATAGAAAATAATTTGACATGGGAAATAATGGATTTTTGCAATGAGTTTTGTCTGAGCAAATATCAAAAAGAGCATGGTTCTCAATGCGCCACCTGTAAAATTAACGTAAAACCGAATTCTTTGGGTAAATATTGTGTGAGGTTTGGGAATGATATAAGGCAATTTTGCACCAGTACTTGTCTGGAGGAGTACAAGAAAGGCCTAAAGGTGTGTTCATATTGCCAGCAAGAAATGTCTGGGGATGTGGAGGGATTCTTGGCACCAGTGGGAGATAAAGGTCAGTTCAAAGACTTCTGTTCGCAAACATGTTTGGATAAGTATGACATCATGACCAATGACAGGCCGCCAAAAGTTGACGCTGGCACGAAATGTTCGGTGTGTCAGAAAGACAACCCAATTAAAATTGAATTTGAACTTGACAAAAGCAAAAACTTTTTTTGCAGTGACGTTTGCTTTGTGGCGTTTAGTTTTGTCAATAACGTTTCATCTGGCAAATGCGCGATGTGCAAAAGATACTTCGGCAAAAAATTATTGGAAGAAAATGCGATGTTTTACGATAATTTACAGTTCAGTTTTTGTTCTAATAGCTGCAAAAACATTTACATAATTGCTCATAGAAAAATAGTACCTTGCAGCTGGTGCAAAGTAAAAAAATATAACTTTGACATGATTCGCCGATATTCCAAAACAAATCCACAGATTAATATGTGCAGTGTTAACTGTTTGAGCTTGTACCAAGTATCAATGAACGCCGTAACCGCCAAAAAGACGTCCTGTAATTTCTGCCAAAAGGTACTTGCAGCTTTGTACCACCTAACAATGTCCGACGCCACGATTAGAAACTTTTGCTCTTACAATTGCGTAATGTCCTTCCAAAACCAATTCCCTAAGCAACCAATAACGCTGAACCGTCTGAACGATACAGGCTTCCCGGTACCTACAGGGGCACCCAAGAAAAACAAACGTTACGAGAAAGAAAACAGCCCAGAGGTGCAACTTCCGGTTATAACTAACGTACAGAGTTTGGCTACAAATGGTACGCTAAGTCCGAATCCTCCAGCATTGCAACCATTAACTAGATCCACAAGATCTAAAGGCACAACTTTCAATTCGGTTGACAGTGTTGATGATTCGCTGCAACACCAAATCAGGCAGCATTTCATATTTAAACCGGCCCCCGTTCCCGAACAAAGAAACATGGCAACAATGTGCAAGGTACGTAACACGAACAAAGGCGTCCAAGCTAAGGCCACAATGGTCAACAAAGAAATCCAAACGGACACGTGGGAGCAACAAAAAATTATTATACCCATACCGGTGCCGATCTACGTGCCCACGCCAATGCACATGTTTACCGCGCCAGTTCCAATGCCCGTTCCGTTCCCGCTTCCGATCCCCGTGCCGATTTTCATACCGACCAGTCGGAACTCCGCGGCGGGCATTATGAAGGAAATCAAAAAAATCCAAGTGAAAATGCCGACCGATCCCTACGAAGCCGAGCTGCTGATGATGGCCGAAATGGTGGCAGAAGAAAAAAAAGAGGACCCCACTGATTCCGAGAGCGACGTGGACGATAACACCGGTGGCGATGATGGCACCTTCAGCCCCGAGCCGGTAGACGCCAGCAACACTTTCGGCGACGATATGCTGCAGATGGCGCTCAAGATGGCAACGGAGCTAGAAGAACCCGCTGTAGACTTGGAAGGAGCCCTTACTGCTAACACCATCACTGCACCGCAAGGTAACAAAGTTATAGACTACTAGATGACCCGGTGAACTTCCTTCCATCTAAAATTCTTTTTAAGCGATTGTCAATCCAATTCATTGAACACCGTAAAAAGTCGCGGAATTGTTTTCACAGTCGCTCAATTCTGTCAAACTTACCTTGAAAACTTTACTATTTAAACTAATTTCCCGCTAAAACAATTGAATGAATGAATTTGTGGTTATGTTTTTGCATTTAATTTGAAGCGCAGCTACGAACGCCATCTATTCAAATTAATTCAAAGTTGTACGAATTTCGATTTTTTTTGATTTTCCGACTGTTCCTTTCGCTTTTTTCTAATGTAATTTTATTTAAATAACCCCTGTATTGAGGCGAACAAAACAAAAAAAATATTTAAATCGGTTGGGCCATTTCCGAGTTTTTGCAAGACTAACGCACGGCGATTCATTTTTATACATATGTAAATAGATTCAAAAAGTTCATTAATTGATTTAAACCAAACGAAATATTTCAGGCCATCATTCAGCTACTCCACATGCCATAGGTTTGTTTAAAACACAAAAAAATTAATAGTAATAAAATACTTATAATGGATCATTTTAGGTGCGGAGCAAGCCCACGAAGAAAGCGTAGACGAATCGCAGCCCATGCATCCGCATCAGATGATGGAGAGGGCCGCTTTGAGAGGGCGCAAGCGCGGTATGCGTCAACCGAAGCCGAGCGGCGCAAAGCGCGGGCGCAGAATGTCGCAAAACGTCGACATGCCGATGATGCAGACGCAAGCGCAGTCGCAAGCCCCGCCTCCGCCCGAGCCTGCTGAGAAACCCGATGCCAACATGTGCTTAAAGGTAAGTCTTGTTTCTAACGTATTTTCATTTTTCCTGTAGATTTTTAAGAGTGGGAGGCGCCGAAACTTTCGGCCCGAGAGACAGTTTTCGTATTTCAGTAGTAGATCCTTCACCGGCGTTGGGTGATAGTCGAAGTTTGCTCTGAATTATTAATACGCATCATTAAGTTAATTTACGTTTAAAAATGATTTATATACTTAAAATGTAACGTAAATGATTAATTAAAGGTGTACAATCATTATTTGTTTTGCATTTAAGTAAAAGTGTTTTCTTATAAAAAAAACGTTTAAGCATAAAAAATTCTCTTTAAAAACTAAAATAAATTAATTAAAAACCTTTGTTTTAACGATCCGGATATTTAACTGAGAATAGGTCTCTTGTTTCACGTAGAGAATTGCCCACTAAAGACCACCTTATCTGTTGCAATGTGTTTAAATAAAAGAAATTAATTTATATTAAAACGCTTGAATTACACACTAGCAAACGCAAAATATGACTGAATCGTCGCCTACGGCAATCCGCTTACAGTTGGGAGGGGCCAATCGGGTTTACTCGAGTGTATATATTTCTAACGTTTTTTTTGACTGAATTTTTTTCTAGTACACGTTCGGCGTAAACGCATGGAAACAGTGGGTGACTACTAAGAATACGGAATTGGAGAAATCTTCGCGGAGAGTGAAACTGTTTAAAACGGAAATTCTTCAGTTAACGGCGGATGAGTTGAATTATTCGCTGTGTTTGTTCGTGAAAGAAGTCCGCAAGCCCAATGGGGCGGAATATGCCCCGGACACAATATACTATTTGTGTTTGGGCATACAACAATATCTATTCGAAAACGGCCGTATCGATAATATTTTTTGCGATCCGTATTACGAGAAGTTCACTGATTGTTTGGACGAAGTGGCCAAGAAGTTCTCGGTTTTGTACAATGATTCGCACTACATCGTTACAAGAGTGGAGGAGGAACATTTGTGGGAGAGCAAACAACTGGGCGCCCATTCCCCGCATGTGCTCCTCAGCACACTGATGTTTTTCAACACAAAACACTTCAACTTAACTGTAAGTAGACTAAAAAGTATGAAGACTGTTTCATGTAGGGATGATTTTAGACTGTCGATGAACACATGCAGCTTTCATTTTCGCACATCATGAAACATTGGAAGAGAAATCCAAATCAACCAGGAGCGTCAAAAGTACCAGGGTCAAGGAATGTTTTGCTTAGATTTTATCCGCCACAAAGCGCTATACGTAATAATATTTTTTTAAATTATAAATACATTGTAACTTTCTGATTTTTTAGAAAATAACGCTAGAAAAAAGAAGGTTTACGAGCAACAAGAAAATGAAGAAAACCCTTTGAGATGTCCTGTGAAACTATATGAGTTCTATTTATCTAAATGGTAACTTAATTTTATTACTATAACGGATCAGCAACTTAATTATTATTTTTTTTTAGCCCGGAGAGCGTTAAGACTAGAAATGACGTATTTTATTTGCAACCTGAGAGGTCTTGCGTGCCAGACAGTCCGGTGTGGTATTCCACAATGCCACTGCCTAGAGAAGCATTGGAAAAAATGTTGCACAGAGTGAAAATGGTGAAAGAAATCAACGTGGCTCTTCTAACAAGTTAAATTTAATTAGATGGCGAATCTTAAGTATTCTCTTTTGGCATTGAAAATGTATTTTCTAATACACCTACTTAATGTAGTCTGTATATAAAATTTATGGCACTGTAAATATGTTGGTATACATCAAAACTTTACAAAAACATTTAGTAAACATTTTTTTTTATTATTAAATACATACAATTATTGTCTTCAATTATTTGTACATAAAGTTTTTATTGCTTATTATTTTTTCACTTAAGACGCCAGTATTTTAAATATCACAAATTTGACCATATACCTACCTATTTTAATTCATAAATGTTTGTAATATTTGTAAAAATTATTTTTTAATTTGTTAGCTTAGATCTGATTCTTTCTTAATAAAGTATATATTTAGTATCAAAAATATCTCGTATTTTCTAATTACCCAAATATACATGGTGTCTCAACCTTTGATATTTCAATCACCAACAAGTATATTTTGTAAATGCATATTTATAAAATTGTAACACCAGTTTTGTGGGTTATTCTGTCAACATTTTATTTCAATTAAATCGCTAAAATTAAAAAAAAACATTTATTAACAATAAAGTTCAAACCAAATTATAAAGATGCATAATATAACTTTACTACATTTTTATATTTAAACCAGTATACAATCTTCGCCAATGATCCAATTCTTCAATATCTTCATTAGTTTTCTTTTAAATAAATTTTGGGCACATTTTAGAACAGGGCAAAATCGACGTTTGTTTATTAAAAAAATGATGTAAATTACCAATAATGGGAAGGTTATAGCTTATTGCATTCATTTCTTTTTTAAACTGTTTAAGAGATGATGATTTTTAATAAAACGTAATTTAGTTATTTAAAATCAAAAGTATATTTTAAATTAAAAAAAAACATATTTATTAACAATAAAGTTAAAACCATTGTGAATTATAAAGATGCGTAATGTCATTTTACTACATTTTTATATTTAAACCAGTATAAAATCGCCGCCAATGATCCAATAATTTAAAATTTGTACAAGATCAAGATTAATACCACAAAAAATGGTGTTAAAATTTTAAAATTATATCTTCATTAGTTTTTTTTTAAATGAATTTTGGACACTTTTTAGAACAGAAAAATAATGTAAATTAGCATTAATGAGAAGGTTATTGCTTATTGCATTCATTTCTAAAATTTTGGTTAATTTTTTGTAAATAGTTTAGGAGATAATGAATTTTCAATAAAACGGCGCATGTTCAATTGCACATTGTTATTAAAAAAAATCATTTTTCTCAAATTTTTTATAACATTGTTAACCAGTAGATTTTCCAATACTTGGTTCTAATTTTTCTTCAACGTCAAAAATTGTACTCATTTGGAAAATGTTTACTGTTCTCTGATAATGAAAAAATATCGTCCGGTAAAAGCCCACTTTGCGCACTTCTATTGAAGGGGTTAATAAAAAGAACTTATAATATAAAAAAGGTTTTTATTGACAATTTCTAATAATTTCATGTTACATAATAGCGGTAAAAAAGAGTTTCATTTGTAAAATGCAAAAAAGATATGGTTTAAAGCTTCACTTGATTTTGTATAATAAAAATTGATATGCTAAAATAACAATGTTATAAATGTATAAAATTAAATATAGACAAACACAGGTAGTTATTGACGAACTTGTAGTTATTATGGCTTGTTACAGAAATTTGTTACCAAATAAATAATTGGTCAAATTAGATAAAAGTACTATAAAATATTGGTTCAACAAAATCAAATATCACTGTATATAATATATACAAAAATATATCCATATAAAAGAATTGAAAATTATTTATTTGGTACGTAGGTAGGTATACCTATAGGTATTGCCAGTAGTTATTATGATTTCGGTAATATTGACTTAAATGAAATACTAACTGCCCACCAGTTCAATTCTGCGATACTTTTTCCGCCTATTCGAGACCGGGTCTTTGAAAAGCACTGGGTCTAATCTAAGATTGGACCTTATTAATGGCATGTAACCGAAAACGGCAGCGAACGTGTTCAAACAAGTCTGTCTCTGGATGAAATGATCGGGGTCATTCCAGGGGGACCAGCTCCCCGCACTGGGCTGTTCTTTGTACTGTTTTCTTTGCGTCACTTTGATGGGCGGCCGGCGGGTCACGTGGCTCACCAAAAAATTCATCAAAATGTCCTCGCAGTTTTGGCTCTGTTCGACAGTTTTGTGTAGCAACGGGCTCAGCCAGTCGGTGTATAAATAGTTGTAGTATCTGTGGTAAAACGCGGCTCCTGTTAACACTATTGAATAATCATTGGTCCATTTCGACGTATAACCCCACGTGGACTTGGAATCGTCCCAGTAGTGGGACCGCGCGGGATAGCCAACGATTCTCTCGGGGAATTGCTTCCAAACTACAAATGCAAAATCTACTTCGTCAGTTGTCAATACTGAATCTTCATCTAGGGAAAGAACGGCAGTTGTATTTATTTCTGGATGAGGGTAAAATCTTTGGGAGATGCTCGACTTCAATTGTTCAGTACCTTCTTTGCTAAAGCCGGGCTGCACGATGTGCAAAGGAACATGCGGCGCTAACCCCGGCCATCTGTACCTACTCGGCGGCTTCTTTTCATTCGACCAAACTATCACTATCTTCGCTAAATACTTACTTCTTCCTACGTAATTAACTAATTTATACAATGGAGACACGTTTGTCAACGGTATCCCCAACTGGCAATATATGACCGCGGTGAAGCCGTCGTTCGCGTTCTCCTCTACGTGAAACGGAAAATCCTCCTTCGCGTCGGAGAACGTGGACAACGTCACTAACGCACCGGGAAAATTGTTCCAAACCAGGCCGTCGCGCACCGGCTGCTTAGGCAACCGCTCGCGAATTATCTCCAACGTGGTGCAAACTATTTTCTCAATAGAAGAAAAATAACGGTCCCAAAGCACTTGCGTCTGCTGCCGCAGCTGCAGAATTTTACTGGCAGGCAACGAGCGCACAACGTGCGGCACCTGCAGCAGCAACCTCTCGTCCGCCCACACCACCGCCTTGTTCCAATCGATAACCTCCGAAAACGGCAGCGCCCAGCTGTTCGACAGCAAAACCGGGATGCAACCCGCTTGCAATGCTTCGAGGAATCTAAACGAACCCAAGCGTCGTCCTCGCGGCACCAGGCAAAACGTCGAATTTTGCAAAAGCGTCTCATAATCGTACCTAAAATAATAACATCCAAATTTAACTTCAACTTAACTTACAGTCCGCGCGTTATAACTTGGCGAAGCTCGACGCAAGTGGGCGTAGCCGTTGGCACTTGCTTACAGCCTACCAGCGGCGTCAAAGATTAAAATTAAATTTTAAGTGAAATAAACAAAATAATTTGTAATTAATAAATATATATATTTAGGTTTAATATTGTACATACTTTTTATCCCGGTATGAATAAAACATTTATTGGTACAATTACTTAAATTAGTGCACCATACTTTAACAGCAGATTCTACGTTCAAAAATAAGAAAAAAGGTCCATATAAACATAGGTCAAGAAATGCCTCTTAAGGGAGCTACAGCCCCCAAAAGGAAAGCCCCTGAAGATTGTTTTTATTTAATATCTCCAAAACCGTTAAAGATAGAAAAGTGAAATTTGGGGAATTAATTAAACTTTTTATGACCAATAAGTCGTAACAATAACCATTTAAAAAATTTCATGAGGTTTGGGTCAGATTGATAGGGAGTGGGGTTAAAACCACCTTAAATTTTTTGTACTTGTACCAGAATTTGATGTCAGATTATGAAATTTTGGAGTTTTGCACATAAAAAAGGTTATCTCGTTGAACTTCGATAACATACACCGTTTTCGCTTAAAATCGATTTGAAAATTATTTTACGTGGCATAAAAATTCACAATTAAATCACAACTATAGAAATGGACTCGCGTGGTCCTTGGAATACGGCTGCCATGTTTAGAAAAAAATAGAATAATTCTAGACAGGTGACAATTTCATGTAGTAAGTGACAGGGTGTTTCTACTTTTTTATAAATATTAGATATAAACCATATTCAGGGGCTCCCTTTTCGGGGGCTGTAGCTCCCTTATGAGGCATTTCTCGACCTATATTTATAGGGACTTTTTTTCTTATTTTTGCACGTAGAATCTGCTGTTAAAGTATGGTGCACTAATTTCGGAACACCCTGTATATGTACGTATTTAGATATATTTATATAATTAAGGTACCTTTTAAAATTATACTGCTTTGTTACCTTTACTTAAAAATTGTATTTTATACATTTTTATATATTTTATATTGTACGTACATATATAATTATAAGGTTCCTTTTAAGATTATATAGTAGTATTGTTACCTTCACTATTTTAATTTAATGTATTTTTTCTACTCCCGCCTTTAAAACGCCCTTTATCATACATGTTTCCATGACACTAAGTGACCTTTTAAATACACATTGGCAAGTTGTGGCTTTACGGCGCTTTAGTCACGGGCTGAAGTTAGCAACAGGTTTTTAGTCACGGGCTGAAGTTAGTTTTAAGTTAGTTGACAGTTGTCAAATGTCATACAATCGTTAAAATAAAGTGCCTTTCTTGTAAAATAATACTAAATGTAAAAATTATTTTATTATCTCAATACAAAAATATTAAATAGTTTCTCAACGCCAATATTTGAAAAGTTTATATGAACATTGTACTGACCTTTTAATTTCGCCGGCAGTAAACTATAAGTTAAATTCGGGCACGGACTCTACTGTAAAGTCCTCATAAAACATTTCCTTTACTTTCACTGTGAAAAACTGTCAATTTTCAATATAAATTTCGATTTATAACCTTTATAATTGTGTTTATAAAATGTAAAAATGTGACATTTGACAGTTTCCCCTGTTGTTTCATAGATGGCGCTATATAAAATTTTTTGATTTAAATCATTTTAAGATAATAATAAGTATTTGTCGTAGAAAAAGTATAGTATGCACCTCGTTTATAAACTTTTCTATACACTCATTAACTTAAGCACATTACGTCAACTGAGCATAGGGCGTTCTCGCCAAGTTATAACGCGCGGATTGTACCCTTCTTCTTTTTCACCCTGTGTCAGATATACAGTCCTGCAACCCTAAATTTGTGTTATTTTTCATAACTTTTATAGTTTCGAACACGATACACAATCAGCGCCGCTGGTGGTGAAAAAATAAGACTTAATTTGTGCGATTTAGAGGGCAAGTTTTGTGAATTTCCCCAATTAAGTTTAGCATTGACTTATTTTCACAGTTAAAATTTAGGTTAAAGTAACTTTAACCTAATTAAAAAACAAAAAAAATTATTAAACGACACATGTCCAAAATCTGCATTTTTCAGGATAAACAAAAAATTCTAAAAAATGTGTGATATACTACTAGATGGCGCATTTAGTTCGATTTGAGCATTTTGCGACATGTGCGGTTTTTGAATTATTATTATCACATGGACGTTTATTTTAAACATTTCAAATTAACTCACGAAATGATTTCTTTCTCACGCCATGCTCAGATTATACACAAATGAGCAAGATGCTTGAGAAATCACTAAAAAGCTTTTAAAGTTCCATTTAAAACGCCAACCTAAGCCATAACAAATTACCAAACAATATAAAAGAACTTAAAGGATTTAAATTTAAAAAGCATATGTAGTCTTGTGTGGCGAATTTTATTGAATAAATAATGATATATCGTAATATTTTTTCTTTTTTCTGTGATATTATATTATAATGATATGTTCCTATTTAGAATTAAAAATGTATTAATAAAATAAAATTAATTTAGATTTAAAAAATGTATTAAGAATTAAAAAATATATATTAAATTGTATGATTAGAGGTGTCCCTCTATAAACTGTATGTTTCTTGGGATGAAAATAAAGTATTTTATTATTATTATTTATATATAACTTTCTTAAAAATGTCAACCCAACCTGGAAATGTCTACTTAAAATGTCAACTTTAAATAGTGATAAATGTCCTAAGAATGTTCACTAAATATAAATGCTTAGAAATCTTTAATTTAAAAACCCCAGATAACCAAAGTTTCTTAGTAAACCTAAAGAAACGCGTTGTCGGCAATAACAAGCTGGCATATTTCATGCAACAGTAAGCCAATAAGTTGGAAGTCCAAAACATTTCCCGTCAGTTGCATGCAAACTGCAAGAAAAATGTTTAGGCCCAAGTTTGACACGTATTTCCAATAATTTCTGATTAAGAGTTGTATTCAACAGAGGTGTAACCGACGGGCAACACATTTCCTAAAATACCTTGTTGGTCAGTTGCATGAAAACTGCAAGAAATTTGTTTCCGCCCAAGATAGCCGCTTATTTTCAATAGATTCCAGTCAACAATTGTATGCAACAGAGGTGCAACGGACGGCTAACATATTTCCCACAATAAAGAACCGCGCTTGCGCGAGAGTCCCCGCTACCGTTGCTCACCATTTGTTCTTTATAATTTATGGTTTGTTCTGCGAGTGTGTGTACGACGTGTTGATTAATATAAACAAGAAATCTATCAGGTATGTTTTATGCACGCAATAGTTATCTATTAGCTTTAGCTGTACCTATATGCATATGGAAAAATCTAAAAATCCTTTGAAAATAAAAAAAAATACAAAAAAGAAACCAAGACGTAAGTAAATTTTTAAATAATTTGTTATATTGAAGTGAAACTTCTTTCGGCATGTACCTAAATAGAGGCTATAAAAATGTAGGATTTTTTGAAGATGTAGTTTTTTCTTTGAAGTATTATAATTTTATAATGGTTTTTATTCAAATAACATTAATTTATTTAAAATTTCAGAAGCTATTATAATAGCGGTAATTTTAAATTAATTAATTAATGTAATATTACATTAATTAATTATATATATCTTTTTTGTATACAAAAATTTGTTGTAGTATAGGTACTACAAAAAAATTTTATAAAGCACACCTTACCGCCCTTGTAAAATTTGCATTTTTGAACCAATTTTTATCGCTCTTAAATATATTTGTATACAATACCAGCTAAACATTTTTTAATTTTTTGATAATCAAAAAAGTGCCGTGAATAAACACATTTAGTGGATATTTTAATAGAACCAAATGCTTCCCAAGAAACGACAAAATTTACCATAGTGTAAAAAATTATCAAATTATTAATTAAAATCTGACTGAAAAAATTGTCAAGCCAAGCGTTAATAAATTATTTTTATTTTTCAGATTGATTATGGGGCCTTTACACATTCATAAACTGTTCAGGAAGTTTATCTCCGACGAGATATGCATTATACATGGGGGGATGAGCAAGGCAATCATCCCCTTTACAACCCTGGTCTTGTTAGGGCTATTTTTGGTATGTTAAATAATGTTTTATACAAACTAAACATATGTTTATTGCTAAACATATATTTATTGCAGGAGCTGTGGGTACCAATAAAAACTTTGATCCACCAACGCGTGTTGAACTTCAAAGAGAGATAACGGCGAGTGGCAAAAGTTTTGCCGCAAAACAGCGTCAACGTATTACCGCTAAAGCCTGATTTATAGATTTCCTTCCTTCCTTCCTTCCTCTCATAAAAGATGAACAATACCAAAAAACGTAGTGCCATTTATAGATTCCCGTATGGGAATCTTTAAAAAGCACAACGGTTTTTGTATTGTTCATATTCTACGGAAGGAAGGAAGGAAGAAAGGCAATCTATAAATCAGGCTTAAGCGTCGAGATCCAAACGTAAACAATGAAGATTCCATAAGGCTGCGCCTGTTTGAAGCCGATAATTTATATAATAATAAATATATTTATTATTCCCGGCTGAAGGACGAAAGTCAATGGCCTTTTGAAAAATGTATTTTTTTCAATAAAGAACATTTATTATTATTATTTATTATTATATAAATTATCGGCTTATAAGGTTATTCTGTTGTGTATATAAATATTTATAAAATTTTATTTCTTTGTGAATATAGGTATTTTTGTAATAAAACGACGTTTGAAAAAATTCGAGTATGAAAATTTACGCCTAACCCTCTTGTTAAAATAACAATACCAATAAATGAGGCATTACTGAATTTGGTGGCAATTTGCCGATAACGTATCGGAAATTAAAATGAATAGGTAAATGAAGCGTTTGGAACCAGAGTGGCCTAACCCACAAATGTTTTTTCTTAAATGATGTTACAATCATTTTAGGACAATATAATATATTTTTCGGAAATGAAAAACTTTGTTAAAAAAAGCACCCAAATATATATATATATATATATATATATATATATATATATATATATATATATATATATATATATATATATATATATATATATTGTCCTAAAATTATAACCCCATTTTAGAATAAATGTTTGTGGGTAAGGCCACTCTGGTTCTCAACGCTTCATTTATTAATTTATTTTAATTTCTGATTCGTTATCGGCAAATTGCCACCAAATTCAGTGAATTTGAATAGGTAAATCATTTCCTATCCGTTGCCCACAATCAGTATACGCAAAAGGTTTCCCGTGTGTTGCCGGTGGGTTGCACACTATAAGTTGTCAAGAAACATTTCCGCCTATAAACTCTTATGTTGTCCACAATAATTATAAGCAAAAGGTTTCCCGTCTATTGCCGGTGGATTGCACACAATATATTGTTAGAAAAGATTTTTGTCTACAGACAGTCAAATGGTGGCACCCACTTGACAGCAAACGGCTACCATATCAAGAGAACGAATAGTAGGCAACTGACCGGCAAACGGAAGGTCGCTGGTTATCTGGGACAACAAATAAAATGTATAAAACATATCGATGGGAAATAATCATGGAAATTTCCAATGAGGACTATACCTACATATATTACTATTACATATATTTGTTTATTTTGATCTAAAATTTGTATAATTACCAATTAAAGTAAGCTTGTGAATAGCTTATTGGGAGACCAATAAAGATTTTATTATAATAATAATATAATAATTATTATTATAAAACTTATACTTATAACTATAACTTATAACTTATAACTTATAACTTATAATTATTATTATAAAACTTATAACTTACTTGTCATACTCTCTGTTGTCCTCATCACACCTGTCATCTTTCATCTCCTTCCAACTTTTGCCATGCTTGCATGTTGTCACCATTATCATGTCCTTTTGGTTGTGTAAATGGTACAGGGAGTTTCTAGTGTCAGAGCCAATACCATGGACATACCTCTTGCCCTTGAAGGCAAGCAAGTAGGTTTTCTCCAGGGGAAAATTGTTGGAGAGGACTGAACCAGGGTCGCCGCCCTTTTCTGAGTGGGTTTTGTGGAATAAAGGTATGCTGATGTCGAAACCTGGCCTGATGTGGTTTTCCGACATGCTGGCTTTGGCTAGAATGGCTTTGCCAAAATCGAAATCGAGATCGTTTTCAGTGTAATTTGGCCAGGTTCCTGAGTACAAATTAAAAATAACATGGTTAAGGCCGTTGTTCCAGTGTGGTAACCGCTGTAGTCTTGTTTGCATGTTTCTAACATAATCATTACTTAGGCGGTCCCTATCTAATGTATCAGTACTTAAAATAAATAAACAAGCTTTCTGGGGATCAGTAGTGTAATATCTTGATTCCATTACAACGTTTAGTAATTTTTGGTAGGACGGACTAGGCACTCTACTTTCTTCTTGTGGATATACATAAACAGTAAACTCTTTCTCACATTTTGTAAAATCAAAACATGTCTCCATTCTACATCTTATTTTATTGTTAATTGGTAAATGAGTTCTTTCTCTGGCACCCACTAAATATCCTGTCTGTATAGTGTTTAGATTGACAAACTCAGAGAGGATTTCTTTTGGTGAGGGAAGCTCCGGGACACGCTGCAAACGATATCCGCCAAAATACCAAAACGCTAGAAAAGCACAGCATGTAAACACCAACAAATATCTTCGTTTTGCCTGCATTTTCATGTAACTTTTATAAAAAACTTTATCAACTTTTTCGTTTCACGAAGCATGCATTTGTTATTGCCGTTGATTTTCCCATTATTTATCAGCCACAATTATCTAAGAAAATGATAAAATTTCGTTTAAAAATTAATTAACCTTCAATAAGTTTTATGTCAACAGTGACAGTTCGCACCATTGACTTTGTAAAGTGTAGAAAAACATAAAAGTTTTGTATTTATGTAACAAACCAAATTAAAATAACTACACAACATTGTATTGTGTTTGTTAAGGTTATGCTATAATATTCATTAGAGATTTTATTAATATATCTTTTTGTAAGCTATTTAAAACAAATTTTATATGTCAATGGTTATTCTAGGGGATTTGTTTACATTAACTAACCTACGCATTGACAGATGGCGCTAACAAATTATTTATTAACTTTTTATTTTGAGTAGTTTAAATAAAAATACGTTTATTAGTGTATTTTAATATATAAATTTTTCAATATTTATTGAAATAAAGCTAAGTAAAAGGGATTGTATTCGTTTTTCGGCATAAACATCGATGTTTTGGGACAGTGAATTTTGGTTGGTAGAAGTGATTTTCGCACCCAAAAGTCGTCAATTTGCCCGTGGTCTATTTGTGAACGAGTCGGGGTCAATGGTGAAAAAGTAGTCTCAGATTTGCCGAAAGTAGTGGTTCCCTTACGATTTATGAATTGAATAGTATTTAGCATAAAACCAATTAGACTATCGAATCATAGACATGGCTGCACCTGCCAGAATTCTCAGCAGATTATTTGGTAAGTGTGAACTTATATAATTAAGAAAAATAATGTTCCAAAATAGAATATACAAGACCTTGGAAAATTTTGGTTAAATTCTCTTATTGTTTTTATTGAGGAAACTAAGAAAACACACTTTACATAGCTTTTAATTTAAAATAACCTCCATTGACCTGGGAACAAAGTTCAACAAATACAAGTGCTTCATTTAATTTTTTTTAGCTGATGGTATTAAAGTTGGACAAGCAGTGAGATTTAACAGTTACGAAGCGACCAGATGGAACCTTAAGTTAAATGCCAACAGCAAAGTTATTTGCCAAGGGTTCACTGGCAAACAGGGTACCTTTCATAGTAAACAAGCCATTGAGTATGGAACTAAAGTGGTTGGAGGTGTATCCCCTGGAAAGGGAGGCAAAACACATCTCGACCTTCCAGTCTTCAACACTGTCCAAGAGGTAAGTCCTTTGTTACATACTCATTATGTATAATCAAAAACCATAATTTACCAAATATTTAAAGTTTTTAACAGTATAAGAGAACAGTAGGTATTGAAAATAATGTTTAAATTTGTATTAAAGTAAAATTTGTGTTATTTACCAAAATTCTCAAAACATTTTTATTTTCCTTCCTTATCTAATTGTGTTTGGAACTTTTACTGATTAAATTGTTTTGCATTGTTCCTGAATAATTATTTTTATACATTTAATGATAACCAATCAATAATCCAAAATATAGGTCATTAGGACATTTTTTAAATTTTTCGGAATCTCAATTTCCATATCGAAAATATCGTATTTTTGTACTTATAAGTATTATAATATAAAACGATTAAAACCTATTCTGGAAGATGTTTCTTGAAATTTTCGAATTCACTCCATGGTAAATATCTAATTTCTAAAGAATTGCTGTGGAGAATGTCGTTATTTGTTTATTGCATTGTATAAAGATCATTTTCTATAGAAAGTAACGTTTTTCTATGACTTATAAGTCAATAGTGTGTCTAAAACGTTGTATGTCAGTGGAACAAGTGTTTCTTCAAATTTTTGGCGTTAAGTCTCATTCAGAACCTCCTAATTTGTGGAAAAAATTAGTGGTTTCAATTATACTTACAATTAACACAAAACGATCATTCACAGTGCTCAAAATTAACATCTAAAATTAAGGGAATTTGCTAAAAGATTGTCCATTCTTTTACCCTGACATAAACAATATTAATTATATTAAAATAATATTTATATAACCTTACCTTCACTCGCAAATCTTCAAGCTTTTTGCTTTTGACATAATATATTATTATAATTATAGTGGTAAAAGTTAGAAGTTTGCAAACTTTTTCCACTAATTGAAAAGTACTACCACTATTTTTTTGGTTCTGAACAACACTGTGTATATTATAAGACAAACTTTTACGTTAATTGAAACCACTAATTACAAGGTTCTGAAACAATTGAAGAAACACTTGTTCCATTGACATGCAACGTTTTAGAAACACTATTGACCTACAAGTCATAGAAAAACGTTACAAAAAAGCAAATTTTAGGCTCGTGCAGCTACTGGTTGCGACGCAACTGTGATTTACGTGCCACCTCCTGGCGCAGCTGCCGCCATTTTGGAAGCTATCGAAGCTGAGGTTCCATTGATTGTGTGTATTACTGAAGGTATTCCTCAACATGACATGGTTAGAGTAAAGCACAGGCTTTTGCGTCAATCGAAGTCGCGATTGATTGGTCCAAATTGCCCTGGGATTATCGCCCCCGAACAATGCAAAATCGGCATTATGCCCGGACATATTCACCAAAAAGGTATAAAACGTGTAGAAATGTTATTAAACATGTAGCAATTATTTGCTTCTGCTTAGGTATCGTCGGTGTCGTTTCAAGATCGGGAACGTTGACTTACGAAGCTGTTCACCAGACCACCCAAGTCGGCTTGGGCCAAACTCTCTGCGTAGGTATCGGAGGCGATCCTTTCAACGGTACCGATTTCATCGATTGCTTGGAGGTGTTCTTGAAAGACCCAGAAACCAAAGGCATCATTCTTATCGGCGAAATCGGAGGTGTAGCCGAGGAACAGGCGGCCGAATACCTGACTCAACACAACTCCGGCGCCAACGCTAAGCCGGTGGTGTCATTTATCGCCGGCCTCTCGGCTCCCCCCGGCAGGCGCATGGGACACGCTGGTGCCATTATTTCCGGGGGAAAGGGAGGCGCGCAAGACAAAATTAACGCCTTGGAAAAGGCCGGCGTTATCGTAACGAAATCCCCCGCTCAAATGGGCACCGAGTTAGTCAAGGAAATGCGTCGTTTGGGACTGGCATAAGTTGTAAGTTTTATCCATTTACACTGGCTATTTCAATACCAAAACGACTAACAATGTAATATAGTTCTATAGCCAAATTTATTCCTACACCTCACTGTTATATGAAAAAGCTTATACACTAATTACCTTTATGTATATTCTAAATTCCAATTGTTAATAAATGTTATTTAAGCCAACATTCTGTTTATTCTACTCATTCCCCTCCTGCTATAAATCTACAAAAAAGGTTAAAATGAAATTTTCCGTCAAATGAACGGTTTCCTTAAAATCATGCCTTAAAAATTGGTATAGTTTTACATTTTGATCTTTTAACTTGAATTTTGTAATTCATGTAAAAATCAGTACCCAGAAAAAAACCTTCAAATGCTTTACAAAAAAAGCCTCTTAACATTTTTGGCTAAATTCACTCAATCAAAAGTTATTCAAGGTTAAAGTCAAAACGAAATTCTTGTTTTTTCCTCTGTAGATTTATTTTTTTATGGGTGTATTCACGGCGTTCTCTATAGAGAACGCCGTGGTGTATTATATAACTAATTAACAATTTCCAATAAAAAAAAACATGATTGTTATTATTTATACGATTAAATAGGTAACAGTGAAAATAATATTTTCTAAAGAAAATAGCTTCTTAAAGCGAAAAAACTTTAATGTGTTATTTTTTTTTAATTTTCAGTAATTTTATCAATAACATAAAGATTATCATCGATAAAAGAATTCAAGTCTTTAACTTACCCAAAAAATTTAACCTTGAATAACTTTTGAATTTAGCCAAAAATGTTAAGGGGCTTTTTTGTAGAGCATTTGATTTCTCATAAGAATATCTATCGGTTTTTTCCTGGTACTGATTTTTACATGAATTACAAAATTCCAAAGTTAAAAAGATCAAATTGTAAAACTATACCAATTTTTAAGGCATGATTGTAAGAAAACGGTTCATCTGACGGGAAATTCCAATCAAACCTTTTTTGTAGAATATTAAATTTTCTTCAAAAAATATTCTGAAGTCAATTTTGTCAAACTTAATGGTTTGGGAGTTCTGAGACAAAAACTCGCTTGGGAAAAAAAATCTAAAATTGCGATGATAGACCTCTTAATATTATGGACTCAAACTTTCACCAAAATTATTTTTTTGTCACCCCAAACAATATTTTCGATATAATTTACAAAAAAAATAGTCGATTTTTTGGCCCAGTCTAATGCTATATGCACACACAGGATTTAATTAGGGCTGCCAGATTTTCAAAATCAAAATGCGGGAGGTTAAAAAATTTGTATTCGGACAAAATAATTATTCTCACGCTAATTATAGAACCATATTATTTTTATGAAAATGTCCGGCGGAAATAAGGTAAACGTTTTGTACAGTACAAAGTTTATAAAGTTGTCAATAGAGTGCTCTAGCATAGGTATTTGTAATACAAATATATTTGAATAATGGTAGTACTCTATTGACAACTATAAAAAAAATAAGTTTATAAACTATGATCATTTCGTAATTACGCTAGCTTGCCAAAAAACGGGAGTTTACGGGAGCTTTTTATGAAAAAAAACTTCTTTCAAAAATCGGGAGGGTTGCTGTAAAACCGCCTAAATCGGGAGGACTAGCAGCCCAAGATATAATAGAAATATTCAGAGGTAAGTAAAAATAAATAAAACAGTAAATAGAGTATTAAAACTTTATTACTTAACGCGTCCATACATCAAGTCATCTTTACAAAACATCTCACATATATACATTTTCGCTCAGTGGAATGAAATCATTATAATAAAATACTTTTTCTTTTAACTTAAAACTACTTATCAGGAAAATATTTCTGCATTAATTCTTCGAATTCTAACTTGTAAGGTAACAGAGGTATAACAAATACTGAAATGTCATCACACGAAGCTTGTTTTCCACCTTTCAAGTGCCACATTTGATTCTCATTGGCTAGAGTGCCTCTAGCAAACCCAACCAGGCATGTTGCCGCACTTACATATCTCTCCTTCTCCATAAAAGTGTTTATAGATTTTGATACGATTTCGGCCGCTTTAGTGCCGGCTAAAACGTCCCAAAGACCATCAGTACCCATAACTAACACCTCCTTTTCATCCATGCTGACTATTTTGTGAACTTGTACTTCAGGGTGCGGGGATAAAAACGGCTTTATCGGGGTTTTTTGATATATTGCTAGTAGGTCGTGGTCTCCAAAGCCTCTGGTCACCCCTATTGTGCCCATTACACGGCTCTAAACATATATAAAAAATAATTATGATATTAATTGTATTAAATAATATGTTTTACCCTTTTGCCACTCCCAGTAATCACAGATATTTTTAAGTCATCTGGCTGCAGGGTTTTATAAGCCCAGCCCTTCATGTGAGCCTCCCTGTACATTATTGTTTTGCCCAAATCATCTGATCTTGGCTGTTGTGTATATTCGCGAGATGTAAAATTAGTGCCTAAAAAATGCAAATAATTTGTTACAATTACAATAGTGTGCTGTTGAGGATGCCGGGCGCTGATTGGTTTATTGCTTTCAATAGAGATAATTTTCTATAGAAAGTTAGGTCGCAAATTACAAAAAATAATAAATTATTGTAATTACCTAAAAGTGCAGGTTGTTCGTCGGCCAGTTTTCTTATTCTATCCCTCTCATTTTCCGGTGTGAAATCCATGGAGATGGGCAAAAATTCTTCATTCTTACATATGATTGCTCTAGAATCGCCAGCATTTGCTAGATATAGTTTGCCTAATATAAATAAAGCTACAAGGGCTGTGCAACCACCAGCTGCTTGGTACTTATTTCTATCTTCAGCTATTAATTGATCCTAAAATAGTATATTTAATAGTAATTTGTTGAAACTTTTCTCAATCTATAGTCCTGAATAACAATCAAATTGTTTATTGTGTAATATGATATAGAAATGATCCTCTTGTTATTAGACATGGAAACATATGAGGTACAATGAAAATAAATATTACTTTATTTATTTAGATAAACATTTCCAATATTTCCTCATTATATTAAAAACATACAAGATTAGCTTGTTTATTTAAAATTATTATTACATAGCCTAATTAAAATACGAAAATAGCTTACCATTTCATTAAAAGCGGATTCTAAAGCGCCCATTAGTAAGGAATCCGCTGATTTGCCATTTTTTTTATTTTTACTTAAATCGGCCCAAATATCATCCTGAGCATCAACCAATTTCTCCTAAAATATATTATTTATATAAAAAACAAACCCTTAAGATTAAGTGATTTATGACTAACATGTAATATGTGGTGCAACTGATTGGCTGCACATAAAGCAGCCCCTACTCCAGCATGTCCATCGAAAATTCCATAGTACGTATAAGGTATTGAAAATGTTTGTGAAGCAGCAGAAGTCTGATTGCCATTCTCTACGGTTACTACTTTGCTAAGAACGCCCTGTCTATATACAGCCTGATCTTCATTCCACTTCGATTTTCCAGCATTTACACACTCAGCATAGCCTGTATGGTGTGGTAGAGATTTGCTGGGGTGTATGATTGGCCTTAGTTTGTGATCAGCTGACATTTGAACTTCGTCGTCTTCCAAATGCAAGAAGTGAGGCCTGCCATAAGGAAATTTGGGTGCCAAATGGTGTTGGTTTTGTTTACCCGAATTCGAACTTTCACTACCGAATCCATTTAGTTCGCTACCACTACTAACTGCACCTATTACTGCATTTTTCACGCGGTTAAAAAACATTTTTATTACCTATATGTACACCGAAAACTGCATACATATATGTCAGCAAATTAAACGTTTACATTTGATAAACAATACATATTTATTACAAAATTAGTTGTCAAATGACATTGTAACCAACGTTAGAAAAAATAATAACGATCTTTTGACAGATCGTCAAGAAGCCTGTTCGTTAATCCTACACTAACTAAACAGAGTACACAAGGGCAGCTATTTCGGTTTTGCTTCTTTGGTGTTCTTTGGCAGCGAGTGTCGTGTATTTTATGTCTATATCCATACTCTTTTTGCAATGCCTTTGCATATTTAATCCAGAAAAGGTGTTTTTGAAGTTATATTTTTTTGGCGCTAATAAATTTAAGCAGGCGTCACACGTAATATATAAAACGCTTCTAAACGCCCGTAAATATCGGGAGAGCATGAAGTCACAGAGGTAAGTTACGTCGATGAGTGCCATTTGACTCGAACAAAATTTGACACTTAAAAACTGCCCTTGCATTTAATTTATTTAAAACCGAGTATTTGAAAAATGCACATTTAAATTAATGTTTCGGGTAATTGAAAACTGCCAAATTCTAACAAAATTGAATAATTGGAAACTGCCCTTACATGCAAACAGGGCCGGATTAAGACAATTTGTTGCCCTAGGCTAATAATAAAATGGCGCCTATAATAATTATTATAGGCCATGTTAGTATCTATGGTTTTAATATAGGTAACACAATACATTTTAGCCGACAGGGGCTAAAAGCCAGTGGTTGTAGTTAAATTATTGATCATGCATGCAATTTTTTTTTAAGCGGGGTCGAAGTGCATTGTAGCTAGCACGCGCTGCGGTATAGGCGACATCCATCAAAGAATAAAATAATTATTTATATTTCCGATTTTGTTGTTAAAATAAAAAAGGGTACTCTCTAAAAATGAATTAGTCAAAAATGACTTATATAATAGTTATTAGTGGCTGCTTTTTCACTTGTACCATGGTTAACTATGGAATACCTATGAGGTTCATTCCAACCAGCAGTAATATTACCGTAATATTATCGTCCGTAACAGCGTTAATGCGACTGCGCGAACAAAAATAGTAAAATTATTTTGAATAATGTATAAACTGGTTGGAACCTTTTTTGAACTGGTAGTACTTACAATAGCTAAAAGCTAAGTAAAGCGCATATAGGTATATCTATTTCAATAAAGTAATAAATATGGCAGGTTTTTTAAATAATTACTTGTATGATTCTTCGGATGACAAGGAATTTAGATTTTATTGGGGACATTGCTACTAGAAATAAATATAACCCACGTTTGTTGAGTTTATAAATATATATAAAAGTATATACTATACTATATATATACTATACTATATACTAATATATATTTTAATAACATCACACATTGATAATAAATTCTTCCATTCCTGCTCACAAATGACAAAAATTAGATGTATTAACATTAAAAATTAATAAAATCACCTTGTATAGCAGTCATTTTTAAATAATATGTCCACTTTAACAGAAAACAAACTTACAATATTACAAACGTTAATAAATAAACAAAAAGATGAGGTTATGTGCCCCTTCTACGCATGCGTCTAATTTTATTATCAACAGTTCTTGCTCTCGAGCAAGAATCGTTTGAACCGTAATTTAACTGTTCGTAACTCTGGTTGGAACGACGAACTGACAGTAATTGCCAGTTCTAAACTAGTAATTTTAGTTGGTTGGAACGACATTTTACAAACGCGCATGTGTATCAGTAATATTACTGGAAATTACCGCTGGTTGGAATGAACCTCATAGTATCACAAAATTTAACAGCCAATTGTGTATCAGTAATATTACTGGAAATTACTGCTGGTTGGAATGAACCTCATAGTATCACAAAATTTAACAGCCAATTCTTATGTAAAATAGTCCCCTGAATCCAAAAATTATAAAAGTGAAGCAGTTTTTGAGATATAGTCAATTACAATTAAATGGAAAATTGAACATATCTTAAAAACTGTTCTACTTTTTTAACTTTTGACGATATTTTCGGATTCAGGGGACAATTTTACATAAGAATTGGGATACCATGGTATTCCATGGAACAAGTGAAAAAGCAGACACTAATAACTATTAAATTTGTCATTTTTGTCCAATTCATTTTTAGAGAGTAGGTATTCCATGTTTAATAATTATAATTATTTAATTTAATTGATTAATTTTAATATTTAACCTACTTAAAAAAATGAGCCTTCTGCCTGGGCGCCTATTGGCTTCGCGGCGCCCTAGGCCATGGCCTAGGTTGGCCTATAGGTTAATCCAGCACTGCATGCAAAAATTAAAAAAATAGTATAACATCCGCACAGTAGTTCAAAATTAAAAAATAGCAGAGATCTCTGGAAAATACGTACAGCAACATAAATTTAGAAATTGGTAGTAACAATTCGAACCAGAGACCCTTGTCTCTGATTCGAACACTGGTATAAATTTAAAAAATGGTAGGACAAATTAGAACAGTGGCATAAATTTTAAAAAATCTACAAAATTTTAAAAATTAATAATGAAACCTTTATTAATTGTACTTAATATTTTTCTTCGAATATTTTATCGTTTTTCCTACTTACATAAATTATTTGCATGCATATACCTATAATATACCTATATTTATAGGTATACTGTATGTTTGCATGCAGGACAATTTATTTTTAGATACGATAATGAAGTATAACTTTTAACGCGCCTGTATTATATTCTAGATTGATGGCGCAAGGTATAACATTCGCCAGATCGACTCTACGCATGTTGAAAAACAAGTTTTTGACATTTAAAATTTATAAAAATTGATGAGGCAAGGTAAAACATTCGCCGGACTATTATCAGGGCCATATTACCCATTAGGCAGGCAAGGCAATTGCCTTAGGCGCCACAAAAAAATAGGCGCATTGTCCCCAACCAACTTAAAAAAATTGTTACCAAATGGTTTATTTTTCCAAAAAATAAAGCAAATAAACTATATATATACAATTATGAGAACGGTAGAGCACCGAATATTCTTTACTGTTTTAATTATTTTATAAAACAGCGGCTTCCTGTGTAATAATTTTTTAAATACTTACTACCCAAGTAGCACCACTGGTTAAATTAACGTTATTTTGTAATAAGTGGGGAATTTAATTATGATAAAATTAACGTTATGATAGTTAAACTTAACTTCTTGGTTAAATTTGGTTAAAAAGAAGTTAATATTTGATAGTTTTTGGTTTATTTTACCCTTTTTTAACTATTTTTTAAGTCAATTTAAGTTTATTTAAACTACCTATATTATATAGGTATATATATAATTATAATTTACCAAATATGGTTATTTACTCTCTTGAAATGAAATAGTAAAAATTCTACTATTTGAATTAGTATCAGCATTGTTTACTAATTAAATAGTCGTTTTTACTTTTAAATATTTATTTATTACTATAGTATACTTAATTAGTTAAAGTTTGACTAATTTAAGATAAGTCGCCATATTTTACTGTTACTGAGAGTTACTCTCAGAGAGTAATAGTAACTGATTTCTTTAATCGTTTTTAATTCTTGCGGCGTTAAATGCATATAGGCTCCATGGTCCATAAAAATAAAGATGCAAAAAGTTTAGCACCAACACAAAAAATATATTCAACTTTAACAATATTATTAACAATATTTATTGACAGATATCATAAATTTAATAAGTAACAGTGGTGCGTCTATAATTTGACTGTTTCATTCCGTAGAATTTGACTTATTATAATTAGTGACTGCTAATAATTATTAGAGACTGCTTTGTCGCCATGACAATAATTCAAATATGACTTATAATTAGTTATTTTTGACTTATTCATTTTAAGAGACTATATCTATAGATATAACTTACAGACTAAATATGTCTAAAAAAATAACTCGTCTTAAACATTTTTAAGTTATGTTTTATATGTATTTTTTTAATAAAAAATATTTTAATTTATAAGGGATAATAAGGTTAGTATGCCCGGGCGCCCTTAAGCTACCAGATTGTATAGTATAAGTATCGTATCTAGTAAAAGGCGCCAAATTTTTAAGTGCCTAAGGCGCTTGATTGCCTTAAGCCGGCCCTGACTATTATTCTATTCAGCGATTGTCCCAACACTTCGGCGAATTTTATATAGGCGTTAAATTTTAGTACACACTTTTCACTTTCTTGGGGTTCAAACATGCCTATTTAAAATGAAATAATTTAAACCTAAATTAAAAATAGAACAAAATAAAAATAATTACATTTAAAAAAACAAAAAATTTTGAAGTGGTATTTTATTAATTCATTTATAAAATATAGGGCTGGTATTTTAAAAATTGGAAGTCTTAAATTCAAATTTGAGCTTTTGACTAGAGCAGTATTTCCGGTTAAGCGCCCTCCAGCGTCGAAAATCCGTATTACTGGTTTCATACATATTGGTTCTGTTCTTGTCGAATCGCTGGTTGTACAGCAGTTTCGACACAGGTTTTTAATTGATGTTTTACGAGAAACTATTCTCTATGACAAATCTCGGATAAATAAGGCATACGTAGTGTTAAATATTAGCAATGAAAATGGAGTGGACACCGCAAGAAGATGGTTTAAGAGAAATTTTAACGTTATTACGGGAGTCGCAATCACCGGACACAGCAACTCAAAGAGCTGTTCAGCAAGTATCCTTTTTTTCAATAAATACTACACAGAGTTGGTACTTTTTAGATTTATTTTACTACTAAAACAAAAAATGATTTAAATGACTTGAACTGGGCTTTTCTCAGCTGATAAGTCATATGTAAGTTGTGCATGAATTTTTTGCATTCAAAAACTGTTTTACTTTAGTTATTATGATAATACGACTATTAAATAATAAATGCATTCGTTTTTTGCGATAGATAAGCATACATACTTCATACAAATTTGATGTTTACTTTCAATTTCATTTTATTACTCTAGCACTTATTTATATAATAAATTAATAAATATGCTGTAATGCCTCGTAAACTTAACTTATTAATTTAAATGTGCACTTAATTGATTATCTTTAAAAAACAATTCATCAAAATTGTTTTATTTTGAACATGAGTACATAATCTATAAAGATAAACAAATCATATACATATCTTATGAATCTAATCAAATAAAGCAAATATTTCCTTAACCAATCTCAAAGAAACTTGAAGAACTCAACAAATACCCTGACTTCAACAACTATTTAATGTTTGTTCTCACAAAACTGACCACTGAAGATGAACCGACAAGATCACTGAGTGGTCTAATATTAAAAAACAATGTCAAATCACACTACACAAATTTGGTACCCAACGTTACAAATTTCATTAAGACTGAATGCTTGCAAGCAGTGGGAGACCCCTCACCCCTAATTCGTGCAACAATAGGAATTTTAATTACCACAATAGCAAGCAAAGGTGATCTCGCCGCTTGGCCGGAACTTTTACCGGCACTATGCAACATGCTGGACTCGAGGGACTACAACATCTGCGAGGGGGCTTTCGGGGCTCTACAGAAAATTTGCGAGGACTCGGCAGAAAACCTTGATGCTGACACCAAAACTAGGCCTTTAAATATACTTATACCCAAGTTTTTGCAATTTTTTAATCACTCCAGTTCCAAGATTAGGTCCTATGCCATCGGATGCGTTAATCAGTTCATAGTGCAGAGATCACAGGCACTCATGGTCCACATGGATTTATTTTTACAGGTGAGATTATTTTTTTATTTTAATTGTGGTTATAGGGATCATTTTTTTTACATTTTAAATGTGTCTTATACATAACTTTTTTTCAGAACCTATTTCTAGTAGCAACAGATGAAGATGCTGAAGTGCGAAAAAACGTATGTCGAGCCCTGGTGATGCTCTTGGAGGTTCGAATGGATAGGCTGCTGCCTCAAATCGACAACATTATAGAGTACATGTTGCTGAGGACTCAAGACCCCGACGAAGGCGTAGCTTTGGAGGCGTGCGAATTTTGGCTGTCCCTTGCAGAACAGCCAATTTGTCGAGAAGTGTTGGGACAATCGCTCAACAGATTAGTACCTGTATTAGTGAGAGGGATGAAGTACTCCGAAATCGATATCATACTGCTTAAGGTAATTATGCTGAGCAATACGATGCTCATTTTCGCCTTGTATTGCGCAGCTTTTAAAACAGTTTGCACTGAACAAAATATAATAATTCAAAACATATTTAAGAATATAAAAATACGAGATTTTTAAACATTTAATATTAATAAACTTGCTGAAAAATGTCAAGATAAAATTCTCGTAATTTTACATTCTTAAATATCTCTTGGCATTTTTAGTTTTGCGTTCTTTATTATGTTTAACATTTTAAATTATGATTTTGCGTTTTTACATTTTTAGATACCTATCTGCGCAGTACGATGGTCATTTTCGCCTTGTAAAGCGCAGCTTTTTCTTTAAGTTAATACTGAACAAAATATAATTCTGACTTTCTAAAATGTTTTTTTACATTTTAATTTGTGTTTTTTAACATTTTTAAGTGAGTCTTGATAGTTTTAAATTTGTTTAAAATTCTAAATAGTAATTTTTACATTCTTAAATAGGTCCTGACATTCTTAGTAAGTTTGCATTATTTATTATGTTCAACATTTTAAATTGTTGTTATGTCATTTTCACATTTTTAAATATCTGCGCAGTACGATGGTCATTTTCGCCTTGTAATGCGCAGCTTTTTAATGAAGTTAATACGGAAAAAATATATTTCTTAAATGTGTTCTTGACATTCTAAAATGTTTTTTACATTTTAAATTGTGTTTTAAACATTCTTAAGCAGGTCTTGATAGTTTTAAATATTTTTAAAATTCTAAATAGTAATTTTTACATTTTTAAAATGTCCTGACATGCTTAGTAAGTTTGCATTCTTTATTATGTTCAACATTTTAAATTGTTGTTTTGTCATTTTAATATTTTTAAATATATGCGCAGTACGATTGTCATTTTCGTCTTGTAATGCGCAGCTTTTTAATGAAGTTAATAAGGTAAAAAAATATTTCTTAAATGTGTTCTTGACATTCTAAAATGTTCTTTACTTTTTAAATTGTTTTTTTAACATTCTTAAGTAGGTCTTGATAGTTTTAAATATTTTCAAAATTCTACATAGTAATTTTTACATTTTTAAATATCTCCTGAAATTCTTTATTATGTTCAACATTTTAAATTGTTGTTTGTCATTTTCACATTTTAAATATCTGCGCAGTACGATTGTCATTTTCGTCTTGTAATGGGCAGCTTTTTAATGAAGTTAATACTGAAAAAAATATTTCTTAAATGTGTTCTTGACATTCTAAAATGTTCTTTACATTTTAAATTGTGTTTTAACATTCTTAAGTAGGTCTTGATAGTTTTAATTATTTTTAAAATTCAAAATAGTAATTTTTACATTTATTAGTAAGTTTGCATTCTTTATTATGTTCAACATTTTAAATTGTTGTTTTGTCATTTTCACATTTTTAAATATCTGCGCAGTACGATTGTCATTTTCGTCTTGTAATGCGCAGCTTTTTAATGAAGTTAATACGGAAAAAATATATTTCTTAAATGTGTTCTTGACATTCTAAAATGTTTTTTACATTTTAAATTAAACTTAAATTCTTAGTAAGTTTGCATTCTTTATTATGTTCAACATTTTAAATTGTTGTTTGTCCTTTTCGTCTTGTAATGCGCAGCTTTTTAATGAAGTTAATACTGAAAAAAATATTTCTTAAATGTGTTCTTGGCATTCTAAAATGTTCTTTACATTTTAAATTGTGTTTTAACATTCTTAAGTAGGTCTTGATAGTTTTAAATATTTTTAAAATTCTAAATAGTAATTTTTACATTTTTAAATATGTCCTGACATGCTTAGTAAGTTTGCATTCTTTATTATGTTCAATATTTTAAATTATTGTTTTGTCATATTTACATTTTTAAATATCTGCGCTGTACGTTGGTCATTTTCGCCTTGTAATGCGCAGCTTTTTATTTATTTATTTATTTTTTTATTTTAAGTGTTTTTTAACATTTTTAAGTGAGTCTTGATAGTGTTTAAAATTCTAAATAGTAATTTTTACATTCTTAAATATGTCCTGACATTCTTAGTAAGTTATGTTCAACATTTTAAATTCTTGTTTTGCCATTTTCACATTTTTAAATATCTGCACAGTACGATGGTCATTTTCGCCTTGTAATGCGCAGCTTTTTAATGAAGTAAATACGGAACAAAATATAATTCTTAAACGTGTTCTTGACATTTTGTAATGTTTTTTAACATATCAAGTAAGTCTTGATAGTTATGTCCTGACATTCTTAGTAAGTTTTCATTCTTTATTATGTTCAATATTTTAAATTGTTGTTTTGTCATTTTTACATGTTTAAATATCTGCGCTATACGATGGTCATTTTCGCCTTGTAATGCGCAGCTTTTTAATGAAATTTACTAAATGTGTTCTTGACATTCTAAAATGTTCTTTACATTTTAAATTGTGTTTTTAACATTCTTAGGTAAGTCTTGATGGTTTAAAATTCTAAATAGTAATTTTTACATTCTTAAATATGTCCCGACATTCTTTGTAAGTTTGACATTCCTTATTATGTTCAAACTTTTAAATTGTTTTGTCATTTTCACTTTATTTAAATTCTGCGCAGTATGATGGTAATTTTCGCCTTGTAATGCGCATCTTTTTAATACTTGTTTAGGGTGACGTGGAAGAGGACGATAATGTTCCTGATAAGGACGAGGATATAAGGCCGCGTTTCCACAAGTCAAAAACGCACACCGTTAAGGCGACCTTAAACAGCAACAACGAAAATGGGGAGAAAGATGACGATGACGATGGCGATGACGTCGATGACGACGGTTCCCTGTCCGATTGGAATTTGCGGAAGTGCAGCGCCGCCGCGTTGGACGTGTTGGCGAACGTGTTTAGAGACGATTTGCTGCCGATTTTGATACCGATTTTGAAGGAGACCTTGTTTCACGCCGAGTGGGATATAAAAGAGTCCGGCATATTGGCGTTGGGCGCCATAGCCGAGGGCTGCATGTCGGGGATGATCAGCCACCTGCCGGAGCTGATACCGTACTTGATAAACTGTTTGAACGACAAAAAGGCGCTGGTGAGGGCGATCACGTGTTGGACTTTGAGCAGGTACGCGCATTGGGTGGTGTCGCAGCCGCACGAGTCCTACTTGAAGCCGCTGATGACCGAGCTGCTAAAACGCATTCTGGACGGCAATAAGCGCGTACAGGAGGCGGCCTGTTCGGCGTTCGCGACGCTGGAAGAGGAGGCTTGCACGGAGTTAGTGCCTTACTTGGGTTTCATACTGGAAACTTTAGTGTTCGCCTTCTCGAAGTATCAACACAAAAACTTACTCATACTCTACGATGCCATTGGCACGCTGGCCGACTCGGTGGGGCATCACCTAAACAAACCGGATTTTATAAATCTATTGATGCCCCCGCTGATACACAAATGGAATGTCCTCAAGGACGAAGATAAGGATTTGTTTCCCCTACTGGAATGTTTATCCAGTGTGGCTACGGCTTTACAATCCGGTTTTTTGCCTTACTGTGAACCTGTCTACTGTCGCTGCGTTTCACTCGTACAACACACGTTATGCTTGCACATGGTGAGTTATAAAATGGGATTTTGCATTCTTAAATATGCTTTGTGACACTCTTAAATTTGTCTTTGCCTTGGCTTCATTAACATTCTGAAATGTGTTTGTGATATTCTCAATAGTTCTTTTGACATAAAATAAATTACTTTATTGCATTCTTAAATATACCTCGACATTCTAATTTGTGCTTTATGTCACATTTTTAAAATTCTCAAGGTAGTTTGACATGCTTAATTATTCTAAAATTGATTTTAAATTTCTACATTCTGATTTTGACATGCCTTGGCTTTATTAAAATTCTAAAATGTGTTTATGATATTCTAAATAGTTCTTTTGACATTATAAAATTAACATTTCTTTATTAGATTCTTAAGTATCCCTCGACATTCTTAAATATGTTTAAATTCTAAATTGTACTTTGTGATGTGTCTTGGCATTCTTAAATAAGTTTAACATTCTAAATTGTGCTTTATGTCACATTTTTGACATTCTTAAGGTAGTTTGACATGTTTTATCATTCTAAAATGGATTTTAAATTTCTAAATTATGATTTTGACATTCCTTGGATTCATTAACATTCTAAAATGTGTTTATTATATTCTAAATAGTTCTTTTGACATCGTAAAATTAACATTTCTTTATTACATTCTTAAATATATTTTGACATTTTTAAATAAGTTTAACATTCTAACTTGTGCTTTATGTCACATTCTTAACATTCTCAAGGTAGTTTGACATTCTTTATCATTCTAAAATGGATTTTTTAATTTCTAAATTCTGATTTTGACATGCCTTGGCTTCATTAACATTCTAAAATGTGTTTATGATATTCTAAATAGTTCTTTTGACATTGTAAAATTAACATTTCTTTATTACATTCTTAAATATATTTTGACATTTTTAAATAAGTTTAACATTCTAACTTGTGCTTTTTGTCACATTCTTAACATTCTCAAGGTAGTTTGACATTCTTTATCAATCTTAAATGGATTTTCAAATTTCTAAATTCTGATTTTGACAGGCCTTGGCTTCATTAACATTCTAAAATGTGTTTGTGATATTTTAAATAGTTCTTTTGACATTTTTAAATAAGTTTAACATTCTAACTTGTGCGTTATGTCACATTCTTGACATTCTCAAAGTAGTTTGACATGCTTTATCATTCTTAAATGGATTTTTAAATTTCTAAATTCTGATTTTGACATGCCTTGGCTTCATTAACATTCTAAAATGTGTTTATGATATTCTAAATAGTTCTTTTGACATTGTTAAATTAACATTTCTTTATTAAATTCTTAAATATCTCTTGACATTCTTAAATATGTCTTGACATTCTTAAATAAGTTGGACATGCTTCATTATTTTAAAATTGTTTTTTAAATTTCTAAATTCTGATTTTGACATGCCTTGGCTTCATTAACATTCTAAAATGTGTTTGTGATATTCCGAATAGTTCTTTTGACATTGTAAAATTAACATTTCTTTATAACATTCTTAAATATGTCTTGACATTCTTAAATAAGTTTAACATTCTAAATTGGGCTTTATGTCACATTTTTAACATTCTCAAGGTAGTTTGACATGCCTTGGCGTTAATAACATTCTAAAATGTGTTTATGATATTCTAAATAGTTCTTTTGATTGTAAAATTAACATTTCTTTATTACATTTTTAAATAAGTTTAACATTCTAAATTGTCCTTTATGTCACATTTTTGACATTTCCAAGTTAGTTTGATATGCTTTATCATTCTAAAATGGATTTTAAAATTTCTAAATTTTGATTTTGACATGCCTGTTAACATTCTAAAATGTGTTTGTGATATTATAAATACTTTTTTTGACATTGTAAAATTAACATTTCTTTATTACATTCTTAAATATGTCTTGACATTCTTAAATAAATTTAAAAATTTTAATTGTGCTTTTATGTCACATTTTTGACATTGTCAATGCTTAATTATTCTAAAATTGATTTTAAATTTCTAAATTCTGATTTTGACATGCCTTGGCTTTATTAACATTCTGAAATGTGTTTGTGATATTCTAAATAGTTCTTTTGACATTATAAAATGTATTTTAATCATTCTTTTGGTATTCTAAAACGTATATAAAAAATCCTTTATATCAGGCCAATATGCAACACCCCGACCAATATGAAGCCCCAGACAAAGACTTCATGATAGTGGCTTTGGACTTGCTGTCAGGCTTGGCGGAGGGTCTAAATGGACACATTGAAAAACTTGTCGAAGCCAGTAACATCATGCAATTGCTGCACCTTTGTATGCAAGATTCGATGCCGGAAGTGCGACAATCATCTTTTGCTTTGCTAGGCGATTTGACGAAAGCGTGTTTTCAACACGTTTCCCCGCATATATCTGACTTTTTGCCTATATTAGGTCAAAATTTGAACCCTGAACACATCTCTGTGTGCAATAATGCTACATGGGCCATCGGCGAAATTAGTATAAAATTGGGTATGTTATAACCTATATTGTGCGTACATTTTTGGTTTATTTTGTTTTTTTAGGTGCTGAAACTGCCCCTTATATACCTTTAGTTCTAAATCAATTAATAGAAATAATTAACAAACCCAACACACCTAAAACTCTACTGGAAAATACAGGTATGTTTTATGTTTTTAATGTTTGAGTAATTTTATTTAATGTTGGTTTTGGTTTATTTAATTTAATAAATGCAGACTGACCTTTATAATTTTTAATTTACAGCAGCTGTTAAATTATGTATATTTTCATTTTTTAACTTGGGTAAAACCAATTTTAAATAGTTGAGATGGTGAAGTTTGAAATGCTTTGTGTTTGTTATCCAAGTTAAAACTTCTGATTATTATTATTATTAATTAATAAATGAACACATTATTTATTATTGATTTTGAGTTTCTTTTTTCTTGTTTTGTTCTCGGTATAGCCATTACAATTGGTCGTCTGGGTTATGTATGCCCTCATGATGTCGCTCCCATGTTACATCAGTTTGTAAGACAGTGGTCTGTAAACTTTTTTATTATTATTATTATTTACTTATTTAATTTAGTTTTTAACCCTTTTTTCTTCTATATGTAACTATTTAACTACAAAAGTCCCATTTTACAACCAAGTGGAGTCAAAAACTATTTGGCTTCTGCTTGGCAAAGAAACAAGTGTTTAAGTGAAATTTTGCAGGTGCATATCTCTGCGCAACATAAGGGACAACGACGAAAAAGACAGCGCTTTTAGAGGGATGTGCCAAATGATACAAGTCAACCCTGCCGGGGTGGTGGCCGATTTCATATTCTTCTGCGACGCCGTAGCATCGTGGATTAACCCGAAAAACGACCTCAAAGAAGTTTTTATTAAGGTAACCAAACTTGTAGCTCAATCGGAAATTTTTTGAATGCGGACGGAAGATGGAACGGTTACGGCGCGCGCACATATTCGAACAAAATTCACACAGTGGCTCGAAATTAAGAAAATGCGGTAAAAACTCGCACGGTGAAAATAGTCTTTTAAGTTTAAAATTTTCCAAAATACATTATCGACGAAATAAAAAATAAACACAAGTTTCACTTTAATTTTTTTTTTATTCGCAGATTCTTCATAGTTTTAAAACACAAGTAGGCGAGGAAAATTGGAGGAGGTTCAGCGACCAATTTCCTCCTCAACTAAGTGAAAGACTAACTCAATTATACGGAATATGAATCCTTCACCAGGTAATTATATCTTTTGGGGTTATGGTAATCTAAAATGCATTTTTAACTATGGTTAACATTCTGAATGCAATTTTCGTATTTTTTTTAGGGATTTGGGGTAAATAAACACAATTTAGTACCGGGGTGGGAACCTGGCTAATAACGAAGAGAATTCGAGCATCAGATCAGCAAGATGCGCTATAAGGGTGGGAACTTTAGAAAAAAAATAATATCGCAAATGGTACAAGCAGCATTACAGCCAACTTGAAAACGGTTCGACTGTTTATTTTTATTGTGTTAAATACATTCAAATTGTTTGTCTTTCACGCATGCTCGTATTTTAGAGAATTCCAAAGGGGTGTATAAATATGATAAAATTAAAAAACAATATTTCGTACAGGGTGTTTTATTTGTACGCCCTTTTAATTTTGCCATAAGAATTTTGATTGTTTATTTTATACAAAAAGGGAATTTTATACTTTTTCGGTTAGGTACATGATTTTATTATTATTTCATGGATTCTCTATTGATATGTTTATGTGATATTTTAGGACAATTTACTAACGAATTTCATAATTTCACACTTTTCGCTAGACTGGATTTAATAGACTTTATTAAATTAATATTATATTTTTTTGTGAAATTGGTTAGTAAGCTGTTTTAAACTTTTTAATGGAGTTTTACTGTAATTACATAGTCTTTTTAACTAACTAAACAAACTATTTTATTCAGTTTGTCTTTGAATATAAGCGACAACAAAATATGCCATAATTATCACGCAACACCTTAGTAAATTAAAACATCATACAGGGTGATTGGCATTTATGCATTCAAAATTTGTTTAATCATCCTGTATAATTATTATAGTGACGATATAAGTTTAAATTTTTACTACCTTTGAATAACAACTTTAAAGGGCACTTTTTAAGTAAAAAATACTGTTTATTTCGGGTATTTATATGATCTTTTTATTTTTTTGTTAAACTTGTTATTCTTAAATAAAACACCTCAAAACAAATTAATATTAATATTTATTAAGTTTAGACTGATATTTGTAATTTTTTTATGTTTCATTTTAACATATTCATTCTGTTATTTATTTTAATGTTATATAAAAGTAGTTTAAATGTTAATACCTATAAATATGTATATACTTTTGTAATTATTTTGTACCATAATCTCAGAAGCATATTTTATCCAATTTCAAAAATGAAATGACTAATAAAATTATCAAAACTAACCGACTTTAATTTTTTTATCCACTGAAAACATACAGAGGTAAGTAATCAAATAAATTAAAATTTAAAAAATTAAACCAGCATCAAAGATGTACTTAGTTAAAAACTACATTACCTACTTTACAAAATATAGTCAGGGAATTAAACAAAATCTGAATAAAATATAAATACATATATATAAATAAATTTTATTGATGTAGTTGTAGTTGGTTACATTTAAATTAAAAACAGAACTTAATCAAAAAAATATATTTTAATTAAGGGTAATCAAAGTAAAATTACTAATACAGTTTTATTCATATAAAAGGTAAGAAAAAAACATCACAAATACCTCAAATAACGTTGGTACACAAATTATAACATAATTTTTTTTTTCGTAGATAAAACAAAAATATAAAGTAATTGTATAAAGGTATTAACTTTAATTAAATTGTGAAATTAACATTTCTGTATTGTTTTGCCATTATTGTTGAATTTTTATTTGTCATTAAACGTCTTTCAGCTCTACAGGCACTTCATTCTTGGGATGTTTGTTTTCAAAATGTTGCTTGTATGTTTTTGGGTCGGGCATTTGAGCCTGAAAAGTTTTTATAAAAACACATTTAATTAAGTGCACTATGTGTGTTAGATAATAATCTAACTTTCTAAAGGTGATTGTACTTTGATATTTTATTATAATTCTTTAAAAATAAAAATCGGAAATACAATGTACCTATTAGCATTTTAAATACCTAATTATCTTAAAATAATATTTACAAATAATGGCATTTTTTGAAAAAAAATCAATATTTTACAAAATATCTAGGTTACTAATGTCAATGAATGCCCTATAAAGTTAAAACACAAAAAAGGCATTATTTGTTGTATAATTAAAAAATTAGTGCAATTCTTACCTTGCAAACTGCACAAACGTGCACAAGTGCTTTTTGGGCAGCCTTTTTTTGGTCAGTAGAACTGTGACCTTGTTGCTTTTTTGCCTTAGCAGCCCTTTCGGCAGCTTTGGCTTGAGACTGTAATTTCTGTTGTCCTCTTGCCATTGTGCTCGTTGTTTAACAAGAAAAATTGCTTATTAACAGTTATTTGAACTATAAGCTAACCTACAAACATAAACGTGTATTACTAATAATAGATGTAAAGGAATTGACGGTTTTACCTTTATTACTTCTTTGTACAGTTGCTTGTTTCGTTGTCGGTGCCTTTTCTTACGGTTTTATTCTGTTGTTGTTGATATTCCGATTGCTGCGAGGCAGCGAAAGCTTTGTCCACTCTCAAAAAGCACAAATTGGATTATGAAGTTTGATTTTATACTTGAATTCACCGTGCGTAAATTTATATTGAAGTTTTCTTCTTTTATGTGATGGTAGGCAACTACTATTACGTTTTGGTGCTGCCATCTGTTGCAACAAAACATTCCGCACGTAAAAGAAGAAAACTTTTCAATTTAATTAGACATTTCTTGATTATTTTTACATAACTTTATGAAGAAGTATTGTTTTTTATACGATATTTTATCATTTTTAACGATGATTAATAATTTATTTTATAACCAGTGAAGTTTACAATATGGCGTTGCTTCTGCGAGAAGAAGAAGAAGAAGAGAGTAGTGGGAGTGGTTGCACTATACGTCACTCGATATCGTTATGATTCATTTACAAGAAAATAACTTAGTGAGTTTTTAGCGTTCTCTAGCAAATTTTGTTTGTTTTTAGCGTAAAAACAGGTAAATATCAGTGTAATATAGACGATAATCAGGGTTTTGAGGCGTTCAAAAGGGCGAAAACCATGACTGAACACCTAGGGTTAAAATGGGACCCGAAAAACTTAGAAATAAGGACAATGTCTGTGGAAAGGACATTGGAACCTTTGGTTTTGCAAGTAACCACACTGGTCAACACCAAAGGGCCCAGCAAGAAGAAAAAAGGCAAATCTAAGAGGGCAAATGCTTTGGTCAGCACTGTCGAAAAAGCCACAGAAAATTTCATTGAAAAGGGTGAACTGATTGCATATGAAAATCCTGATATTACCAGGGAAATGCTGAATGCTGTAGAAGAAGTTAAGAAAACAGGTAAGTGATATTATTAATTATACATTGATCATTTTTTTTGGGTTGAGGCAAATTTTTAAACAGTGTATGTATTAGTCATCATGTTTGATTTCGTAATGCTAAGATTATGTGGAATTGCTTCAATATAAGTCACATATCAATGCTAATGTAAACCTGGTTTTATTTCAAGGAAATTTAATTTCTTTGTCTAAGATCATATTATTTTTGATAACATATTATATTATCTATGTTTACTATTGTTTTGTATATCTTGAATTTTTTAATTATCACAAAAATTTATTAAATATTCAAAAAATTTGGTTTATTAAATTAAAGTGTTGTCACTGCCAAAATTATTTTTTCTGGGGATTATTTAGCTTGTTTTAACATTTTTATGACAGTCAATAGCTTAGGTTGACAATCTTAAGACAGTTATATCTAGCTTAAGTTGGCATTCCTAAGAGAGTTGTTCTGACAGATATGTCACCAGTGCAACTACTATTTTTTCAAATTTTTAAACTTAAATTTAAGATGTGTTTTTAGTAAAACATGCTAAAAAGAATGTTTACTTTGTGGGATATTAAAAAGTTTCAAATATAAAAAACTTTAATAAAATTAGAAATAAAAAGGCATTTTTGGTCACTTCTAATTACTAAATAATCAAAAATAATAATGAAACTCTAGTTGTTATTTTTTTTTTCATGCATATAACAATTTTCATATTATAACACTTATAAGCTTAAGCTTTATATATAGATATTAAAAGGCACCACCATAAAATAATAAAAATAAAGAATATACATAGGAAATTTTCGCATTTAGCTCAAAATCAGTGTAGTTATATGTATAATTACAGATCACTGTAGAATATATTCAATTCCAATGTACCTAATTAGAGAATTATTAAACGCTTGAAAAAAAAAGAGTATATACAACACGGCGGAGAAAGCATGTTAACTATCTCGCTCGGATCTGCAGCCTTGGGTTGGCTATAATATACCTAAGCGCTTTCTACGACTATTGGATAATATACTATTAGTAATAATAGTCTACTACTCTAGTTTTAGATTTTAAATTATAGTAAGTGTTTCTAAGAACTGAATACACTTTCCACATTAAAAAAATAATGTGGTAAAAAATGGGTAGAAAATAATAAGGCTGCTTACTGGCATTCAAAATGACAACTGTCAATGCCTTTGACAAATATGATATTTATATAATTATCCAAATATATGATATATATCAATATATATCTGATATACGAGGTGTGTTAAGAAAATAACGGGAATTGTTAAATTTCGCGGGTTCGGAGGGTCCGGTTGTCATTATTATGTTGGTATACATGCCCCCGAAGTATGATAAAAACTTTAGCTGTTTTCATTGTTTACTTTGTCTGTGGCAGCCGCTAAGGTTAGACGTGTGTTAAGAGCTCGGCGATTTTTCGTTCGTTTAAAGAAATTGATCAAAGAATTTGTATCCAATTTTGCTTAAAAAATGAAATAAATTCTGTGAAATGTTAACAAAGGCCTATAGTGAGTCGGCTATAAGTAAAACAAGAGTTTACAAGTGGTATAAGAGTTTCCAAGATGGCCGTGAAGACGTTGAAGATGACGAACGCCCCGAACGCCCAAGCACATTAACAACCGATAAAAACATGGAAAAAGTGGAAGAAATGGTTATAAACCATCAGAGAAGTCGCTGATGATGTTGGTATATTGATTGGCTCATCCCATGAAATTTTTTCGAATGTTTTGTGTATGAAACGCGTGGCAGCAAAATTTGTTCTAAAATTGTTAAATTTTGAACAAAATTTTTGGCCAAAAACAATACTGTAATGATGCCCCAGCCTCCATATTCGCCAAACATGCCTCTGTCTGACTTTTTCCTATTCCCAAAAATAGGGCCATCGTTTTGAAAGCATAGATGACATTAAAAGCGCATCGCTGAAAGAACTAAAGGCTATCTCAAAGATCGAGTTTTAGAAGTGTTTCGAGCATTGGAAGAAGAGCTGGCACATGTGCATAATATTCAATGGGGACTATTTTGAAGGCGACAGCATTAATGTAGACGAATAAATAAACATTTGTTTCAAAAAACGAAAATTCCCGATATTTTCTGAACACACCTCGTATATCAAAATTTTGATATTTTTATTTTCTGCTTAGAGAATTAAAGATATGTTTAAAATTTAAAATTACTTAATTTAATATAATTTTAAAATTTTATAAACATGTAAATTTGTATTTTAATTCTATTTTACTCAATAAAAGTTGCTATCACAATAACAAGTTTTTTTAGTACTAGTATGTATAGAAATGTAAAATGTAGGTAAAAAATACAAGTTTATGAATATAAACACATTAAAAACAAAAAATTAAAAAACTACAACAGCCAATAGAAAACAACAACTAAAATAATATTAAAAAAAAATAAAAGGAGTAAAAAAGGCTGGCTAGAAACAAGTAAGCTTAGGATGAAATCAGTCTGGCTAATGGTAAATCCAGATCCGAATTTAAATCTTCATTTTCATTTGTGGAGGGATTTTCCGAGGGGTCAACCACCCAAAGGAAAAACGTCCAGGTATTCCCATGTATTCCCATTATATTTTATTGTATTCCTATGTATTTCCATTGTATTCCTATGGTATTCCCCCTCTAAAATGTCCAGGGATTCCCAGGTGTGGGTGACCCCTCGGGATTTTCTAAATGTTCCTGTTGCTCCAGCCAAACCCAATCAAGATCACGTTTCTTACTAGTTTTCCGTACATTTATACTTACTGATGAATAGAATTTTAGAAAAAAAAGTATTGCTATATATCAGGATATTTATCACTGATATATATTGTTTCTTAGGTACTCAAATGAGCATAGCCGCTCGCGAATTTTCCGAAGACCCTTGCTCATCCCTGAAACGCGGCAACATGGTCCGCGCAGCTAGGAACCTGCTATCAGCCGTAACCAGACTATTAATTCTCGCCGACATGGTCGACGTGCACTTATTGCTCAAGTCGGTCCACCTCGCCGAAGACAACCTCGAAAAAGTGAAAAACGCTTCGAGCAACACCGAACTAATCGACAACATCAAAAACTTCGGCCAAAACGTGAACGACCTAATGAACCAAGCTGCCAAACGTCAACAGGAACTGAAAGACCCGCAGCTGCGCGACGATTTAGCCGCCGCAAGGGCGGTGCTCAAAAAACATTCCACCATGCTGCTGACAGCTTCGAAGGTGTACGTGCGGCACCCGGAGCTGGCGGCCGCAAAAGCCAACAGGGACTACGTGCTCAAGCAAGTGTGCGAAGCTGTCAACACGATCAACGACGTTTGCCAAGGACGGCCGCAGCAGCCCACGTCGGGGCCCTACGACGGGCCCGGCGAGCTCGCAGCTGCGCTCGACGACTTCGACGTAAGTTGCAACGCCTCGAGAAAATTTCAGCTTCAATGCGTTTTGTTTAGGATCACACTGTTATGGAGCCGCTGGCCTACAACGAGGTCCACACGAGACCTTCTTTGGAAGAAAGACTGGAAAGTATTATCAGCGGGGCCGCCTTGATGGCGGATTCCAGCTGCACCAGAGATGAGAGGCGTGAAAAAATTGTGGCCGAGTGTAACGCGGTCCGTCAGGCTCTGCAGGATCTTCTTTCGGAGTACATGTCTAATGTGAGTATAGGTTGATTTGTTGTTGTTGTTTTCGAAGTAACAAAAGTTTGGTAGAATACAGGGGGTTTATGGGAAATACGCCAAGATTTTGTTGCTTGGTTTATTTCAGAAAAATCCCAGATTAGTGAATATTAGTATAGAGAATGTTGAGTGTTTAAAAAATTTAAAAAAACTACGAAACTTTTGAAAAGCATAAACATTAATCTAATTGAGTGATGGTTTATATAATTTTTATTTCTGTATTTGTGTATAGTGCCTTTTTGGCTTAAAACGTGTGTTTTGCATTTTTATTAGCAGTTACAAGTATTACGGGGAGGGATAAGGGTAAATATTAATGTTTGTTTATATGTGCACCACTTTACCTAAATGTTGTTTATACAATTCTTTTTGTTGCTTGTTTTGAATTATGCATAGAAAAATTAAGTTTATAAACACAATTTTTATTGCTAGTATAAGTAATAAAAATAATGCATACATTTTCTTTATTTTACAAAAAAATATCATGCAGATTTTAAGAAATATATTAAATTTAGATGGGAAACAATGAGAAGAGTGAAGGTTTAGGCAGAGCCATTGAAAATATGGGAAGAAAAACCAGGGATTTAAGAAGGCAGCTGAGAAAGGCAGTTGTTGATCATATTTCTGACAGGTAAATAAAATTATTTACAAAACTTGTTGAAATATCTTAAACCTGAGTAGGGTTTTAAAAGTGGTCAATTTTTCTGAAAATTACAAATTTTTACGGATAATATCCGTACAAGAATATTCTACCGGGCCGCAAAAAAAAATAAAAAATATATTCAGTGCTGTTTGGAAAGACTTTTTTCCATTGAAAATATCCAATTACAAAATAATGAATGATTTATAAGTTAAATTACAAAATTATAATTTTATAGTCAAATAACACTATAGTTACTTATGTTAATATAACAAGGCTCCCACACCTCCTAAAAGTTTGTTAAATCTTGAAAACTCCTAAAATTACCATCAATCTCCTAAAAATTAAAAATAAGTAGGCTGTGTTTTCTTAAGTTAGTTGTCGTGCTAAAAAAATTATAATAATAAATATATATTTTTAGGTTCTAGTTTATTATATTCTTTTTAGAATGATATATCATAACCTACATTTTTCTTAAAAAACAATAAAATATACCTAAAAAACAAAATCCATGTAGTAGCTTTTACAAAATTGTCATTTTTAGCCATATTTCGTTTGTTTTCGACAAAAATATACCGTGTTATATAAATCAAACAAAAGGATTTTTAATGTTCTTTAAAATGATAGATTAAATAGGAAACAATCTAAAGAATGTTTTGCTGTATTATGCAAACTTTTTATTTTTATTTTTTCTATTATGAGATTTTTGAGTAACAAGATCCACATTATAATTATTGTGAGTTATTAACTAAACGGTTAACATTTTTTTTCTCAAAATATAAATTTAACATCATTTGACTTTAGCCTAGTTTTCTAGCCATATCTATTGACGTGTTTATTTAAATAAAATTAAAAGAGTTTGGTGAAATTTCTACTTGTAATTTTATTAAAAAAAACTCGTTCAGCGATTTGGCTAAAAAACTAGTCAATGTTTGTTATTTTTATTTTTGTTAAAAAGAATTATTTTTTTCTTCTTATTTTTTAAGTACAGGGTAGAGTTGTTTTTATTTACTTAATTGCATAAATTCATTTGCGTACTTTATTTCCCCTAAAATCCTCCAAAACACCTCCTAAATTCCTAAATAAAATTTGTAATTTAGCTGTGGGAGCCCTGATATAACATAACTATCGTTTTATTTGACTATAAAATTATAATTTTGTAATTTAACTTATAAATTATTCATTATTTTGTAATTGGATATTTTCAATAAAATCCTTTTTGCAAAAAAGACAATTTTTCCAATTTTCTCCGTATTTTTTTGGCACTTTAAAACCTTACATCTGAGTTAAGACCGTGTGTGAGGGTTGTTAGTATTCGACGTTGCGTCTCTTGGTACTAGAGACATCTTCAGAGATTAAAATGAAACTGGAACTTTCTTTAAACAAGTTAAATCCTCTTTTTAGCTTTTTAGAGACAAACGCTCCGCTTTTGATCTTGATAAAAGCCGCGCAGAACGGCAACGAAAAAGAGGTCGAAGAGTACGCTCTGGTGTTCCAAGAACATTCCAATAAGTTGGTAGAGGTGGCAAATCTGGTTTGCAGCATGTCGAACAACGAGGACGGCGTGAAGATGGTGCGCTACGCCGCAGCTCAAATCGACAATCTTTGCCCGGAAGTGATAAACGCGGCGCGCATCCTGGCGGCGAGGCCGCGCAGCAAAGTCGCTCAAGAGAACATGGACGCGTTCAAGCAATCGTGGGAGAACCAGGTGAGGATCCTCACCGAAGCAGTGGACGACATAACGACGATCGACGACTTCTTGGCCGTGTCAGAGAACCACATCTTGGAGGACGTGAACAAGTGCGTGCTGGCGCTGCAAGAGGGCGACGCGGAGACTTTGGACAGGACCGCCGGCGGCATCAGAGGGCGCTCGAGTCGCGTCTGCAACGTCGTCACCGCCGAGATGGACAACTACGAGCCCTGCATCTACACCAAGCGCGTGCTCGAAGCCGTTAAAGTTCTCAACGATCAAGTGATGCCCAAGTTTACGCAGAGAGTTCAAGTGGCCGTGCACGCGCTAAGCTCGAATCCTTCGAAGGAAGTGGACGAGAACGATTTCATCGACGCCTCCAGGTTGGTGTACGACGGGGTGAGGGAAATTAGGAGGGCCGTTTTGATGAACAGGGCCGACGAGGATTTGGATCCTGAAGAGGTCGAGCTGGATGATCCTACTTTGGAGACCAGAAGCAAATGTAAGTGTTTTTGTCATTATTGTAACGTTTTTACTGTTCGTAGTGTGATGTGATGAAAAACACGCACTGGTTTATTAACGAACTAAACGATTTATTTTATAACTTAATTACACTTAAAACACTAAGAAACTATAAAACTAAACACTTAACTTCTTATTATTTATATATCACTACTGTATAAGCATTGAGTAAAGTGTGTGAAGAGACGCAAGGTGGTAGGAAGATCTGTGCCAGGCGTATTATTATTAATTTACAAGAAAATGTGTCCGTAAGGTGTCGCCATCTACCCACCAATGTTCCAAGCTTGAAAATATGATAAAATAAGGGGTATTTGTTTGAAATTCCGATCTCCCACGCTAGCTTCTTACCCCTCCTTTCACTAAACTCGTCGCTTAGCAACGAGACGACAACAATTTTTTATTTGCAGTCATAATATTATTTGTCCTAGGATTATTTGTGTCTGAATTTAGTGGTTTATTATTTCATCATTGAGTAAAGTAAGTAACCAAAAGAATTTATTTATTTATTTACAATTCCTAGTGCTGTTCTGAGAGGTAATTTCTATTCTATTTCATTATATAATTATTATTACTAATAATAATTATTAATTAACTATAGTTAGATATATCTACCCACTTTATCTAATTATTATTTATAATAATTAATAATAATAATTATTAATTAATTATCTACCCAATTATTATTTAATTATCATTTAAAAGTAAAATTCTATTTAAAAAAAATATGCCTCTGAAACGTGTGAAATTTATTTATTTTTAATTAAAAATGTACATATGTATGTATACATAGAATGTATACATAGAGGCATATTTTTTTAAAATAGAATTTTACTTTTAAATGATAATTAAATAATAATTGGGTAGATAATTAATTAATAATAATTATTATTAATTATTATAAATATTAATTAGATAAAGTGGGTAGATAGTTAATTAATAATTATAATTATTATTAGTAATAATAATAATTTTTATCAAAAAAATTACTTTTTAAACCATGCAAGCTGGATTTTTAAATTTCTCTTTCAATAAAGTTTTTATACGAAAACACCCTGGACATACATAATATTATATTTATACATTTATACCACAATTAAAATATCAAATAGGGTACCACTTACATACATATTATTATAAGTAATTTTTTTGATAAAAATTAAAAAACAAGAAAGCATTGATAAAATTGATGTATTTAATTGGTATTTGATATTTTTAATATTGATATTTTTTGATATTTTAATTGCCATTAAAAATAAATCTATGTATGTACAGTGTGTTTTCGTATAAATGGGACACTCCTCTAAAATCTTTATTTGAAAATATTATTATATTGTATTACATATATTAAATTAAAAATTAATATAATTATTAAAAAAATAAAAAATTCAGCTGCATGGTCAAAAAAGTGATTTTATGAAAATTTTTTGACAAAAATTAAAAAACAAAAAAGCATTGGTAAAATTGATGTATTTAATTGGTATTTGATATTTTAATTGACATTAAAAATATATTTATGTACAGGGTGTTTATGTATAAATGGGACACTTCTTTAAAATCTTTATTTGAAAATAAATTAAAAAATTAAAAAATCTAGCTTGCATGGTTTGAAAAAATAATTTTATGAAAAATTTTTGACAAAAATTAAAAAACAAAAAAACATCGGTAAAATTGATGAAATACATATCGCTCATTCGAAACAACAGTGACACAACTCAAAAATCAGTTTTTGAGAAAACGCATTTTAAATTTGTTATTAGGAACTATTTTTTAGAGAGTATGCCTAAACAACCAAAATATTTGAGCCCAGCTTTTATTTTTTTAGCCCGGCTTGGTTAATGGAAAACAGTAATAACAAATTTAAAATGCGTTTTCTCAAAAACTGATTTTTGAGTTGTGTCACTGTTGTTTCGAATGAGCGATATGTAGATATAACATTGATTTTTCCAATGAAACACCCTGTATATTTTTGAACATTTAGATAGAGTTTTTTATTATAATTTCAAATACACATATATATAATTTGTAGGTATATGTTTGAATTAAAAAAAATCTGCAAAAATAACACTTACAATTTCATAAATTACCTATCTTAAAAAAAACCCTCAGGGACACGTGTTTTTTCTGATCAATTAACTTCAAAATTTTACAAAATTTCTTTTAAATTTAGAATTAATCTAGTGGTAGCCCAATTGAATTGTTTTTCAAAAATATACAGGGTGTTTCATTAAAAAAAAACAATGCCGATGCTATTTTATTAAATTTACCGATGCTTTTTTGTTTTTGAATTTTTGTCAAAAAAATTACTTTTTTAAACAATGCATCTGGATTTTAAATTTTTTCGATATTCTAATAAAGATTTCATAGGAGTGTCCCATTTATAAGAAAACACCCTTTACATTAAAAAAAAAAGTTTTTTTTAACAAATATTTACATACATATTTTCGTAAAAAAAAACAACAAAAATAAGTTAAATTATCAATATACATTTTTGTTTTAAAATACTTTTAAGAAATAATATGCCTACATTATTTATCACAGCATTTATATACATATACTGTGGTTCTTATTTGGCCGATATCGAAATTTTAATCGTGCCGCCCCCTCATTTGTTTTTAAAAAATATTAAACTTAAATTAATGAACATTTCTAATTTTTTGAGGAAATGAAGTAAAAATATGGTACTTTTAAACAATTATGCATTAAATGAAAATTATCACTGATATTTTGTTTATTATGCCATTTTCAATAAAAATACAATAATAGTAATAACTGAATGAAGTAAAAAAGACTTTACTATGGACATAAATGAATTCTTTTTTTTTTTGTTTAAAAGTACCATATTTTCCTTTCATTTCCTCAAAAAATTAGAATTGTTAATTAATTATTAATGATTTTATAAAATTATTGCGTTTTAAAGCAAAAATCCCCTATATGAATTACTGTAAGTAATAATCGAGCAAAGTAAAAAAGACCTTAGGAAGAAAATACATGATTTCTTTTATTTATTATTTTAAAGAAAAAGTTGGAAAATGACCTCTTAGAACCGTGCATTATTTATTTATATACAAAATTTCCATGTATATTTTGATTAATTTATTGTTTTTAGATGGAATCTTTGAAAAAATTAATAGTAAGTGTTGTAATATTTAATATACTTAATTATTTTTATTTATTATATTTAATAACGCTTTACTTATTTTAGGAACAATTAAACAAGGACATTAAGGAAGTAAGTACTTAATAATATAAAATATATTGAAAGAAATATATTAACACACTATAGGTACTTTAATTAAGTTAACGTGTGGAAAAAATATTTGGTATAGGTACCTACTAAAATTGTTTTTTTTTTCTTTTTTTTTAAGTTGGAAGCAGATGAAAAAAATTTTGATAAAGTGAGTACCTATTATATTTTCTCTTTCATCTAGATTCTAGATAATTAATATCGATCATTTTTTTAGAAGCGGGAAAAGGAAATATCAAAGGTAAGTCTTTTTTTTTTTAAGAGTATTTTAAACGTTTTTTTTATTTTTAGGGACAGTTGGAAGATATTCTAAATAAGGTAAGTTACCTAATTTATAATTTATACAAAATATTAATAAAATTATTTTTAGCTTTTAGTTGAGGAGATCCAGGTAATAATAATAATAGAATTAAATATGTATTATTAATCTAATTAATTTTTCAATAGAGCCGGACGGACAACACCGACGAGGTAATAATACTGAAATAATAAAAACTGAATCTGTCATTAATCTAAATATTTTTTTACCAGAAGGCAAAGAAAACTGAGCCCGAAAAGGTATCTAATAATAATATTTCTAAAATATTAAATTCTTTATTAATCTAATTAACTTTTCAGCTGGTCCAGGAAGAGAAGGGGGATGGGGTAATAATAATATAAATAATAAAATACCTAAATATAAAACTTGTAATTAATCTTAATAATTTATTTACCAGGAGTCGGAGCAAACCAAAAATCCCGAAAATGTAATAATAATACCTTTAAAATATTAAATTTTATTATTAATTTAATTAATATTTCAGAAAAACGGCGAAAGTTCAACCAGAACTGAAGGGGTAATAAAATTTATTATTAATACTAAAATAATTAAATATCAGAAAATTATTCATCTTTTTTTTAACAGAAACCGGAGCAAACTGAGCCAGGAAAGGTAATATTAATGTTAATAAAATATTGAATTATTAAAAACATAAATCATTTTTACAGGCTGCCCAAGATATTATTAATGTGAGTGTAACTGAAACTATTTTAATTTTTATTGGCAAAGAAATGGAAATGTTTACTTGTAATTCTTTCTTTCAAAAATTATCATGTTTTGTACAAATGTAATGTAAATGCATTAATTATGAAAAAGCTGCATTAAAATAAAAGTTTTTAAAAAATGACTCTTATTGCTCAATAAATTATTTAAAATTTCTTTGATTGAAAAATGGTTGTTTTTATTTTTATTTTTTAATCTTTTAACTTGTTGTAATTTGCATTTAATTTTTTTCCGTAATTTTATTATTTTACAGGACATTTCTTTGTTATTTTTTCTCAAACAAGTTTTTTCTGGTGATGGCATATTTAAATATCGGTCACTAAGTACAGAGTTTGGTCTTTCTGGGCTATCTAAATTATCTACAAAATTTTCATTCTCAATATTTTGCCTGTTAATCTCATAGGTTTTTACATTTGTTTCCCTTAAGACACTAAAATTTTCTTCAGTATCTGCAAATTTAAAAAATATTAAATTAAAAAAAAATTAAAACCAATCATGTTATCAAGTTATAGTCAAGAGTAGATATGCAAATTTTAAAAAATTTAAATTTGTCTGTGGTATATTTTTTGTTTGACAGGTAAAAATTTTACACGTATTATTATTTTTTAATATTAAATCATTGAGTATCTTAGGGGCCGTCCATAAATGATGTCACACGTTTTTTTGATATTTTTAAAATATTATGCACTCTTACAATTATCCAATTAAAACTAGCGATTTAATTTAAATATTTAATAATTGCATAACTAAAAAAAAAGGTTTTTACAATTTTTTTTATATATTTTACTGTTTTGTTGCAATAAACGTTCAATTTTTAATATAACCTTTGACGTATACATTTATGTTCCCTTAATTAATATATCCTTAAAGGTTGCCATGAAACTTAGATCTATTACAAATTTATTTGACGTTTGAATTGTCATTTTCAGTATACGTATTCTATAATTTTTGTTTAGTTTTTTAAAGTGTTTTTTATAAACAAAAATGAAAAATTGTAGTAAAAGTTACAAAGAAATTCATGAAATTTAACGAAGGACCGGTTTATTCATCTTTAGTAAAGTTTATCGGGCCTAATCTTTAATCTGATTTAAAAAGTTATGGTAATATTTAAATAAAATCGCAAGTTTTAATTGGAGAATTGAAAGTGTGCATACCTACATATTTTTAATAAACATACAATTAAAACAAAATTAACCGTCAAATTTTTTTTATTTTGCTCTTAAAATTTATGTTATGACCTAATTAACAAGAATATAAAAAAAATTAGGTTTCACAGAAAGTCCAAAAATCACCTCTCAGAACAGCACCATGCATCTGTCACCTGTAATCTCTCACCTGCCATTTATCATCTGTCACCTGTCATTTGTCATCTGCCACCTGTCATACATCACCTACCATATGTCATCTGTTAACTTGACATCTGTCACTTGACATATGTCACCTGTTCACTTGACATCTGTCAAAGTGTTGTTGGATACTTTGTTGGGTTCCCCTGTATACGACGACCCCTTCCTCCTCCCTAAGTGTGTGACATCATTTATGAACGGCCCTTATTACGTTAGATAATTATGATTTTTCTAAACTAATCGATTTTTTTAGAATTGTTTGTAAATAAAATAAGATTAAACAAATCCCTAATTTTTGTTATCAAAATATCCAATGATGAATTTCAAGAAATCTTATACTTTTTTATGCAAATTTTATTTAAAAAAAGGTAGTTTTTTTGGAATATATTAAATAATAAATAAATTTAAATTTTTCTACTTAAAAATTAACTAACTATTTAAAAGTATTAAATTAAAAGACAAATTTTAAAAACACTAACATTTTGCCGATTTTTTTTTCTCATATATACATATATATATATATTATTCTTTACAAAAATTAAATTATTTTTTAATATTTCTCAAGCAGCTCCAAAATTGTAATATATATATACCCCAGAGTTTTCAAATTTTTGTCATTTTCAACAACATAATGACCATTTAATTAACAACACGTAAGTGCCTTATTTTCAAATTCTATGACTACTATTTAGCAATAACTTTTTTATTTTTAATGCAACGCCCTGTACCTTTTCATTGATATAACCATTTCCTATACCATATATGGTATAACCTAAAGTTAATAATAACAAAGATATTGTACAATTCCTATTATGTATTAAATATTACTTTTTAAATTAATAAACAATCGCTTCTGTTAAAACCGGAAGAGGAATTTTGTTCAAAATAATTTTAAAAAATTATTAATATTCTTTTAAAACCCCGGGGGTTTAAATTTTAAACCCCCTTTTTAAATTAATAAACAATCGCTTCTGTTAAAACCGGAAGAGGAATTTTGTTCAAAATAATTTTAAAAAATTATTAATATTCTTTTAAAACCCCGGGGGTTTAAATTTTAAACCCCCAAACCCCCCGTGCGCACGGGTGTGTCTATTTCAAAACTAAAACAAAATTTGGTTGCCGATTAGTATGTAGCATTTTTTTAAATTAAATCACCAAAAACAAAATATTAAGCAACACATTTGAATAGTTTGAAATATAAACATCAAAAACATTAAGCAAATACCGTTAAGTGAATGCCTATTGCAAGATTTTTGAAAATAACAATGTCATTTTAAGATAAACAAAACAAATCAAATTATATTGTTTTTTTTGTAGTTTTATCTTTATTTTCACTTAAAAATTAATAAATATATTTTCACGCACCTGTAATGATTTATTTACATAAAGAATATAAAAGTAATTGTTTAATGCGTTTAAAGAATTAATTATTAAAAAAGGCTTGTAAGAATGTCCTTCGGCAAAAAATGTTTTTCACAAATACATTTAAATTTTAGATCATTATAATCTAAATCCAATAAAAGTTGATTTCCGGAATTTTTCTTCCAAATTTCACACCGTTCGGTGTCTTTTATTGGAAATTGGAACAATACAAAGCTGGTTTTGCCTTTTTTTTTAAAACATTTGTTATATAAACAAGTATTTGTAGGTAAATTATTCATTTTCGCTAACGAATTAAGTACAACAACCTACTTCAGCAATTGCTTTGTGCAAACTGAATTAAATTTAATCTAGTCGACCTTCACGATGCATGCGACCGGCGGCCGCCGCGCATTGCATAGAAAGTGGGGATGCTGATGACGACGCGTTTCTTACTGTCTCACTCTAACGGTCTCACTCTAATTTAGAATTTAAATCTCAAGATAAGATCGACGGTGGCGCCTCTAACAACGAGGATCGATTTTGGAGTTATTTTAAATACATTAGACCACGCCTCTTCCCCACTTCTTTACTCAATGGTATAAGTGTCTATTTATTTGCACGTCGCGAGTACCAAAGCTTGACTGACTGCTCCATGCTGCGCTGTTCCTTATATACAGCCATTTTGCCCACCATGTCTCACTATGATTTTCTTGTGTAGCTTGGCTCACTAAACGCAAAAATCACACTTAAAATTTTTGTATGAAAGCGTTTTCGAGATATGAATTTTTTTAAATTTTCTGAGGTGTTTTGACGTTTTTGAGTATACTTTGAGTTCTAACTGATCAATTTGACCAAACAAGCACTTAAATCAAAGATAATTGTATTCCACTAAAAAATCCCCAACTTCGCCATTTTTCCATGCCAGTTAGGTTCTAGCACTTGAGAAGGGACCACGCGATAGCGAGTGCTCTTGAAACGTAAAAGGTTAAAGATTAAAACCAACAATAATTTTTAAAATGTGCAAACCAATTATAGTTGAACACAATTTTCATAGAGTGCAAACCAACCTAAACCAAACAAAAATGGTGCAACGGTCAATGAAGAGTGAAGTGTTAAGTGATGAATGAGTTAAGTGCCACCTGTCATTGGACGCTTTTCACTGGACAAACAAAGGAGGTCAATCAAGAAGGGAGGTGGCCATTCGCAAAAAAATTTGATAAGTATCCTTAAGCATATTCATGACCTAACACATAATCTGCAAATTAAACACGACGATATCTTTAAAACTCAAGAAAGGCACACTGCGTAGAACAATAAAGCTGTCAACAACAAATAAGGCAAATCCAAACGAGACCAATAATAAACACTAGACACACAGAATAAACTAACATTAATCATTATAATCCTAACATAGTTTAAAAAAAGCATAATAATCAAACAACTGGATTTGTAAACATTAGATAACAGAATAATTGCGCTTGTCATTTGTTTAACTAATAAATAAATGCATTACTTAATTTTGGAATTTAAGAAAAAAAGACAAAACTCTACCACAAAACGTGCTTGGGCAACACAATAACTAATAATAAAAAAAAATTGTTAGAAATTTCGCACTGCGGCAATAAACAATTAAAAAAAACACCAAAAGCTACAATTTACATCCAGCTACTGAACTATCTGTTGATGGTTTTTGGCATCAAGACTGAGGACACGGGCAATGACAATAACGAACAAGACAAAGACCTCGACTAGGAAACTACACCCCTGCAGCGAAATAACAACTCCCCAACTCCAAATAGTAATCCCAAATGTTTGGAGTAATACTAATCGACTGGTCTAGGGGGATTCCGCGTCGTACTTAGTTTTAAGTCGGCGTAATTGTCCCCCAAAAACCAACACCCTCCCGTCCCTCCTCCTATACCCCACTGAGCGTATAGCATAGGCTCGGCGAACCCGGGAATGGCTATTAAAACTATTCGCCTCTCGCTCTCGAGCCCCAAATAGGGGACAGTACGGAACGCAATGGACATTCGCACCCAGCAAACACGGGTGAAGCCGTGCAGTTGCTGGGGAAGAACAAAAATCGGCGTAAGTAAACATAGGCCTGTACGGGGTTCGAGAGTCAAGAGGAAATGGGGCTGGTTATACGTCTCTTATACTCATACTCATACTCAACTTCGCCATTTTTCCATGTATTTTTATCAACATTAGCTTGTTCTTTTTTGTAAAAATGTCAGCTTCGAGAAAAACATTCAAACTGGAGTTATTTGTTTGATTTAAACCTTTCCCAGGACGATATGTAAATTTTCGACCTCAATTTTTGCCATAAAAACGAATTTTTTAAGTTATTACAATCGCTAGCGTCAAAATACTTATCCGATATCAAAAGTATGTAAAAGAAAGTTTTATAGGGCTCAATTACCTTCAAATCGAATTTCAAGCTATACTCAAAAACGTCAAAACACCTCCGAAGATAGAAAAAAAAACAATTGAAAATTCATATTTCAAAAACGCTTCCATAAAAAAAATTGAGTGTGATTTTCGTGTTTAGTGGGTCAAAATACATGGGAAAATTATAATGGGATATGGTGGGCAGAATTTTTTTTTAATTTTGTAAACTAGTGTATTCAGTGCCTACGTGACACCAGTCACGCAAGCGCCTTCCCGAATATTCCAGCGAGCTCCGGACCGCTCTCGATCGCTCGAGCGCTGACTCACCGGCGATGAGATCCAGAGGGGTACTCGCTACATTATTGAAGATTATTTATATTAAATTTTGAATTCTAGCGAGTGCGCATACTGGAGAACATGGCGTGGACGAGTATCCAGACATCAGCGGTATAACCACAGCTCGCGAGGCGATGGGAAAAATGCCCGAGGAAGACAAGCAAAAAATCCTCCAGCAAGTCGAGTTCTTCCGCAGCGAGAAGCGCAAGTTCGACATGGAGGTGGCCAAATGGGACGACACCGGCAACGACATAATCGTGCTCGCAAAACACATGTGCATGATTATGATGGAGATGACGGATTTCACGCGCGGCAGAGGTCCGTTGAAAACCACCATGGACGTTATCAATGCCGCCAAGAAAATTTCCGAGGCCGGCACCAAGTTGGACAAGCTGACACGGCAAATCGCCGATCAGTGCCCCGAATCGTCGACCAAAAAGGATCTGTTGGCCTATTTGCAACGCATCGCCTTGTATTGCCATCAAATGAACATCACATCGAAAGTCAAGGCTGATGTGCAGAATATCAGTGGAGAGCTCATCGTTTCTGGGGTAAGTTTTCAGCAATATTTTTATTCAAGCTTTAATTGTTTTCTTACAGCTTGACAGTGCCACATCCCTTATCCAAGCAGCGAAAAACTTAATGAACGCTGTGGTACTAACAGTGAAAGCTTCATACGTGGCTTCAACGAAATATCCAAGGCAGGGACCCGTTACTGTAAGTTGGCGTGATTGAGGAGAAATTAAATTAAAAATCTTCTTCTTTTAGTTACCGATAGTGTGGAAGATGAAGGCGCCAGAGAAGAAGCCTTTGGTGAGACCGGAGAAGCCCGAGGAAGTTCGTGCCAAAGTACGCAAAGGTTCGCAGAAAAAAGTACAAAATCCAATTCACGCTCTGTCGGAGTTCCAGAGTCCCACCGAGTCAGTTTAGATTTTTTCATTTAAACGAAACACGGGGCAGCTGACTAAACTTAAAAACATATAGAAAAAACAATCATTAATACGGTTTGTAAATGTGTCAATTAGGGGCTAGTTTAATTAATTTCGTTTGGAAGTTTACAAAAAAAGTGAGAGTTTCTTTGATCCCAAAAATATAAATATTATAATATGGATATGTTGCTTTTATTAAGATGACATATCAACAACCTTAACTTATGCTTAACCAGTATTTACTTATACATATACGCAAATAAATGTATCCAACATACATTATATTTTGGTTTAGTAGTATATTGGGCTTACGTTTATTTTTTACATTTTTATGTATTTTATATTGATATATTATTTTATTCTTTATACCTACCAAATAAAGTGCATTTTAATATTTATTGAATCTTTGTTTTTATTTAAAATATCCTTCATTTTTAGACAAATATTACAATAGGTAAGTACACTGACGTTTTTAGTTTTTGAAAATTTTGGCTCGTAGTTTTTGATATCGTCTTTCCAGCTTATTATACGCTTATTATACATTATATAGTATTTAAAACATTTAAAAATGATGGTCATTTTAGATTGCATGGCTTGTCATTATTTTCACATGCCGTTTTTGGCTTGTCATTTTACTTTGTCATTTTGGATTATTCTTATTTTGACTTTTGGCCAAAAGTACTTTAAACAGGTTGTAATGATTACATAACATTATTAAAGCTTGTAAGTCATTTTGGCCTGTAGTTATTTTAACACGCCGGTTCTAGCATGTAGTCTTTTAGCTTGTAAGATTTTAACAAGTCATTATTTTGGATTTCCCTTATTTAGCTTGTAGTCATTTTAACTGGTGGTCAATATAGTTTTTAGTATTTTTAAAGGTGTTGTAATTAGAGCTTGTAGTCATTTTGGTATATGTATATACAAGATAAAATGACCACAAGCATTTTGTCTTGTCATTTTAGCTTGTAGTCATTTAAACTTGTTGAATTTTTAGTTTGTAATATTTTAAAAATGTTGTTACTAAAGCTTGTAGGTAGTCATTTTTGCTTCTTTGCCATCATTTTGGCTTGTAGTCAATTTGGATTAGCCTTATTTAGCTTATAGATAGTCATTTTTACAGGTAATCAATATAGGTTTTTATATTTTAAACATAATTTACATTAGGTAATTAAAGCTTGTAGTCTTTGGCTTGTCGCTATTTTAAACATGCCCTTTTTAGATTGTAGTCATTTTAGCATTTAGTCTTGTCATTTTAGCTTGTAGGATTTTAAAAAGCCGTTATTTTACTTTCTTATCGTTTTGAACTTTCGTTATTTAAGCTTGTAATTATTTAAACTTATATTTTTAGTTTGTAATATTTTAAAAATGTTGGTATTAAAGCTTGTAGTCATTTTTGCTTCTTTTACATCATTTTGGCTTGTCGTCATTTTAGCTTGTAAGATTTTAACAAGTCTTAAATTTTACTTTGTCATCATTTTGGATTGTAGTAATTTTAGTTTATAGTTTTTTAAACATGTTTTAATTAAGGATGACTTATTTTAACATGTCGTTATTTATGTATATATATATGTAAATTTAGGGAAGGGATTACATTTGGGGTGGGTTTATTAAAAGAATCATCAAATCTGTAAAATATTCATCGATAATATATTTATTTAATTAGAAATTCCCTTGACAAATAATTTTATAATAAATGCAAACATTAATTAATATAAAAACATTTGATATGTATAGAATAAGAAAGCAGCCTTTTTTATATTTAAAATATATATATTTTAAACTTTCATGGACAGCCCACATAAATAAATTAAAAAAGGAAATATCATCAAAAATAAACATGGCATACGTGAAAAGTAACTTAACCTACATAATACCATTTTGGGGAACAGCTAACAAAAGAGAAATATACAAATTATAAAGAATACAAAATAAGGTAATCAGGGTCTTAAATTAAACTGGAAACAGCTACTAAAAAATATATGAAAGCTGAACAAGGGAGAAGTAAACCTAACAAAACAGGAAGAAATACACAATTACAAAAATTAGGAAATATAATAAATTAACAGCAAAAATATCAAACCAAAGATTTTAAAAAAGTGATTGAAATATAAATAGAGACAGTATATATATTATTTATCTGTAGTGGCCCCTTAGGGCACATTAAGATGTATTTTTCTAAATAAAAAAAATTGATTGAGGTAACATTGATAAATAATTTGTTGGTATCGCACACCCAACTCAAACATTAACACTACAAGTCGAAAAAATATATTTGTATACTCTATAGATGATATGTATATTATACTTCTTATCCGCTAAAAATATTTTCCATGCTTGCGTGTATGATTGTGTACTGAGTTACGAAATGCGAAAATCGCCACACCTTTATTCTATCAGGTCATATGAATTCTTATAGTGTCAAGTCGTTATCATATGGCCTAATTTTTCGCCTAATGATATATACAAAGATCACAATGTTATTAACAACTTTAGGCGAATTCAAGCGTTTTGAAAAGCGCCAGGCCCTTGGGCGGAAAATGCTCAATTTCGCGGCCAGTTGTTGCTAACTAGGCCAATGTACACCAATTTGGCTGCACCTTGTACCAAAAAAGTGTACAAAACAATTTTACTTAAAACTAAGTGATTGAAAAATTCGGGGCATATAATATAATATTTGGCAAACAAATAGGGTTAGTTGCAGACGTGCTTTTGAGCCCAAACAAGGCATTTGGAGGTTTTTTTAGAGTGCAATTTTATTAATATACCACGAAACATCACCACATTTTATATAAAGCATTTTTAGTCAATCCAAAAAATTCACCAAAAATGCGCAATGTTTGTAAAACTTCGAGATTTTAAAAATAAAAAGATTTTCTTACTTGGGTACAAAAACATTTAATAACAATAAACCCCTTTATTCCAAATTCAAAATACTTACTTATATTATATCCCACATTTTTCCAACTGGATATAATATATATTATTATATACTATATTATATAATACTTTAGTGCCGCATTATCTTCATATAATTTATGATTGCAACATCTAGATACATAGAAATAGAAAACATGTGAATCACTTCGCCTTATTTACTAATGATATGTTTTTAATAAGTTTTGTTTCTTTTATTTTATCTCCTAATAATCCATTAAACTTTGGTGAATCAATTGATATGTTCTCATAAGTCTGTTTGATTGGCAATTTAATTTTTTGGTATATATTAAGGTAGTACCCCTTTGAGACAGTTAAAAGGGCAAACCCTAATTATACAAAATTACTTTTCAAGGGACTCAAATCAAAAAAATTAAACGGGACGGATCAAATGGACTCTGCTGCTGAAACCTACAAACAGACAGAAGATAGACAGGCTAAATACTAAACTACTCAGTTCTAAAGTACTTAAAGTACTTAAAGTACTTAAGTACCAAAGTACTAAGTACTTAAGTACCAAGGTAAGAAGATAGACAGACTAGATTCTAAACTAGTAAGTACTTAAAGTACTTCAGTACTCATTTCTAAAGTACTAATTACTAAAGGTCCAAGTACTAAAGTACTAAGTACTAAGTACCAAAGTACTAAGTACTAAAGTACTCAGTACCAAAGTACTAAAGTACTAACTATGAGAGTACTAAGTACCAAGTACTAAATACTAAAGTACTAAGTACTTTAGTAGGGAAGGTAGGAGTAGAAATTTTTGCTGATCTTTATGTGAGTAAGGGGATGGGCAAATAAAACCTGAGCAGCAGGGTCGAGTAAAATTCAGTCTAAAAAGCCGGTGTTGACCAGCTTTTCCAAGAAGAACTTCACGTCGCCAAGTTCGGAGTCCTTGATGCCGAGCGACTTGAGCATTCCAAGGTCGCCGTTCTCGACCGCCATAAACACTGCGCGCAGATGCTCCAAGTCGGAGCGCATCAGGTGTAATGCTGCGCCGAAGTCGTCGAGAGTTTGCGATTCTGAAATAAGATACATACAGCCCGTTTAGAATAAAACCGAATATATCTATATATATATGGGGCGTGGCCTCGCCTCCCTCCAAGGCGCGTCACAGTAGCTTGTGTGACAAACGACATGACGAAAGGTCGAGCAGGTAAGACGACTTAAAAAATTAAATACTAATAATGCAAAAAATCTCATTAGCGATGCAGGCTATTTGCTTAGCTACTGTGTCGCGCGTTGGAGGGAGGCGAGGCCACGCTCCATATATATATAGATATATTCGGTTTTATTCTGAACGGGCTGTATTTTGTATTGTGTTCAAATTTGAACCTTATAACTTTAATGGTTTTTAAGATATTATTAAATTTCGATATGTTGTCATCGTTTTTATTTAGTTTTCGATTCATAACACACCGTGAGATATCTTAAGATGTGGTTGTCATAAATTAACAAAATTGATGTACATATTGGGAATATTATGTTTTACATTGTGGGCAAATTTGGGCTTAATATCTTTTGTAGTTTTTATAGTATACGCAGTTAAAGTTTGATATGTTTTTAAAGTTCATAGCTATAAAAAACTAAGATATCTTAAGATTTGGTTGCCTTAAAAATACAAAATTTGGTGCATATAATAAGAGTAATATATTTTATATTGTGTTCAAATTTGAACCTTATAACTTTAATCGTTTTTAAGATAAGTATTATTAAAGTTCGGTATGTTGTCCTCGTTTTTATCTAGTTTTTTATTCATAACATACCCTAAGATGTGGTTGGTATAGGTGAACAAACTTTGTTGAATATTTTAGGAATATTATATTTTATATTGTGTGCAAATTTGAACTGAATATCTAGTTTAGATTTAAAGATATACTTAGTTATATTTCGGTATGTTTTTAAAGTTCATAGTTGTTGTCAACAAATTGTAAAACCGAAAATATTTAAATATGTGGTTATTTCAGATAAACAAAATTTGGTGTACATTTTTTAAATGATATTTTTTATATATTGTGAAAGTTTTAACTTTATATCTTGTTTAGTTCCTAAGATATACGCAATTAGAAATAAATAGGCATCAGTGATCCCGGTGCATTCGCCATTTTTGAAAATATTTTATTTAACAATGATAAATCAACATACCTGATAGTGCTATGGCGACTTTGTCGACTCCACCCAAAGGCTTGAGAGCATCCCTAGCTTTGCTTCCGAACAATTTTTCCAGATAGTTCGGGCCATGGCTGGCCAATAGGGATTTTAGAAAGCTTCCGGTTTCTTCCACGGGCGGCCGTTTGGCTGCTGTGCAAAGGCGCGAATCTTCATCGTATCCATCTGGACAATCCGGGGCACCATCGCAGAGATACTGTATCGATATACAGTTTCCGTCGCCTGGACATTTGAACGGTTCGTAGGGGTGACAGGCATCACCTGAGAAAAAAAGAAACATCCCGTTTTATTGAAGATATGTTCGATCGCCATTTTTGATAAGATATCTTAAGGTGTGGTTACCTTAGATATACAAAATTTGATGCATATATTAAAATTGGTATGTTTTATTTTGTGTTTAAATTTCAACTTAATATCTCTAGTGGTTTTTAAAATATATATATTTTTACCATTTTTATCTACAGTTTGCGATTTCTACACATAACTTAAGATATCTTAAGTTGTGGTTATTTTAAATAAACAAAATTTAGTGTACTCTTTAAGAGTACAATGTTTTATATTGTGTTAAAATTTCAACTTAATATCTCCAGTGGTTTTTGAGATATATATATTTTTATAATTTTTATCTACAGTTTAAGTTGTGATTATTTTAAATAAACAAAATTTAGTGTACTCTTTAAGAGTACAATGTTTCATATTGTGTTTAAATTTCAACTTAATATCTCCAGTGGTTTTTAAGATATATATATTTTTAAAATTTTTATCTAGTTTGCGATTTCTACACATAACTTAAGATATCTTAAGTTGTGGTTAGTTTAAATAAACAAAATTTAGTGTACTCTTTAAGAGTACAATGTTTCATATTGTGTTTAAATTTCAACTTAATATCCCCAGTGGTTTTTAAGATATATATATTTTTAAAATTTTTATCTACAGTTTGCGGTTTTTACACATAACTAAAGATATCCTAAGTTGTGGTTATTTTAAATAAACAAAATTTAGTGTATTCTTTAAGAGTACAATGTTTTATATTGTGTGGAAATTTGAATCTAATATATCTTTTTGTTCTTAAATTATACGTAGTTAAAGTTAAGGTATTATATAAATTATTCAAAATTTGTTGGCCTTAAAAATAAATGAGAACAATCCTCTTGTGTTTTAAACAGGGTTTTATAATGAAGTAAAACAATAAATTTTCAAACCCCTGAAATTGTCTAACTCTCTGAGAAAATGTTTGCCAACTTTTCGGTACTTTTGGTTTTGTTTTTAATAGCTGTAATTTAAACTTTCCCTTTAAATATTTTATTTATACTGTTTACTGTATACTTATTAACTTTTAGAAAAAAAATTAATAAATTTTAAACAAAGGTTATAAATAATTTTGTTTGTATGCATTCTTTTTTGTTATAGCTACGTTATAAATTTTAATGTACTCTTGAATAAAAGCAAATATGTCGTGTAGGAAAAACATTAGACTTAATATACGTGTCATATTAATTTAATTAAACGTTTTCATTAAAAAAGTAATAAAATTGTATTTAACGACACTTGGTAAAATAAAGTGCTAAAAAGAAGTATTCATACAAAAAAAGTTTTTCTCAATTAAAAATCTACTTTGTAAATAAACGCAATTACAGCACACCTGGTAAAAGTAATTTGCAATTTTAATGTTCTATGAAAGCCATGTTAAATTCATATCATGAAATTATATGGTAAGTTTTCAGATAAAGTGGGTAAATTAAATTTATAATCAACAGGTATGCTTGCTTGGTTTAAAAACGGCAATAAAAATGTGAATGTTCTTTTTAGGAAGATTTTTTTTATATTTTTATTTAAATTGTATTTCCTTTGCGTAGTTCTTCTAAATTGGTAATTGGTAAATTTTTTCTCAATACATTTTTATCCAGATTGGTATACCAATAGAAGAGGACCAATAGAATGGCCTCCCAGATCTCTAGATCTGATACCATCAGACTTTTTCTTATGGGTAAATGGTAAATGGTTTAATTTGATATTTATAACGAGAAATTGCAATAAATAATTATAAAAATTTTCAGCATGGTTATCTTAGTTTTTTGTTTTGTATCAATTATTTTTATAACGTGGTAAAATAAACTTGTCCGAAATAGTTATTATTAATTAATTTTTAATGAAATTTACTTTGTATCCATTCAGTGGCGTACTTATTTTTCTCCTAAATCTCCTGTGTTTTATTTTTCGTTATAAATATTAAAAAAAACTTGTCTAAAATAGTTCGTTTTTACCCATTTTAAAGCATGCCGCATTCAGTGGCCTAATAATTTTTTCCGAATTTTGACATTTTTATAGTAGGTATGACATTTAACATATTTTTTCTGACTTAGATAGAGTTTTTTATTCTCCATCTTTTAAGCCTTCGTTCATTAAAATCTAGTAACAAATAAAAAAGTTAAGGTGGTGTTTCCATCTTAAATGTGCCACACTGTATATATATATATATTTATTACTTAATTTTGGTAAATTAACCTTAAAAACTTTTTAAGGTTAATTTACCAAAATTAAGTAATAAATCCGCAAAGTTTGACTATTTTACATTGTGTTATACCTACACCCAAAAGTTTTATTCAACTGTTTTTACATTACGATTTAAATAATATCAGCGCATTCGCCATTTTTGAAAATAATAACATTGAGAAAATTCGCTATGCCGTATAAAACTTGTGCATTTAATAAATATATCATTTTGAAGCATGCCCCATTCAGTGGCGTACTTATTTTTTTTTCGAAAAAATGCCCCTTATAATTTTTTCCGAATTTTGACATAGAAAATTTTTTATAGTAGGTAGGTATGACATTTAACATATTTTTTCTGGTTTAGATAGAGTTTTTTATTCTCTATCTTTTGAGCCTTCGTTCATTAAAATCTAGTAACAAATAAAAAAGTTACAGTGGTGTTTCCATCTTAAATGGGCCACACTGAATATATATCAAATTTTTAGGTCTTTGGCAGTTTGTAAGGTTATTTACCAAAATTAAGTAATAAATCCGCGAAGTTTGACTATTTTACTTTGTGTTATACCTACACCCAAAAGTTTTATTCAACTGTTTCTACATTACGATTTAAATAATATAGGCGCATTCGCCATTTTTGAAAATGATAAAATTGAGAAAATTCGCTATGCCGTATAAAACTTGTGCATTTAATAAATATATCATTTTGAAGCATGCCGCATTCAGTGGCGTACTTATTTTTTCCGAAAAAATGACCCTAATAATTTTTTCCGAATTTTGACATAGAAAAATTTCTGGCTTGGAGAGAGTTTTTTATTCTTTATCTTTTGAGCCTTCGTTCATTAAAATCTAGTAACAAATAAAAAAGTTACGGTGGTGTTTCCATCTTAAATGGGCCACACTGAATATATATCAAATTTTTAGGTCTTTGGCAGTTTTTAAGGTTATTTACAAAAATTTAGTAATAAATCCCCAAAGTTTGACTATTTTACTTTGTGTTATACCTACACCCAAAAGTTTTATTCAACTTTTTCTACATTACGATTTAAATAATCTCGGTGCATTCGCCATTTTTGAAAATAATAAAATTGAGAAAATTCGCTATGCCGTATAAAACTTTTGCATTTAATAAATATATCATTTTGAAGCATGCCGCATTCAGTGGCGTACTTATTTTTTTCGAAAAAATGACCCTAATATTTTTTTCCGAATTTTTACATAAAATTTTTTTTATAGTAGGTATGACATTTAACATATTTTTTCTGGCTTGGATAGAGTTTTTTATTCTCTATCTTTTTAGCCTTCGTTCATTAAAATCTAGTAACAAATAAAACAGTTACGGGGGTGTTTCGATCTTAAATGGGCCACACTGTATATATATATATCAAATTTTTAGGTCTTTTATGGCAGTTTTTAAGGTTAATTTACCAAAATTAAGTAATAAATCCGCAAAGTTTGACTATTTTACTTTGTGTTATACCTACACCCAAAAGTTTTATTCAACAGTTTCTACATTACGATTTACATAATATCGGTGCATTCGCCATTTTTGAAAATAATAAAATTGAGAAAATTCGCTATGCCGTATAAAACTTGTGCATTTAATAAATATATCATTTTGAAGCATGCCGCATTCAGTGGCGTACTTATTTTTTTCGAAAAAATGACCCTAATAATTTTTTCCGATGTTTGACATAGAAAAAATTTTATAGTAGATATGACATTTAACATATTTTTTTTGTCTTGGATAGAGTTTTTTATTCTCTATCTTTTGAGCCTTCGTTCATTAAAATCTAGTAACAATAACAAAAGTTAAGGGGGTGTTTCAATCTTAAATGGGCCACACTGTATATATATATATCAAATTTGTAGGTCTTTTATAGCAGTTTTTAAGGTTAATTTACCAAAATTAAGTAATAAATCCGCAAAGTTTGACTATTTTACTTTGTGTTATACCTACACCCAAAAGTTTTATTCAACGGTTTCTACATTACGATTTAATATCGGCGCATTCGCCATTTTTGAAAATAATAAAATTGGGAAAATTCGCTATGCCGTATAAAACTTGTGCATTTAATAAATATATCATTTTGAAGCATGCCGCATTCAGTGGCGTACTTATTTTTTTCGAAAAAATGACCCTAATAATTTTTTCCGAATTTTGACATAGAAAAAATTTTATAGTAGGTATGACATTTAACATATTTTTTCTGGCTTGGATAGAGTTTTTTATTCTCTATCTTTTTAGCCTTCGTTCATTAAAATCTAGTTACAAATAAAAAAGTTACGGTGGTGTTTCCATCTTAAATGGGCCACACTGTATATATATATATCAAATTTTTAGGTCTTTTATGGCAGTTTTTAAGGTTAATTTACCAAAATTAAGTAATAAATCCGCAAAGTTTGACTATTTTACTTTGTGTTATACCTACACCCAAAAGTTTTATTCAACTGTTTCTACATTACGATTTACATAATATCGGTGCATTCGCCATTTTTGAAAATAATAAAATTGAGAAAATTCGCTATGCCGTATAAAACTTGTGCATTTAATAAATTATCGATCGGGATTAAAACTGTTGATACGGTTAACAAGTTGGCTGGGCGTGAAAATGACAAAAGTAAACATGACTAGGAAATGAAAAAAAATTACCTACAAAATCTACAAGCAAAATGGAATAAGTTATTATATATGGGTTTACCTCTTTTTGAGCTGATGTGTCCGTACAATCTGCTTAAGTCTATGGCTTGCACGGATGTTCCGATGAAGATTGCAAGCAGAAGTAGTAGCGGCGGATGAGGCGGTAACGCCACCAGAAACATGGTGGCGGCTGTCGCACTGCCAAAGCTACGTATAACGTAATGAACGTACACCCTTCGCCTAGAATTATTTTATACCGGGATTGTTAGTTGCGTAAAGAAATTACACCAATCCCGTGGATCCTGTTGCGCACACCACAGCTGTTCTCCTCGCCTCTTCTTTGCACAATCAATATGACATATTCAACCCCCACATCACACGCAGAACCGGACTTTTTACCGCACCACTCCGGGTTTACACAATTACAAAAAAAAAATGTTTTAAAATCTCTTTTAACCTTCTGGGTAGCACACTGTCGTTGCTAACGTCATTTAAACGTCATTTAAACGTCAGCAGACGTCAGTGTGCTACTTGGGTTGTTGATTTATCAAAAAAAATCAGCTGAAACAAGAACGAAAATTAAGTATTTCAATAGTGTTTAGTATTAAGAAAAACAACCATTAAAAAAATATATTTTTCTCTCCAAATGAGTTTAAATTAAGAAAACAAACATTGTTTACCCTAATTAATTAGCTTTAACTAAGTTAAACAGAAAAAAGAATTTACTAATTGTATGACCAGAAAAAAGTCCTTTTATCTGGAGAAATCCTCAAACAAAAACAATGACTTTTAACCTTTTAAAAAGCAGCCTTTTGTAATTTAATCATGACAAGACAGTTTGTCTTTATAATGGGGGTGATAAAATGTATTCCACTTCAAACAGTATATTAAAGTTTATTTGCTCAACTTCAATTATGAAATTAACCATATACCTTTACAATTATTTTTTCGTTGAGATTTTCCTTTATATTTTATTAAATTTTTTCCTTACTTACAATTAACTTGTTTATGACGTTATTAAAATGGTTTAATTTCTTTTTCCTTTGTCTCTTAGTTTCCTATACAATAAATATAAAGCATTAAGGTCGTTTGATTTATACAGGGTGAGTCATTTAACTTGAAACTTTAAAATATCTCAGTTAGTATGCATTTTTCGAATAAATGTTTAAAATAAAAATTAAATGATTCGAGGGAGAAATCTAAAACTAAAACTGGTCCTCATACTCTCCTCCTTATAGGGGGAACAGGGGGTAACTTTAAAATTTCCAATGGAACACCCTTTTTTTTAATGCAGATTCGGATTATTCGACTAAAATATAGGTAGATTTTGTCTAAAACATTTTTTCATATTTGTAATAAACTGCTCGTCATAAAAATCGACGCACCTACTTTTTGGAAAATATTTGAAAGCTCGTTATTGAAAAATTACTGAATAGATTTTGAAAATCTTTGGAAATTCTGAATAGCTGATTCTTTGGCTCTTATGTCTAATTTTTGGAATACGATATTTTGCACATAGCAATATACTACAGGGTGTTAAACGAAGAGATGTATTTTTTCCGAAATTTCAAGTTATTCCCATTCATGAGGCAGTTGAGTTTGACAGTCGTAATACCCCTCCCTAATATAAGTAAGGTAATCCCTCGGAACGTTTTCGAGATTTTGTGAATATCGCGGCTTACTACGATTATATGCCAATTTATCAAAAATTGTCGTTATTTCCCAGTTTAGTCCAAAAAATGAGCAATAGTGGATTCTTTGACGTCTAATTTTGAGAATACGAAATTGTGCACATAGCATTATACTACAGGGTGTTAAAAAAAGGGATGTTTTTTTCCAAAATTCCAAATCCCCATTCACAGGGCAGTTGAGCTGTAATTTTTCATCTAATGGTCATGCTTGAGTAGTTTTGTATATATTAGGTTTTCATGACTTTGTTTGTATTATTATTAATTTATGTATAATTAGGTAATTATGTATTTGATATTTGTCCTGTTATTGGAGTTTCTCTGTTGGGCAATAAACATTATTATTATTATTATTATTATTATTATTATTATTATTATTATTATTATTATTATTATTATTATTATTATTATTAACTTAGTGTATGTTATAGACAACAATAAACCAAATTTAAAAACAAAATTTTAAATGTAAATATTGTTTGATTGAATATTTTTACAACAAGAATTATCTACAAAAAACAAAAATATATTATTTTTATATAGGCAACCAAATCACATGATGTTAAAGTATAATAAAACTAAGATTGGCAATTATTTTATTTCGCTACACTAAAAAAACAAAAACTGGTACAAAATCGTTTTACGAAATTGTTTGAACATTGCAAACATCAAAAATAAATTCTCTCAAATAAAAATTGTTTTTATTTCTTAAACGTCGCAAAATTTATTCACCCTGTATAAATTTGTCATTAACAATAATTATTATGATCAATTTATAAGAATCGCCGAGATAAATTTAATTACTGTTGAAGACAATTGATTTTATTAATTAAAATTTTTAATTAAAAAAACATTGTAAACAGTTCTTTAATGAAGATTATGTAAAACTTACCTTGATTGGCGGAACAAAGAAATATTATTTGAAAAAAAAAACGTTTTAAATAGAAAAATCAAAAACAAAGATTTTAAGAATGAAATTTAATAATAATGCTTACGTACCTTATACATCTTTTTGATAAATTTCATTAAAGACATTTTAATTGATTTTGCCTGAGGTTATAAAATTTTATTTTAATTTACAGTAGTAACTAATAAAATATTTTTAATGTTAAGTTATTGTCAAGAAATTATAATTAATTTCTATTTGTTCTAATTTTTAAAATTTTTATAATTATAGGTCAACAATTATTAATAAAAAAACAATGGTATTATTGCAAAATAGATTTATTGAAAGGAAGTTAATAAATACATATAACACAAATAAATGTTTTAAAATGTTTAGATCAGTGGCGTAGCTAGCCTCGAGGGGGCCCCGTATAAAAAATCTGGTAGGGGCCCTTATACAGGAAAATCTGCTGGCAAAAAAATTTCTGGGTCCCAAAGTTTAAATAACTATAAATTTACTACCAAGTCAACTTTAAAGTATGTTTTACGGTTAACCAAAACGGTTTTATACGGTTTTATAAGAAAAATTACCAAATTCGGGAAATGGTTTATTTCGTTATTTTACATAAATAATAACCTTTTTGATCTACTAAGAGAATAACGTAATAAAAACTATAAATACCACAAATTTACGTAAAAATAAGGTTATAACTACTAACTATTTGCTCTCTCTTTTTAAAACATTGACATTCGTAATTTCTTTGTTCTTTTAATTTATAATTTACAAAATCGTACCTACAAAGTAATAATATAGTAAAATTAAAATATAACTTAAATTGTCAAAACTAATAAAATTATTTTATTGTTAAAAATAGGCACGATACCTCTTAAAAATTATATGCCCTCTAAATATTTTACGGTTTTAAGAAAAATTATTGCTTGGGTAAAAATTCAACAAAACTTAAAACCTACAAAATTATATAAAATCTTTTAAAAATCATTTAGTTTTAAACATCTTTTAATAACTAAAACTTTCCTTATTATATTTTATAAAAATATTTATGAAAAAATATCATATATGTAAATGTTTAGATAAGTAATGGATGCCATCTTAAAAAACTCATTATGGGGACCTGAAAAAAGATTTCCCTTAAAGTCTTATTTTTCACTTTAAGTTTTTCCTTGTGTAGTCAATATTAATAGTAATTATTACCACTAATAACCCTAAAAAATACCATGCGAATAGGAATTATTTACGGTTATAAAGTTATAAAATTATGACTTATGAGTAACATTTACCATTAAGTAAAAATTCTGACGTTAAAATTACCGTTAAATTTTCCTTTAGGTGAAATACACTTGTAAGTAATTTTCTTTCGTAAAAATTTTGTCCCTCATAATACTTTAAAGTGTTGAAACTTAAGGGTTATTATAATAACCCTTAATTTTATAAAATAGGTAAAAATAACATATATGTTTATAAATAAAACTTATTAAATAACTTTAAAAAAAGTTTTACTTAAAAGTAAATTTTTAAGATTAATTTAACAAAATATTTACTTAAATTAAGTAATATTGCCTCAAAGCTCTACGCTTTTACTTAAAATGCTGCTTGGGTTAAAACAATACAATTAACCCCCAAGAGTATAATTTGTCAAAAATGGCGGATGCCCCCATCACATATCGCATAATTGTTATTAAGTACTACTTCAGACAAAATTTTGCAGAAACACTGTGAAAAGTTTCACCGGTTTATATTTAAAACCTTATGCCAAGGGTTAAGGTTAAGCACGATCAAAGTTTTTATTTTATAAAAACTGTGGGAAAATTTGGAGAATTTTGGATGGCAAATGGGTCATTTATTCAGAACCACAGAAATAATACTTATTTCTATGTTCATTACCCACACTTTTGCAGGACCGGACCGGCATTTTCTGCACCAATTTTACACCCACGTCATGCACTGTAAAATAAAATTAGGTCTTTACATATTATTAATTTATATTGAGTTTCTTAATATAAAAAAATTTAATTAACAAAAGTCCAATAACGACCAGCAAAAATGACACACTTAAATTTAGACAAGCTTAACTATAAAAGGCTAGTATGACCTTAAAACTAACTTTTTTGACCTTGAAATGGCCTTAAAATTAGCATTTATGACATTGACATTTAATAGTATATTATGTAAGTATCAAGTTTTATAAACGCCATTTTATGAACGAATTTTATTAGGCACGAGCGAAGCTTGCGAGCGAGTGTTTAATAAAAACGAGTGCCTAGAGATGTTTATAAAACGAGTTGCATACTTTACTTTATCTACGACGAACAGAAATGAGAATTTAAAGCCAATTTTAATTTATAAATATTTGACATTTGACAAATTTAACCTCACTTTTTTGCAATTTATAATAACGCAAACTTTAGCCCGTGACTAAAATGCCCAAAAGCCACTGTTGTTAACTTCAGCCCGTGACTAAAACACCATAAAGTCACAGCTCTTCAATGTAGGAGTAGATAAAATATTTAAAGAATGTGTTTCGTATAGCAAAAACTCGACTTATATAATATATGAATATACAGCTCTTTTATACTAAAACCGAATATATCTATATATATATGGGGCGTGGCCTCGCCTCCCTCCAACGCGCGACACAGTAGCTAAGCAAATAGACTGCATCGCTAATGAGATTTTTTGCATTATTATCATTTAATTTTTTAAGTCCTTACCTGCTCGACCTTTCCTCATGTCGTTTATTACACAAGCAACTGTGACGCGCCTTGGAGGGAGGCGAGGCCACGCCCCATATATATACACATATATATACACATATATATATATAGATATATTCGGTTTTATTCTAAACAGGCTGTATATTCATGCGTAGAACGTTATAAAAATTAAAATTGGAACATCATTAATATAAACTTAATAATAATACCAAAAATTGATAAATCATAACCCCTTCGGGGTTTCCTATGATCATATAATAAGCATATACTTAGTGCAGGTTCCCATATACTTACGACAAGTATGCAGGTTCCACGTCAATGATCCATCTATTGAGACTTTTAACAAGTACTGAGTTATTTGGCCGCGTTCTGGGATAAAGATCTTATTCCACCCTGGATGATGCAATAGTTTTGTACAGAGACAAGGGAAAGAGAGACAGCCAATTTTAACCCTTTAAGTGGCAGAGTCACTATACTGACCACCCTCGTGATTAAATGTGGCGCCAAATATTTGAACACCCAACAGTACTTCTGCTATCAATAATAACTATAACATCATGCCTAAAGGCCTGCGAATACACTCAGTTAACCAACGTCCGCTACGCATGACGTATTTTGAAAAAGTGGTCACTTAACTAACCATCGATACTTTACGAACATTACTTTTTTCTTTGAATGTGCAAAGTGATATTTGTGAACATATTTAGGTGAGTAAATGCTATTTTATTATTTTGTAAATAACAATAAAAACTTTTAATATGTTTCTTTGTATCTCAGTTGCAAAATTAAGACAAAATATTTAAAGTATTGGGTGTTTTGGGCCTCATAAAGGGCAACTATTTGTTTTTTCAGAAAATATAGATTAGGTATACCATATTTTTCTGGTACTATTTTTCCTCATTACAAGATACTTATAATTTTTCTTACACCCCAGAACTATAATTATCAAAATGTAAAATTCTTATTTCACCTAATATCAACGGCTTAGATAATATTTTGATACTACCTGAACTCCAACTGAAATCGTCTCGAGTCTACCGGACACAGTGGCAGAGTCACTATACTGACCACCCTCGTGATTAAATGTGGCGCCAAATATTTGAACACCCAACCGTACTTCTGCTATGAATAATAACTATAACATCATGCCTAAAGTTTTTTAAGTCAAATTCCCTTGAATAAATAATGAGTTTCTACCAACAATATATTTTTTGATAAAAGTGGTCAATAAAATGATTTGAGAAATTATACTACATCTTGTTTTCTTGAAGTAACCAAGATCACTATACTAACCACCCTATTCTGATAAAAAGGGAGGGGGTAGATTTTTTTGTATATTTTTTCAAGCATGCTGGGATCCATATAAATTATCTTCAATCAAAAAAAAAATTGTTTCAAAGAAAATTTCTTCTGCCACTTAAAGGGTTAACAAATACGTTGGAAACTAGAGTCACAACGCCCTCGCCGGGAACTGATACAACTACTTGATGGTGTTGTTCTATGTAATTAATGGTGTTGTTCTATGTACTTAATTTAATTGATGATTTGGCGGGATATTTAAAAGTATGTTTTTAATTTTAATATTATAATATTAAAAAATTATAATTTTTTTTCTTGTAATAAAAATCAAGTTATAAATTATACAAATGTTTATTTAATTTTGAATACATAACACAACCAAAAAAAACCTTAACGTAAAATATTCCTCGTCTGACGGAAAAATGAAAAAATGTTTTTTACCTTTAACAAAATATTTGCTATTGCAAAGTGGATAACGACACTTATATTTTGCAATGGTTGTCATTTCAGATTAGTTTTACAACTTACATACTAATTTATCACATTTAATTAATACTTAAAACTACATTATATTAGTATATTATGTATCAAGTTTGATAAACGCCATTTTATACACGAATTTAATTTAGGCACGAGCGAGCTTGCGAGCGAGTGCTTAAGTTAATGAGTGTATAGAAAAGTTTATAAACGAGGTGCATACTATACTTTTTCTACGACAAATACTTATTATTATCTTAAACTGATTTAAATTAAAAATTTGTATAGAGCGCCATCTATAAAACAACAGGGGAAATTGTCAAATGTCACATTTTTACACTTTATAAACACAATTATAAAGGTTGTCTCTGGTTTTGTATCTTACTATTTTAGTCATATAACAAATATTTTAGTTTAATGGCGTTTGTAAGAGGGCGCTCGAGCCATATAACCATACAACATCGCAATCTTTGATGCCAAGCGGTGTTGTCGGATTGTGCGACTTTCAGCATGAACTGAGTCAAATTTTGCGTATTATATGGTTATTTCTAAAAAAATTGTTGGTGCAAGATTTAAATATAATAGTTTGGGTTATTTTGACTCTTTTTATAAAACGAAAATTAATTTTGGATAAATTTTAAGGTAAAAATATTATTCATGTTTAGTGTGAAGAAAATATGGCAACGCGGTGGAAAACATTTGATTTCCTTGTATTGGTATATTTGTTATATGATTGGTACTTTAATAGTCGTTTCTAGAAGAATTGTGGCCATCGGAAGCCTGCAAATTCTAAATTTTCTACAATTTTCTTGCGAATTCCTAAGTCAAAATGACCCGTACGTAACCGTGTTAATTTAAACCAATTTCGAATATAATCGTTATTTTTAGGAGGCAATCAACGTGAACTGGCCAGAGCAAAGAACCAAAAAAAACTTTCTGATTTGCAAAAGGGCAAAAAAAATGATGGCCTAACTGTGGAGCAAAGGAAACAAAGGTAAATACTATCGAAATTATCAGTAGAAACAGAAAAAGTGTGCATATTTTTCCACCTGCATGAAATGTTTATAATTAGCCTATATGACTATGTTCTCACTTATCACCTATGCAATAAGCAATATACTGGGCGAATTAAAAGCACTATGCTTTATTATATTCTCCTTTAAAAATAAGTCTAGACATGAATATAACCTAAAATCATAAAATATTTGGATATCTACTGTTAAAAACTAATGGTTAAAATATTTTTTATAGGGATGCGGACATGATGAGGGAAAAGCAAAAAAAGAAGGAAGAAGTAAAAGCAAAATAACCAAAATAAACCCCCATTCTCAAAAAATTTAAAGAAATATATATCTAGTTCTTTCAGTGAAAAAGTGATCGTAAATTATTCAAGTTCATCAGTTGTTTGGGTGTATATTTTTAAGTATTAAATAAAACGCCCTGCGTCAGAAATAAATGAACTTCATTGACGTTATGTGTGAAAATTAGAATGTGTATGTAATAAATAATATTATTCTGGGACCTCTAACTTTATCAGAATTAAATCTAATTTTCATTTAACTAAACTACTGTTTTTTGTAACAATAGTCTAATGCTCTGTATTTGTAATAACTGATTTTTAATAAAAGAAAAAACAAATTTATTTTTTATTTACCATAGGTATCAGAAGTTTTAAAGAATGTCAAACTTATTTAAAATTCCCAAAGCAAAAAGACGAAGATGAATAAAGAGAGTAATACATTTGCGCATGGGTAGGTTACTACTTAAGTACATACAGTCGCCTGCAAAAGTCCACTACCACTAATAGAGCAATAAATTTAGTGGGTGATTTGCTCGTCATGATGTAGGTCATAATAAGGTTTGTCGCTATTTAAGCTTGCAGTTTTTTAAACTTGTCTTTATTAAAGAATGCCGCAATTTCTGATTTGTCATTTTGTATTATCATCATTTTAGATTGTCGTTCTTTAAGCTTGTCTTTATTTAATGTCATCATTTCATGTTATGATCATTTTAGCTTAAGGGTGTAAGGGAGGTGTTCTGTAAAGACAAAAACTTTAATTCAAATAATTTATTTATCTTATAAGAATTATACAAACTTATACTTCTTCTGCACCATTCTAAAAGTGAATTGTTTTATTTATATTCAATATAATTTTTTTGAGTTTTAAGAGAGCAAAACAAATATGGGAGAAAAAAACAGTTGTGGCTAAAAGGTACAAAAGTAATTTTTTTGTTCTCGCACAGCCTTTTTTATCACGCACAAAACCGAAGCACAAGATTGAGGTTAAGTGTAGATTATTTAAGAGATTGTGACGAGGACTTTTTTAATACTTATACTAATACAAAATAAAACCGATGTAATTAATATTGCTTTGTTTTCTTTCTTTTATTTTTTTGAAATAAACATGCCTATATTTTTTTGCGAGTTTTCTGTGTGTTTTTTATATAATATAAATCATTAGTAGGTAGTGTCCACAAGTTTATTGACATCACAAAAATCGAGTTTTTGGCTAAGAAGCGTTTTAGTCATTTATTTTTTTCTAATTTACCAAATTGTTGTTTTTTGTGCATTTTGTCAACTTAACCTTAAAAGTGTAATTGACGGATATGACCTAAAAGTTTTAAGCTAAAACGGTTCTTAACTCGAAAACTTGACATAACAGGATAAAAAGATGACACAATTCGTCATAATTTTATTTTTTCTGTGGACTCTATAAGCCTGAAACCAAGATTAAGCATTTTTAAACCCACATTACTAAATGTCATTAAAGCTGCCATTGTATAATCACTCTATGGTGTTTTATTTTTAATTATGTATTATTAATATTTAATAACGTTTCAAAAAATATGAGATCTTTAAGCAGCTGTATAACGATAAGATCAATAGGTAATCTCACTTTTTTAAGAATTCTTTTTTCTGTTAAGCTGCGCCATACCGAAGCAAAATTCTATGTGTTTGTATATTGGAAATTCCATTTAGCATGGAATATACCGCATATGAAAAATAAAAAAATTATTTACTCGTACTTGTAGACATTAGTCCAAAAAATAAAAAAAATACCAACAATTTAAGTATATGTGTACTACCAGAAAAAATCCGGGCGTATATAATATTTTCTTAGTTCATTCTATTTGTAGAAGTTTTTAAAATTGCCTAAAATATACATATATTCATAAATAACTACCAATAAAAAAATCTTATATTCGCCCATCAAATTTTTCCTAGATGCATTAAGTAAGCTAACAGAGATTCGAACAATTCTACATAAATGATCAACAATAAAAAAAATGACTAATTTTAAGAACAATGATATTTACATGTGAGATTCCAAATTTGTCTTTTTTTTTTTCATTAATATAAATAAACATAATTACGAAGAACCGTTTGCCACCCTCTCTACAGTGTTGCCGCTCGTGTTGTTACCCCCAGGAACGAATTCCGCCGCCAGGGGGTTCAAATTACTCGACTTGACATCAACGTCCAACTTTAAGTTGTTTATCAAGTTGGTCACGTCGTTGGTCGATCTGAAACAAAATTTTTTTCTTGAAATTTTCAATAATGCAATAAACCAATCAAACCAAACCATTCTCCACAGCACACTGGGTGTTTTGATTGGTTTATTGCTTTCCATACAGATGATTTTCTATAGAAAGTAAAGTCGCAGATTTAAAAAAACCCTGATCATCTTGTTGCACAAGTTTTATTGTGTTATACTAAAATATGGCTAATTTAAAGACAAATGTAGGTCAAATTTCAGGTGAATGACCTTAACGAATTGAAAACCGTATTTTAACTGAAAAAACATTATGTTGACCTTATAAAATTGCATAAAGAATTGTAGTACAATAATAAAAATATATCAATAAAAGAGATTAATATAAAATTCAAAACAAATGTGACCTTATACATATATGAACTTAAAAAATCAAAATCAAACTTGATTTAAATCCAACCTTCAGTATGTTTATTTTTAATAGAATCATGTACATTCAATTAAAATAAAATTCATTGAACCCTTGTCTGTTAAAATATTTTTAATTAATTTCAAAACCTTGTTAAAAAAATAAAGAAAGTTATAGATTTATTTTCAAGGAGAAACAAGTACCTAGGTATTTTTCAAGTTTAAATGATTTGGAAATATAAAATTAACTCATTTATACTAAAATAAATATCATTGTAAACAAGTTGATGTTTTTATCTTATAAATACCTATGTATATGTCTGTGGAATATAAAAAAAACAATAATTATGATAATAAATGTTTTTTTACTTACTCTGAGTTATTTTGGGATCTTTCAGAATTTTCATCGTCCAACATGGCTTCAATACACTGTTCCATAAGAGCTTCCTCTTCTAATCTTTGAAGTTCCTAGAAATAATGTAAAAAAAATAAATTTAATCCCGGGGGGATTGCTATTTTTTAAATAATAGTGTATCTCATTCATATTTGGCATTTTGGCAACGTTGTACTCGGTCGTAATTATATAAAAATGGACGCGGCTTCTTCAAAAGTCGTAAGGCAACATTGTATCCCTAACCTAAGTTTAGAAATGTCAGAATAAAATGGTACACATTTTTTTAACAATTATAATGTTATATTTTATATATTTATGAAGGAAAAGTGTGATATAATTTAAAATATTTAGTTTTATCTTCAAAATGTATATCTTTTTCCTACTTTACATTCTAAAATATGTTTTTATTAAACCATTATCTATAATAAAAACACAATTTAGAATGTACAACTAATTTTAGGATATTAAAATAATTTAGAATGTCAAATAGGTACCTAGATATTTTTAAATGCAATGTGTTTGGTTTGCAACATGTTTTTTGTTTTCAATGCATAATTTGATCAGCCCTTATGTTAAAATTAGTTGCTTTTTTTTGTTAAATATGATTTTTGGGGGTTATACACCAGCACCTTGATTTTAATGTTACACTAATTTGATTGGTTGAAGTGTGTATTCTTACCTCCTTGTCGAATTCTTCCTCGTTTTCCATCCAGAGGTATTCAGAAAAATCATCTTCAGCAGGCGAGTTGAATTCTTCGACGCCGTTGTTGTCGATACCCTCGTTAAAATAGGAATTTTCCCCGTAGTCATATAAACCGTTGTCGTTGGTTTGGTTGCCTGGCATTTTCATAATCTGCAAAACGTTAAAATCCCAAAATTCACTCCACCATTTTAGTAGGAAAGTGGCACAAAAAAACACAATTCTTACCGTGAGTTTGGCGTGTCAGTAAAATGAACGAACTAACAAAGAACTTTGATGTGGCTTCGGCTAGCGACGATTTATGCACTTTTCCTGGTGGTTTTTAGCACTTGAACTCTGATTTTTTTATGTTGTCAAACAAGAAAGTCAACCAACTCGGAACCATGAAATGTAAATGTCGTCTTGGATTTCTCTAGTCCGACAAAGCAGCGCCAGGTGGCCGACAAGAATTTTCGGTGTGGTAAACACGTTAACTGGGTTGTCTACCTTCAAAATACCTCGGAAAAATCCATAATCTATGTCTATCTCACCATGATCCAAAGAAAGATCTTTGTATCATGTATTCCACAGCATACAAAAAGGATATTCCACATGTTCAAAAACTAGTCATTTAGGCGCATTTTTGTTTTTAATGAATCTAATTTTAGTTTAATCCTTCAATTAGTATAAAAAATGTATTTATGTAGGAATATAGGAATTATATTTATATACCCTACCTCGCCATTTTCGGGACACCCGAGTATACTTCTGGGTGTATATATTTCTAATCTCTAATTTTATTTGAAGAGATGCAAAGTCGGTTAAATTAGAAAGGGTTGCCTAATAACAAGTTTATTAAGATATATTATATTATAAAATATATTTAAACATTGGAATCAAAATCAGCGATTCTCAAAATATTTGAAAAAAACTAAAAACAATAAAAATAACTGTTATTTAGGAAAATTTAAAAAAAATATATGTTTTACATGTTGGTTAACATTCACATTAATCCACATTTTCTTCCAATTTCTTCGCTTTTTTATTCAAAAATAGGAAAAAAAGTTAATCTTTTGTTTTTATAATGGCCGCCATGATGTAGTTTAATACATCGTTAGATTTCTTATTTTAACCATGTAAAATTTGAATATGGCGGACATAGGAAAAACAAAAGCTGGTAGGTACTTAAAATCTAGTGGGCGAAAAAAATGAAATGTAGATAAATGTGTGTGTAAAACTTAACAGGAATAACAAAGTTATAACTAGTTTAGGTTTTGACAGGTTTTCACTTTTTTTTCAAATTAATTAAGAACCATGGGCGCCGCTACATAGGGGCAGGGGGGGCCGCCCCCCCACCCTGGTAATTCATACCCAGAAATTCCAGTACTCCATAATTTGTATAATATTATAAATAACCATAATACCTAATAGGCGGGTTGCAAAACGAAAAATAAGACGTGTTACACACAAAAATTGCTTATAATTATCCTGTTATTACTACTCTATGTCATGCTATAGCATAACATCGATATGTATTACCTAAAAAAGTCGCTACAGTGCAACCACATTTTTTTATGTTTAAGTTTTTGTTATTGTTATAACTTATTTTTAAAATATTACTCATGTTTGTATTTAATTTTTTTGTTATATTTTAATTTATCATAATTTGTATAGCGTATACATAAGACGGCTGTACTCACAGACTGTGGCTGTACTACTAGAGGAGATTCCTCAGCGATACAATTTTTTTATATTTATATATTTACCAAAAAACTGTGATGTATTTTTTGCAATATGTACCTACCAATATAAATAAATAGGTAAATATACATATAAAGATGATATTTTATTTGACTTAAGTTTAATGTGAACTTCTACAGTAAAACTTGATTATAAATAACATCTATCAAAATTGTAAAAAACTTTAAGGCCCCCCCCTAGACGAATTCCTTCCGGCGCCCATGTTAAGAACCGCTAATTTCTGTTCCAATTTTAAAATGCCATTTTAATGTAAAATTACACAACTTTTTCTTAATTTAACCGACCTTGTAGCTCTTCAAATAAAAAAAGATACCCATACATACAGTGTTGGCCATAATTTTTGGAACCACTGTAAAAAAAAATCTAGCCTTTATTATTCTTTATGAAATTTTGGATAAAAATGCTTCAACTTAAATCTCAGTTTACGTGTTCGAGGGTTTTTCAAGAAAATATTTTTTAAAATCCATTTAATAATGAAAAAGGTTTGAAAAATAACTTTTAGGGTAATTTTTTTTAAGTAAATAAAAAATATGCTGTTTAAAACCGTATTTTGTTAGTATACCCTGAAAAATAGCGCTTCAAAGTCGGTAAAGATGGCCCCTTTTTGATTATTTTGCTGAAAAGTTCTCATTTTTGACGACTTTGAATCGCTGTATCTTCGTTGCTGTTCATTTGATTTATACAAAATTTTTAGGGTATACTAAAAAATACGGTCTTTAACAGCATATTTTTTATTTACTTAAAAAAAAATTACCCTAAAAGTTATTTTTCGAACCTTTTTTCATTATTAAATAAAAGGGCTTTAAAAATATTTTCTCGAAAAACCCTCGAACACGTAAACTGATATATAAGTTGAAGTATTTTTATCCAAAATTTTATAAAGAATAATAAAGGCATTTTAGAGTTAGATTTTTTTTACAGTGGTTGCAAAAATTATGGCCAACACTGTACATATGTATAAGGATATTTAGTGCACCCTGTATATTTATATATTTTTTAGTAGGTACAATGATAAAGAGTATGGCAAAATTATATTATTTTATTAATTTGTAAATATTAGTGATGCAACGGAAGTGGTGATAACAGAAGCAGAAGCGTAAACAGATGTCAATAGTAATTTTTTGCGGAAGTATAAAAATAAAAAATGACAATTTTTATTTTTAATATCATATTATATCTATTAAAAATGTAATAACCCCATCCGCGCCGCCGCATTATGGTCAAAAAGCAGCGTTTAGCGGAAAAAAATCAATAACTTTTTTGTTACAAAAAATATTATTTTTTTCTTTTTTAATGTATTTTTTCTACTCCCACCTTTAAAACGCCCTTAATCTTACATGTTTCCATGACACTAAGTGACCTTTTAAAAACACATTGACAAGTTGTGGCTTTACGGCGCTTTAGTCACGGGCTGAAGTTAGCAACAGGTTTTTATTCACGGGCTGAAGTTAGTTTTAAGTTAGTTGACAGTTGTCAAATGTCATACAATCGTTAAAATAAAGTGCCTTTCTTGTAAAATAATACTAAATGTGAAAATTATTTTATTATCTCAATACAAAAATACAAAAATATTAAATAGTTTCTCAACGCCAATATTTGAAAAGTTTATATAAACATTGTACTGACCTTTTAATTTCGCCGGCAGTGTTTACTGCTTAAATTCGGGCACGGACTCTACTCTAAAGTCCTCATAAAACATTTCCTTTACTTTCACTGTGAAAAACTGTAAATTTTCAAGTTACATTTCAATTTATAACCTTTATAATTGTGTTTATAAAATGTAAAAATGTGACATTTGACAGTTTCCCCTGTTGTTTCATAGATGGCGCTCTATACAAATTTTTGATTTAAATCATTTTAAGATAAGTATTTGTCGTAGAAAAAGTATAGTATGCACCTCGTTTATAAACTTTTCTATACACTTTGTGTATAAAATGGCGTTTATCAAACTTGATACATAATATACTATTAATGTATTATATTTTTTATTAAAAATAAATATAAATTTTTTTCTTTTTTACTGTATTATTTAAGGATTATTACGTATAATTAACTATATTTCAATCAAAAAACATAAAGGTTTTTTATTTTTAAATGCATGTTCATAGAGCGTCAATTGCGGGAATAGCCCAATAATTTTTTTATTGCAAAAAAATATTAATTTCTTTATTTTTTACTTTATTAAATAAGACTTATTACGTATAATTAACTATACTTTAATAAAAAAACATAACGGTTTTTATTTTTTAAATGCGTTTTAGAGCATCAATTGAGGAAATAATCAAAAAACTTTTTTACTGCAAAGAAATATTATTTTTTTACTTTTTACTGTGTTAATAGGTATAATTAACTATATTTAAAAAAAAAAAATAAAGGCCTTTATTTTTTAATTGTCTTTCTTAGATGTTCGCGGTGAAACCATTGCGAAAATAATTCAATAACTTTTTTTATTGTAAATAAATACATATTTATTTAACTATCTTAACTAAGCACACTTTAAGAAATAAATAAACATAATTTGAATTTTAACATTTATTCCATTAATAATTCCTTAACTTCTTCATAAAGCTCATATTTTACAAATTTTGTATTTCTCCTAAGTAACGTTATTATGGGGTCAGACGATATTAAAAGACGATGAAATACAGTGCTGAATTAACCAATAGCCCTGATAGCACAGTTTATTCTAAGAATGTTTTTTAAACCCTCCAGTGGGAATATTCTTAGGATCATGCTATATTTCTTCTAGTCATGTTCTAAGAATGTTTTTTAAACCTTCCAGTGAGAATATTCTTAGGATCATGCCAGTGGCGTAGCGACAAATTTCGGCCCCCCCCCGCGAAAATCCTTACTGGGTCCCCTGATTTCAGGTATTTTTTACATGGTTTTATATTGTAAATAAAAAATAATACATCCGGTGACATGGTTTTTTAAATTAAGTATTTATAAACGAAAAGTAACAAAAAATAATTAAAAAAAATAAGGTTCTCCACTGTACCTACTTATAAATTATAAGTAAAATAATAGAAAATAATAACATATTTTTTTAACATAAAAAAATATTCTTAAACTATAATAATTTTATCAGGCATCCTTGAATAGGTATATTTAGTTAATAATATTTACTCAGTAACTCTATATATTAAACTCTCTATAATATTAAACTAACCAATAATAAAAGAAATTCTTACATGTAAATACCAGACCACTTTGTGCTCACCACAGCTGACCGGCGAGAAACGCATGTAAAACAGTGGAAAAATAAAATAATCAGAAGCAGTCACAAATAAGAACCTACTTGAACCAATACGAATATAAAACAAAAACAAACTAACAACTTGTGAATCACAATCGTCAAAATTTTAGGGGTTCGCAAAGTGAACGCTTCAGAACTGTCAGAATAATACGCATAACTAAATGCGCATATCTGTTTCCAAGTTCTGAATCGTTCCTGCGTAAACCCGCTGTCAATTGTTAAATAAGCGCGATTTTTAAAATTCATCAAAAGGTTCCGTTAGATGTTTTACATTTATGTTGTGATGGTAGGCCAATCATATCAAGTACCTACCTACATTTTAGTAAATTATGATATTTTTAATTAATCATTCATTATTATTCAATTTTTAGTATAAGTTAGATGGAAATAAGTATTTTAATGTTTTGGGGCAAATATCGGCCGGGCCCCCTACGAGGTTAGGGCCCCCCGCTTGGCGGGCGTTCGCGGTACTGTCGCTACGCCACTGGATCATGCTATATTTCTTCTAGTCATGTTCTAAGAATGTATTTTAAACCTTCCAGTGAGAATATTCTTAGGATCATGCTATATTTCTTCCAAACAACATGCATGCCTAAAAGAAATATAGCATAATCCTAAGAATATTCTCACTGGCCTATAGGCAGGTTCTTAGAAGGTGGTAAAAATTAATCCACTCTAAACATATGCTTAGAATGTTGAGAAAGTAATTGGTATAGAAAGTTCATTTAGGAATATTCCTAAAACATTATGTTAAGCATATTCAGTTCAGTTAGGTACCTATATAATAGTAAAATATACCATAATCTACGTATAAAGGTACCTATACTTAGTATTAAATACTAAGTAAAAAACACAACCCAAAATATTTTTTATAGTTATTTGTCAAATTAAAACAATATTCGATAACAAAAATACTTTTACTATAGGTATCTAAATTATCCGGCTTTTACATAAAATCTTCTATCCAACTTAAATACAATGAAAAATGTTTTTTTATGAAGAACTATTTGGTTTTTTCTTTTATGAAGAATTATTTTATAAGGAAATATTTTGTTTTTTTATATTTTATTTTATGTTAAAAATAAATATTTATTAATTTGTATACCGATTTTTTAATTCTGAATTAACATTTTTATAATAATAATAATCCTAACTATCTTCAACTTCAATCTAATCTGACTTATCCCACAAAATTTTCCAATTTTACTTTTTATGAAATAATGCCATACAACTGTTTACAAATTGTTTATTTAATATTTTTAAATAAATATATATTAATATGTCGCAAAATTTTTTAAGGGGACGACAAATACATTTTACTGTCATATTATGACAGTGAGGCCTATTTGTCGCCTCCTGAAGAATTTTACGAATGTAGAATCCAACATATTAGAACGTGGGTATCTGAAATATTTGGAAATATTCTCAAAAGCTTTCTAGAAGCTCCATAAGAAACCTTCTAAGAACATTCTAAAAACGTATTCTTAAAATTTTCTTAGAATGCTTTTTAGGAAGGTTTTAAGAAGCTTCTATCATTAAAAGGGTATCTATTGAATGTTTTAAAAGTCCCTAAGAACATTCTTAGCAATAAGGGAAGGTTCTAAGAATATTCCATTATTCCGGGTCATATCTTCTTAGAAGATTCTTAGAATCAAATTTTGCTATCAGGGTAGGCCAACCTAGGCCATGGACTAGGGCGCCGCGAAGCCAATAGGCGCCCAGGCAGAAGGCTCAATTTTTTTAAGTAGGTTGGATATTAAAATTAATCAATTAAAATAAATAATTATAATTATCAAACGTGGAATACCCTTTTTTAGCAGAAGTCAATAAAATAAATTTTGTAAATATTGTATTTTCCTATATTAAATGCAGAAAAATAAAATTGTAAACGTCGTTGATAATGTAAAATTCTGTTTTAGGTTATTTAAAAATTTTAAAAGTTAAGTTAGTTCTTCATTGTTTTGTTTTTGTATATAAAATAAATTATTTTTTATTTATTTTATTGTAATTTTTTTATAAAACAAACATAGGTATATTGTGTTATATTAATACCATAGGTATGGGCTGTAATTATAGGCGCCATTATTATTGGCCTAGGGCGACAAATTGTTGTTTATTTTCGATTTGTTTTTCTCGAAAACATATATCGAAATTTTTTACAATCCTTATTTCTAGTTTCTTAAACTTCCTCCAAAGTAATGTTTTACCTAAAAGTGTTTACCTTTAAAGATGCAAAACAAGGGATTATTAATTACTTTACAAACCATTTCTTTAGGAGAAGCAAAGGATTATGTATTAATTAATATCTACCTAATAATTTGTTATGAATAGGTAAATAATTATTAATCCTATAGGATAAGTATACTTTGTATATATTAAAAAAAAAAAATACATGTTGAAATATTTATAATAATTAATAAATTCGACTAAAACTTATGAGCATAGATCTGTGGGTGCGAAAATCTTGAGTGCGTAGGCAATGCCTTAGGTACGAGCGCTCGCGATTTAGCTATGCAGCGCGATTAATAAAAATTCATAACTTTTTCATATGTGCGTATATGCAGCTAATTTTTTGTGTACTTACTTATAAAGTAAAGTTTACTGAACAACCTCATGTAGATATCAACGTAGCAATCGGAGGCAATAGTAGTTAAATGCCCATATGAATTTTTTCTCCTAATTTTACCAAGGTGTCTTTAAAACGTTATAACTTTTAATTTTATTTTTTTTATTCAAATAGGAATTTTTATTTATGTAGATTAAGGTGTTATATTTATTTGTCTGATATACTTGGCATACGTTTTTTTTGTTATATCCAAATTCAAAGTATTTTTAAATACTGTTATAATTATAATAATATTTAAAGATATTCACTTTAGAACAACTTTTTGAACAAAAAAATGTTAAAAATGCTAAATTAATTAAAAACTTCATAGTACCTACCTACTGAAATAAAAATGTCACCATGTATAGCCAATAAAACAAAACAAAAACAACTGAATCCTTACATCCCATACCTACTTAATTTTGCATGTGCCTTTTTGGGCCCCCGAAAATCTTTAATAACCATACACTGATTTGTAAAACAAGTTTTTTAAGCCGTTGATTCCAACCTAAAAAAAACATTGACGTGCCGAATCTTAAACCGAATTTAAAAATTAATTAATTAATCACAGTTCGGCTTCTGTATACGATTGTGTATAAACAATAAAATTAATTTTAGAATAATTTGGATGTCTTTAACCTTTAATCAAGTGGAATATTTTTAATAAATTATTAAGGCATTGGTTTATCAAATGTGACATTTATTATTGAAATTTTTTAAAAGCTTCTTATTTTTTTCACTTCACTGTCAATCTCTATATGGAGATTTTTATTTATATTATAATTAATTAATTAAAAAAAAACAATTTTTATACAGTACCTATGTCAAAAAATATTTTTTAATGATAACTTATCTTAAAAAATTATAAAATTTATATTTCTAAATAAAAACAATTGTTCTAAATACAAATTTAAATATTTTTTATAAGTAAAAATAATTTAGGTAATTATTGTATGAAAATAGTATAAATGTTTCTATAGAAATTTGCAAATTTACTTTCTATATATAGAAAATTATTTCCACTTGGTGCGACGGAGAACGCCTTGCTCTGATTGGTTTATTGCTTTCTATAGAGATAATTATATTGAGAGTTAAGTAGCAAATTTCCTGATAAGTATTCTTGTAATTCTAAATTTAAGAAGTATTAGGTATAACAAAAAATATATATTCAAAGAACTACTTTTATCTAGTTCTAATACAATTTTAAGATTTTTTTATTAATCTTGTCGTAATATTTATTTATAATTGTATTGCACTTTTTTGTTCTTTAAATGAATGTTAATGTTAATAAAGAAGAAGAAGAAGATTTTTATTTATATTATAATTAATTAATTAAAAAAAACAATTTTTATACAGTACCTATGTCAAAAAATATTTTTTAATGATAACTTATCTTTTAAAAATTATAAAATTTATATTTCTAAATGAAAACAATTGTTCTAAATACAAATTTAAATATTTTTATAAGTAAAAATAATTTAGGTAATTATTGTATGAAAATAGTATAAAAATTTCTAGAAATTTGCAAATTTACTTTCTATAGAAAATTATTTCCACTTGGTGCGACGGAGAACGCCTTGCTCTGATTGGTTTATTGCTTTCTATAGAGATAATTCTATTGAGAGTTAAGTAGCAAATTTCCTGATAAATATTCTTGTAATTCTAAATTTAAGAAGTATTAGGTATAACAAAAAATATATATTCAAAGAACTACTTTTATCTAGTTCTAATACAGTTTTAAGATTTTTTTATTAATCTTGTCGTAATATTTATTTATAATTGTATTGCACTTTTTTGTTCTTTTAATGAATGTTAATGTTAATGAAGAAAAAAAATGTATTTTTTAGATTGATTGAATACTTTTTTGACTAAAAAACAATAATATTAAATTAAGACCACTAAGTTTCTGCAAATCTTGTATTGTATTAAATGTATCTTCAGAATAGTGGTGGGGAAAAGATGCTCGTACATATTAAAAGAGATTCTTAATACGAAATTTCAACATTGACCAACCGGCATCGAACAGTTTTGTGTTTTGAAACCAATCATCTTTCAAGATGGGGTTAAAATTTATTTATTGTTTTTTACTGTGTTTTTTTGTGATTGAGGCTATCAATTTTGTTCGGGCTACAGAAGATGACGACACTGTTATTGTGGAAGGTAAAAAAAATACTTTTAAAATTTTTGACATATAATAATAACATTTAAATAAAAATATTGTATGAATTCAAAATAAAATACCCAAAGGGGGTTTTCATAGGAAAAAATAAATAAAAAATAGATGTTGCGTCAATGTTTTGCCGAAATCGGCTAATGTCAACAAACTTCATTGGAAATATAATGTGACAAGTATTTAAAACGCTTAACGGTAGTAACCTACTCATTGTAAAAATATTTAATTGGTTTCGCAGAAAAAACAAGTTTAACATATTACAAAAATAATAATAACAGTTATATAGATAAAATCTTAATTTATTAAATTGGCAATTTTTGTCAATTTTTCAATTATTTTTTTTTGACTTTATGCATCTTGTATGTAATATATGTATATAAGCTGTTGTCAAGGTCGAGAAGATCATTCACCTTAACGTTCAGTTTATATCTTTTTGATCCTTTTTTCAATCAATATAAATTCATTAGGGTGACACATTCGTTGTTTAAATTTATCTAGTTTCAAAAGAAATTGTTTTTTTTACGACAGGGCGTTCATTAACATAAACCCTACTTTTTCTATTAAATTGTAATTCAATTTGGACTATTAAAATAATTTTGGATGTCTAACAATAATAAGTACTTTTTTCTACTCCCACCTTTAAAACGCCCATTATCGTACATATTTCCATGACACTATAGTGTGATCTTTTAAATACACATTGACAAGCTATGGCTTTATGGCGCTTTAGACACGGGCTGAAGTTAGCAACAGGTTTTTAGTCACGGGCTGAAGTAAAGTTAAACGGTGGTTAAATTTGATAATAATAAGTAAATCAAAATATTTAAAAAGAATAGTATGTAACATTTTTTAATTTCAGCTGAGCCCAGCAAAGAAAGCAAACGCAAAAGTCGCCAGCTTTTTCTACAGGGTCCCGCCCTACCCCTGCATGCTTACGCGCCATTTTTGGCGAACGATTACAAAGACGACTGGGCTTCGGTTCCTTTAACCACAACACCCTGTATAACAAGCAAAGGAGCTTTGGGCAAATGCACGGGATTTAGACAGTGCTACCCGTATTTTAAGCTCCCGGAGTTGAACAATTGGGATAGCTGGGTTTTGGGAATGTACGATACGTGTAGTTATTATACGGCTCAAGGCAGACAGGTAAGATTCGAACACCCTGTGTTTGTCGTTTTTATTAGGGTATCGAGATTTTATGGGATAATTTGGCGAAAAACCGGATTCGATTTTATGTCGGTATCTGAATTTGGAGAGGTCGTGGACTTTTGAATATAAAAAAATATATGTTTGGGTCGTTAGGAGATAAACTAATTGGCCAGGCATAACAATTATTGCTTGCTACCCCAGGTAGCACAACGTAACGAAATCTTGACGTAAACGAGACGTTTTCAGTCAGTCGTGACTTGGACGTTATTTAAAAATCGTAACGTATTTAATTAAAAACAGTTGCCAAACCGCGCTAAATTTAAGCATAGTTTTTGTGACGAATACGTTACATTAATATGAATAAAAATCTTCACGATGTAGTCAAGAATACGCCACGGATTCTTCACGATGATTTGTCACGGTTTCGTCACGACGCTTCGTTACCGAATAGTGAACTGAACTGGTCACGTAATTGTGGCGTATAGTTGCATTATTTGGGGGTGTAATAATATTGTGTAGTGTAATGCAGTGCAGTACGGTATAGTGGGTTGTTTTGTGTATTGTGGAATTATTGCTTACCTTCAAAGTTTTGTAATTTGATTTTAACCTCATCATCAGGTTGAAATCAAATTACAAAACTTTGAAGGTAAGCAATAATTCCACAATATACAGAACAACCCACTGTACTGTACTGCACTGCATTACACTACACAATATTATTACACCCCCAAATAATAACATATTGTTGTTAGGATTGTTTAGTTTTGCAATGTTAATGCAAAGAAAGCACATTTAACTGAATTATATTTTATTAGAAAAACAATAAAAACATATTCTACAATAAACTATAATATATATTATATAGAAAAACACTAACAAAATAAAAAAATATTACTCTTATACAATAAAAATACCTCCACTTTTGAAAACCAGCAATAATTGCAATTAGTTTTCAAAATTCATATCTTTGAAAAAAAAATTAAATTATTTTTCTATTTTAAGGATAAAACAGTACCTACACAAAAATATAATTCTCCTGTAGAATAAAACACTATTTTATTAGAATATACCTACCTAATATAAAAAACAGTAAAACAAAATAAACAAGTATTTCTCTTATAAATTAAAAAATGAAATGAATGAAGTCAATTAATAATTCATGTAGTATAAAATTTTTATTTTATTTCTGCAGTTTCTTTAACTGCAACATTTATTTATAATAAACTTACTTAAATAACACTAGGGTTCAGCTGAAGTACAAACCTGTGATTTCATCTTATCATATGTATGCTTAATGTGCATAATGTGCTTTTCAACGTCATCCTTTGTAATATTTCTTTCCCCCGAGACAACCCAAGACAATTGTGTTTGCCATCAATATGTCTTTTAGTCTAAAGTTTTCGTTCGCCCCTATCCAGATGTGTGGAGTGTGTCCAGAGTGTCGACTGTAAAACAGTGTATGTTATGTTGGTTACCAATTTTTTAATTTAAATTGACCTGCAAAATGAGAAGAAATAAGTAGTTTTCTCCATGGCTTTGTTAAATTTTATTTCACGTACAAAAAAATTTATTTTTTCCTCTTTCAGTAGAAATTCAACTTAAAATACTTAAGCTATAATAATAAATTTGTTAAGGATATATTAACACACTAAAAATGTTGTGGTTACTTATATTTTGTTGCTACAGCAAAACATTTCTTAGATTAGTGTGGAGTTGTTTAGCATTGCAGACAATTGTCTTAAGCTACTGAAATATAGAAAAGCAAAAGTACTTACGGTTTTAAACTATCCTTTTGTTTACCATTAAAAACTTTGCAGAAATATAGAAAAACCTACAGAAACCAATGGCTTGGGTCGTTACCAATCATTCAAAATGGAGATCCTACTGGAGATGCACAGAACATATGACTATTGGCGACTGCGCATTGGTGTCACGACTTTACGTGATGTTTTCGTGACGATTTGTATAAATATTTTGTAACGTTTTTGTAACGAGCTGCACGTCAAGAATTTTATACCAAAATTTAAAGTAAAATTATCACTATTTCGTGTGACTAACGACTTTATGAAAAAATTCGTCACGTATTTTCATAGACCCCTCGTCACGAATTTGGCGTCACGCAATTTATTTACTTTTTATTAAAATTTCCTTAATCGTAACGAAATATTGTCTCGTTTTCGTCACTTCCAATTTTTAATGTCACGTTGTGCTACCTGGGACGCCACTGCAAAGACCACCACGCATTAAACTCTTGTTCTTATTTTCTTCCTTTAGGTACTTGGAAACATCATAAGTAACAACTACCTGATATAAATTGGATTGTTTTTGAGATAACCACTTAGGAATTCTTAGTTTACATTTTTAGATATTTTTTTACTGCAAAAGACTTTTTGTATTTTTTAGAATAGGCTAAATAACTACAAGCTAAAATGATGACAATCTAAAATGACATATTTCAGATGTTCGGTGTATGTTGTACAAACCCGGTGACGTCAAACGAGCCTGAACCACTTCAAACCACCGAACCAATCTCAGTCACCGAACCACCATTAGCCGTAGAACCGGTCGTCCTTGAACCTGAAGATTTCCCCCAAAACATAACCGAATCCGAGGTAAAAGTACCGAACTATCAAGTAATCTCGAACTGGCCTCCACCAATTCCAACTCACCCCCCAGACCACACTATCCCACCACTCCCAACTCACCCTCCAAGTCCAGGCTACCCCGTCCCCGTTACGGAAAGCTCATCGGCATGGCCACCGGTGCAAACCGAAAAACCAACCTACAAACCCATCTATAAGCCCACCAGACCAAGCAAACCTCCCACGAGACCAAGCAAACCTCCCACTAAGCCCACAACTACAACCGAGAGTCCAATCGCGACAGGGGCGTGCGGGGCTAAGAATGGCTTCCAAGATCAGGAGAGGATTGTTGGCGGTCACAACGCCGATGTCAACGAATGGCCTTGGATTGCAGCCCTATTCAACTCCGGAAGACAATTTTGCGGTGGATCATTGATCGACGACATACATATTTTATCCGCAGCCCATTGCGTAGCCCAGTAAGTACTAAGGCATTCAAGGTCAACTTGCAACAATAAAAAAAATATTTTTAGTATGTCTTCGTGGGACGTGGCCAGACTGACTGTAAGACTGGGAGATCATAACATCAAAACCCAATCAGAAACTCGTCACGTTGAGAAAAAAGTTAGAAGGGTTGTTAGGCATAGAGGTTTTGACCCTAGGACATTGGTGAATACATTATAAACAAAACATAACTGGATGCAATAACTTTTTTTTTCAGTACAATGATATCGCGATCTTGACCTTGGACAGCCCTGTAGACTTTACTAGGAACATCAGACCGGTGTGCTTACCGGGAGCTGGAAGAGACTTCGCCGGTCAAACCGGTACTGTGATAGGTTGGGGCAGTTTAAGAGAAAGTACGTAGGGTGTTTTTACGGAGTCCAAATTATACATTAATATTTTTCCAAAGGTGGCCCTCAACCTGCAGTTTTGCAAGAAGTCAGCATACCAATTTGGAGTAACAGCGATTGCAGGCAAAAATACGGGCATGCTGCGCCGGGAGGTATTGTTGAACACATGCTTTGCGCAGGACAGGCCAGCCGGGATTCATGCAGCGTAAGTTTCGATACCTATTTAACGTCAGAAGTTTTTGAATCGCCCTGTATAATCGGTATTTGTTTACAGTTACAGTAACTGCTTTAAGCAGTTTTAAATTTAAGTAAAAACCGCATAAGTACACTGTAAAAGTGTTCATAGCACAGTTACTTAACCAATAAATTAGGTACCTATGTCAATAAATTAAATCGATTTAAACGATAAACGGTTATTTTAGGTATTGTCTTAGAACAATTAATAAAATGTTTCTGATCTAATTGCAATAAAACTAAAAATAATTTTACCTTCATGACGATACATTAACATTAACACCGTTTTTATGTTTTTTTTTAATACACTGGATTTTCATCTCTACTAGCACAGCGCATGCGTCAACTGTCGGTTGTTTTAAAAATGACATTACATATTAAAAGCAATGATAACTAATAAAAAAGGTAGTAAGGCTTTAAAAATATGAATAGGTACCTATATACTATAATATAGGTGCTGCTATAAAACATAATTAAGACTTACATACATGAAATCACAAAAATGTCTCTGTAAATTGTTGATAAACTTAACAATAACCAACCCTTGTCACTTCGCCATGTTACTAAGGTCGCGCATGCGCCATTTTAATGTATATACAGAGTCGCCCATAATAATGCAAAATTTGATTTATTTTTTATAGGGTGACAGTGGAGGTCCTTTGATGGTAAATTCTGGAAGATGGACACAAGCAGGAATTGTTTCGTGGGGCATTGGTTGTGGTAAAGGTCAATATCCAGGGGTGTACACGAGGGTAGAAAAATTCATGCCCTGGATCACCAAAAATTTGAAAAAATAAATCTCAGAAAATCCATCCTACCTAGGCTATAATTTAGAATAAAATAATTTTATGATACGTATAATAATAATAAAACATCTTTGCCAAATTATGATTATTGTATTGGTATATTTATTATTAAATTGCCATTGTTTTATTTGACCTTTAAATCCTATTTTTAAACCTAAATTTAGATACCTATACTTACATACAGGGTGCATTGAAAAAAGCTTAATAAATCTCTTAAAAACTGTGGAAAAGTCAACTATTAAAATCCAAAGGCGTTAATTGGTGTAAATAATGTGTTCTGTTTACGTTTTTAAGCGTAATAAACTTGTAAAACGATACCAATATCAATTTATTTATTTAATGTGATGCTTTTAACTCTTGTAGGCGTTCCCGTATTCGGATTTCTAACCGATCATATGTCAAATTAACAACATTAAATAAACAGATTGTCTAGTTAAGTGTCTATGTTAATTTAAAGGGTTTTTTTCAATGGAGCTATTAAATTAACTATAATTTTGGCGTTTATCCCCTTATGGTGCGTTTTTTGGCAAAAATAATTTCAGATTTGAAATATTTGACATTGATTTACTAAACCTAGACACCCAACTTAAAATTAATGTTTTAAAATACAGGGTGTCGTAAAAGTACTGTACATGGCACCATGTACATATATGTAGATATAGTAAAACAAAGTCAAACATTCCAAATTTGCAATAATTTTTAATAATGATCAAGTAAAACAAAATGTTTATAAAAAACTTTTTATTGCTTAAATATAATAATACAATTATTTGGTAAATTATAAATAAAATCAAAAGAAAAACATAAACAAATCGAATAAAGCAAGTCGCTAATAATAAACTAACTATGATTATATATAAAAGTCTTAAAGGTGAGTAAATGTATACATAAGGGGCCATGTGGTATAATTAAGACTAAAATAGATTATTATATACAAATTCAGGAAATATCTAGATAATAAAAGTACACACTTCCACCTAATGTACAGTACTAAACGTTGAGAACATCCTCTGGTAACATTTTTTGTTTCTAATAGCACATTTTTTATTTTGTCAATACAGGTTTTTTACGACCTAGTATGTTAAAAAACATACAACAAACTTTTTTCTACGGCTGTACCTATAGGCTCTGCTCTTGCTTTAACTCAAGGGCCCACACATGTTGAGGCCAACCTGTACGACCTTTGGCTTTTCGGGATCTTTTAATTTCTTCCTGTTTATAAAAAAAATGCATATGTCAACAAAGATGTCAACCTATAAAGTATAAAGTTTTGCAACACTATGTCACCCTCATTTAATTGATCATAGATATCTACCCTTCCATTAAAATTCGATATAATGACTATTTACTTAATTGCAATTCATGAATAATACCCTGTGTGTTTTCCACTTACCGAGCTATCACTTTTTGGCGACACTTGTCCGGTGGTGCAATCATTCACTTGTACAGGGTTAGAGTTTAATTTTCTTGAAACTGACCCTAATTCGGCCTTGAACCCCCCTGTGTTGCCATCTGTTTCAAGGGCTTTTGTCAGGTAGGATATAAAAGATATGGCAAGTCGTAATGTCTTAATCTGTAAGTAATTATTATGAAATAAATTAAATTATTGATTAGGTTCATCGATTTTCTTACTTTTGATAGTTTTGTGTCTGCAGGAACATTCGGGATGCAATTTCTTAAGGCTGTGTAAGCCATACCTATGCATTCAGTCCTGCGGCGTTCCTTTTTATTTGCTGTTGTCCGTCTTTTAACAACTCTTACATAAGGACCTCCGCTACCTGTGGTTACCGTGGTGTATTCTTTAATTAAAAAATAATATTAATACTTAACAACCCTGTATTTTCAACAAATACCATAAAATAATCAAGACAAAACTATTTAATTGCTCTTATTTTTTAAAACATCAAAACATCGTTGGAAATTTAAACAAATGACAACTCTAACGCTTGCGCATTGTTAGTAGTGATATTAGAAACTTTTAAGTGTGTTTTTCTTTTACGTGCATCGAAAAATCAACAAAAAGTAAGTAAAGACACATGTATTTTATCCTATTGTACATCGACACAACGTATAATTAAAATATTTCGGCAATTTTAGTTTGTTTGGTATCTCGTACTTAAGGCAAGCAAAACAAGAGTAAACAACTCAGTTTACTTGGAAATCGTTTATATTAGTAAATATATTAGTAAATATCAAGCTTTACAAGATTTAAATAGTACCTACTAATTGTTTTTGTTAGTATACAACTATATATAGTTGGAATCAAGTCAACCAGGTTTTTAAACAAATGAAAATTGTCAGTAGGTACATATTGTAAAATGACAAGGGGTTGTTTATATTAAAGAAAAAAGTGTTTTTACAAGTGTGTTGCAAAATGTAATTGGTATGTACTGATATTTTTTTTATTGTATTGTCCATGTAATACCTACTTAATAAATTCCCTTGATTTTTCAAAATAATAATAATTGTATAACTTTTCTTCATCAAATGATGTTTTGGTGCCATAAGTTAAAAGTACAGGTTTTTTTTTAAATTTGAGACTTTACTTTCTATGGATAGAAAATGATAATATTATTGAAGGCAATAAACAGTTTTCATTGGTTTTGTATGAAAAATCAATAACTATTATTTTTTTTAAAACAAATGAATTCCAAAAGCATGCGCACTATGTTTATACCTGTCCTGTACTGGGTGTATCTGTGGTTAGGGGTAGAGCACCCCACGGGGGTGAATATTTGGTATGCCCCCCCAATATTTTGCATGTTTGGAGAGGGGGAGTCGCTTCTTGTGGGGCTGTTTGGCCAAAAATTCATCGATTCATCTCCTCCTATAGTGCTTCCATCTGAAAAAAAATAATAGGGAATGTGTTTGAGGGACTAAAATAGTTAAAATAAATATACGTTGGTGAATTAAGAGTAATAAAGTTAAGATAAACATGGAGTTTATAAAAGATAGTTTACTACGGTTTAATAGGTTTTGATTCTTTGACATGCCGGCCGCTACTAAATATAACTTTTTAATAAATTGTTGGATTATAAAATAACAAAAAATATTAAAAACAGAGGTATAATAATTCAGTATACACATTGTCGCCTTGAAACACAATTTGTATATTGTTTTAAGGTTTTTTATGATGTTGTATCTACTACATTTGGTTGACAAATGTCTTCGTTAAAATTAAAATAATAATTCAAAGAAGATACTATAAAATTGTATTTTTTTTTGTAAACAATAAATAATTTTATAGTTTACACGTTTTCTACAAAAATACTCTTAATAGCCAGAACTCACTATTTTAGTTTATTTCCCTACAAATGTTTTTAATATAAAACTTACAAAATATATATTTTGTATGTAGCCAATAAGTGCTTTATAAAAATTTACTTATTTTTAAGCTAATACAATTAATAATAGGTACCAAAAAATATATTCCTACCTGATATATAATGGTATCCATGATTGTACTGATACTGGTACTCCACATGCTCATTAGGTGAGCTGTTGTAAGCCATTTGGGAAAAACTCAATACACACACACAAAACTTTTCACTTTTCAGCTTCGGTCCACTGAAACAATCCAAGTGAGTTCGTATAGGATTTTGGCTAAACTCTATGTGTGGGTGGAGTCCAGGATTATCCACACTGTTCCCTATTGCTCGGTTTCCCGATTATGGGAGGATCTCCGGATAAGATCCTCCTACGGGAACCGCTAATTATAAGAAATCAATAGTGCAATACTTTTTTTTAAGTCATATTATTTTTTTTTAAACTTCAGGTCAACAATTTTAGTTAACAAAATTTACTATAACATTTTTTTTTATTTATATATTATTTTTTAGGTAGATTTTTATTTGTTTGTTAGGTATTTTTGCAAGAAAATAAATTTATTAATATATGTAGGATTTTAATAAATGTATTTTCTTGTAAAAATACCTTTATTTACAAATTTTAATGTAGGTAAGGAAAAATTTTTTGGGTTCACAAAACTAAGTTACCAAATTACTGTAATCATATGAATTAAGAATTGTTAGCCAAGCTTGCGCTAAAGGCCAAGTTAACATTTTTGATTTTTTTAATAAACGTTTTAAATATTTTTTCAAATTTTGACTTATCAAAAAGTGATTACGCGGACACTTTCACGGTTTTTGTTAATAAAACAATTAAATATGGCAAAAATGGCGAATGCGTCGGGATGAAAACTAAATCTAGGAGTGTCCCCTTGGAGATAGAATCACAAAAAAAAATGTCTTAGCTGTTATCCATGTCATTATAAACTGCGCACCACTCAATATGTCGCGACCAAAAAGTTCGTTCTTTTTCAAAACGACATAACTTTTTTGTTTCTTGAACTATTTCATTTTGGTCTGTGTTGTCTGCTAGCCTCTGGCAAATCATGCTATAGATATGAAGTTCACGGTTCTTCAAGTAAATTTCCTACAGGGTGATACGTTAAACGGTGAAAAATTTCAATAACTTCATCCAAGCCCCGTTTGTAAAAAAAATATGTTTTTCTCGTTTTTACTTTGACATAATGAAGTATTATGTCTTATCTTGAAACGTCTTTCAAATTTTTCGAATTGAAATCTTAGCAACAAAAATATGATTTTTTTCCAAAAGAGTACATTTAAGGGTTTTTGTAGGCAATACACAGTCAAGACATTTAACAGGCGGGAATTGTTTTCGAATTTTGATTCTTGGTGATTTTGGTTTTATCTGAAACTTAAATTTGACAACTGAATCACAATCAGGAGGTCAAAATTATAAAGAAAACATGTCACGAACGTAAATATCAATTCAGGTTTAGTTTTCGCAAATTTTCACCAAAATGTCATTTTGAAAAAGTGGTCTTTGCTTAGGCCTCTCTGAAAATAATGGAAGTTTGTTGCTTGTCGCTTGTTCAGAATTTTTCAAGGAACAATCTTTCACCATTTTATCTTTTTGTTCTTAAAAAGACTGAGTGTATTGCCTACCAAAAACCCTTAAATGTACTCTTTTGGAAAAAAAATCATATTTTCGTTGCTAAGATTCCAATTCGAAAAATTTGAAAACCTTTTCAAGGTAAGACATAATACTTCATTATTTCAAAGTAAAAACGAGAAAAAAAATTCTTTTTTCAAACGGGGCTTGGATGAAGTTATTAAAATTTTTCACCGTTTTACATATCACCCTGTTCGAAATTTACTTGAAGAATCGTGAGCTTCATATCTATAGCATGAATTGCCAGAGGATGGGGCTAGCAGACATCACAGACCAAAATAAAATCGTTTAAGAAATAAAAAAGTTATGTCGTTTTGAAAAAGGAGGAATTTTTTGGTCGCGACACATTGAGTGGTGCGCAGTTTAGTGACTGATATACTGTCAAAATTTTAGCGTTTTGGGTCTTGCGGTTTGGTCTGGGCGGTTGTGAATTAGTAAGGACAATTGTACAATAAACAATTTGCACTACTTATGGTAACGATAAATTATATAAAGGTTATATAAGTGTTAACAAGGTTTTATAAAATCGCCATTTAGTTTACTAATTTTATAATGGTCATATAATTAGGTTATATAATTGTATCTACAAACATTTTATATAACCTTTAGTAGCCGTTACCAGTAGGTTTATAAAGTTTGCGGACACCTGTTTTATAGAACTATTGTGTCTTTAATTTTTTTTAAATAAAAATTATGTGCTTAATAAACCAAAAAAGCTTTCGACGCAATGCTTTTTCATAATTTTAATTAAAAATTGGTTGAAAAGAAAATATTTAGCATAGAATATATAAGTTATATAATATTATTAACATAAATATTTTAAAAGTGGATTAAATCGAATGTTTAGTGAATTAATTTGATTCCATTGCGTTAAAACCATTATTGCTGCAGGCAAAAATGGCGAACCTGAGCGGTTAGATGGTTGCCTACCAAAAGTTTTATAACATTACTTGTAGTAACGACAGTTACTACAATGTATATTAGAGTTTCAAAATTATATAATAATACTTTAAGTTACTTAGATAGTTCTATAAAACTGAACTAGTACCTTAGGTTATATAAAATTACCATGAGCAATATAAAAGGGCTCAAGATTGATACATTATTTCCACCATGATTGTTTTTTACATAAAATAAATGTTAATCAAATTGTATCACAAAAACAACTTAATTGACCAAACCAAGGTAAAAAATTCACTAAGCAAAAGAAAGATATTAATGTATTAAAAAAAATATTTTCATATATTTTTAATGGTAGGTATAAAAATATTTATGTTTTCGTATTTTGATGTCCCCTGATGTTTTTCACTTTAAGTCGTATTGAGTAAAAAATCTTAGATTAAAATTATATACCATTAATATTTTTGCCATACTTGGCTTCTCAAAATATTCACGTGGTTTAAACAAGTTAATGAATAAGATGACAATAAGAATGATAGCGTACCTATAAAGATATATATTTTAAATGTGTCTGAGGGAGAGAGAAATATTAAAAGAAGGAAAAAAGCCGGTAGCAGTTCTTTAGGAAGTTATATAGTGGTTTCCATAATATTCCTGTTATCTCTAGTTATAAAAGTTGGGTTTTATAGTGTTACTAAAATAGGTACCGTTAACCTTCATAAACTCCCCAAACAAGCTCTTTAAGGGGTATATAAGAGTGATATAAATATTTCTGTAACCAAATTAAGAAATTTAGGTTTTATAATTTGGATGATATAATATTCATGGAAACCACTATACAAACAAAAATGTTTATTGGATTAATCCAAGCAGAATTTTAAGTTAATAACTACATGTTTATTTATTAATATTTATTTTAAGTCAACTGGAGAAAACAAAATAACTTTAAGAGAAGTATAATAAAATAAAAAAGCCTGAATATACAAATTGTTTAACAATGTTTATGTTTTTGGTGGATTTTTTTATATCTCTTCAAAGTTTTTAGATGGGTGTCTTTTTTTATAAACTAGGTCGTAAAATTTAACATGTTGTGCCCAGTCGATTATTAATTACAAATTTATTAAAACCCTGATTGTTCATACAATTTTTAATACTTAATTAAATCCTTTATGTTTGCCTACCATTTTATTTCAAAAAAAGCCACCCTAGTGTTACGCCACTGCGGCTGTCCCTAATAAAACATTCTAAGGAAAACAATAAACTGACTTGTTAACACATTTCCTTCTAGCAAAAATTTATTGCAATATGTTTTATGATGTCCGAAAAATAGGTCCAGACAATGTTTGGCGCCTTGTTCATATTTTCTAAGAGTTCCCACAGCTTTATTAGAAGACCACTTGAATGTTTCAGATAAACGTATTGCGCTCATTTTCTTATCTTTTTTTCTACACTCTTTAAAAGCTTTTAATATTTCAAATTATTCTCATAAATTTTCGCATATCTATTTTTTAACCAACTAATTGCTTCAATATGGGGATTTGAGAATTATACACCGGGTGTTTTGCAAACCAAGTCCCAAGACATTTTTATTATCCCATAATAATTAAAAAGAATATGGCATTATAAAAGGTCTAAATGGTCATAATTTCCCATAATCTGATTGTAATATAATTTGGGGTAAACAAAATAAAGGCAAAGGAGGGCGTTTAATGCAATAATGATCGTAGCGATGAGTTAAATAGACAGAAGCTGCGACGGCTTGTGTCTGTTAAAAGTTCCCTCTTGTACGCGCGCGTCACGGTTCATATCTTGATACAAACCAGAAAGTAATCAGCTAAAGTGAGTTTATTTCCAACGAAAATTATCTATCTGCTACCTTAAAACAATTTGTAAAAGCAAAAATAAGTCAAATTTTAAACAACACAAAAGTTTGGCTTTTATACAGGGTGTCCCAAAAATAGTGTGCAATACACGTGATTGATTGATGAAGACAAAAATGGAAAAAATATTCTTATAAACATAGGTCGGAATATGGTTTTTTATTAATATTTCCGAAACAGTTTCAGATAAAACAAAGAAATTTAGTATGCTTACTTCCCAAGTAGCACAACTAGTTAAATAACTAGCATTCTAAGTAAATTAACCAAAATCTAAGTAAAATAACGTTTTTTTAAACTTGCTTTTTAACCAATTAGTTGTATTTAACCATTAACATTTTTTTAAGGTTACTATGAACTAAAAAATAACCCTTTAAATTTACCAACCGGTTGCTATAACCTTAAGGTAAATTTAAAGGTTATTTTTTAGTATAATTTACCTAATAAAAGAAACCTATTGGTAATGTTACTAACTAGTTAATTATTTGGTTTATTTATAGTCAATTGAAACTCTTGAAATAACCTAAATTTACCTTTAAGTAAATTAAAGTTTTTTCAAGAGTTTAAATTGACTATAAATAAACCAAATATTTAACTAGTTGTTAATATTACTTATAAGATAAAAGGTAGGTTATTTTAGAAGTTAGATATTGTTATTTTAACTGCTTATTTTAACCATTGAAAATAGTTAAGAGTATCCCAGATAACATTTATGAATCATTAAAAAATCACTCGGTGATAATCATAGCGTGAGCTCACAGTGAGCTCACTAGGACATCAAATGCATTTCTGTGAAATCACCTGGACCTC